TACGAGGGGTCCTCTACTACGGCTATTAGTCCTCGTAGCGTCTCTCGCTATATATCGGATAGCGGCACGGCGAGGTCTAGACCGCCTAGGTAGAATCGTATAAAGAAGAGCACGATCTACTGCTAGGCCCGTACGCCTTTCTAGAGCTACAGACGGCCTTAATATAGCTGCAGCGGCTGCTAGATATAATGGCTGTCCTCGACCTATACGATAGTAACCTATACGAAGTAGCTCGTACGTATAAGGAGCTTCTCGGCGCGTACGATTAGTAATGCTACTACGTCCTATATCTTACCCTCGTACGGCGGAGAAGCCCGCTAGGGCTCGACGATATATTCGAGGACTTACGAGCGGGTCGAGTCGATTAGGAACCCCTACTATCTAGTTCGTTTTAGCTAACGGTCGCCGTTATAGTCGTATAGGTCGTCGATCCGGTCCCTCTACTGCCAGACTACTATTTCGTGTCTCTTATATAAGCTTAGCGGTAGTATAGGGTAGCGCGGTATATCGTCGCCGTCGCCGTCGCCGTCTCCGTCTAAGCTATCTATACTCTATACGCGGATAAAATAGGAGTCGGGCCTAGATAGAAAGATCCTCTAATACGATACTTTAATCTACGCCGGCTAGGTCCGTATAGTAGAAGGAGCTAGGCTACGTACGAGCTTAGACGGCCGACCTTTCCTACCGAATTCTAACTAGCTATATGCTGTACGATAATACTCCCTTATCTTTCGGACATTTTAGTAGATGTAATAATAAGATTACTTATTAAGCCGACACTAGAACGTATCGCTATAGAGAAAGAGGATTAGATCGGCTTCTTCTAAGGAGGAGGGTATCTTGTACGAGCTCTAGTAGTTTTCCGCCCGGACGGACCGATAGAGAGCTTCGATAGTACGAAGTCGGTTACCCTTAATCTAATGTCGCTTACTTTAGTACGTACTAATCTAGCCCGGCCGTACGCTAAAGCAACATACGCTATAAAGGAAGCAGTCCTATTCCTGCCTATACTCGACTTTATACGAGGTAAGAGACATCGATCGATATCGAGAGTACGCGTATACGCGCGCGCGCTAGAGACCCGAGGTTAAGAAGAATCCTTGTACGAGAAGTGCTTAGGGCGGTTAGCGCGGTAGAGCTACGTATAGGGGTACCACTCGTACGCTGCTTTATGTGTATATATATATATATATATATATATATATATTTATATGTTTTTTTCTTTTTACTTTCTTGTAATAAGTCGTCGTATAGGAAGGGTAGGGCAGGGAGAGCTCTTTAGTCTTCGGTCGCGTCTTAGCGTCGCGTCGAATAGAGACGAGTAGCTGTCTTTAACATATAATTAAATAATGTAACTATAGCTCGAACGGTAGAGATGTTAGTGTACCGGCTAGATATCGAGGCGGACTTTTATACGCTATGATTTTTAGCTCTGTACGGGTAGAGATTAAAAATGACTTTAGCGTACGGGCGAAAAGGCCTTAAGGGCAGGTCTAGAGGTCGGCTCGTAGGATCCGATTAGCCGGCGGGATACGGGGAAAAGGCCCCGAGGGCAGGGGACCTTTTAACCTAGAGTTAGTATCGATATCCACTTATCCCTAAAGTCGTATATACATTAATTGTACATAGGATTACTTATATCGTACTAATAGAAAATAGAGATAGGAAGTAGCGTATAGCCTAGGCTAGGAAGCTAGAGGATATACTTTATAGGGGAATATAGAGCTCTTCGACGGCGAGTGAGTACATATACTACATCCTACACCTTTTAAGTATCTGTTAAAGTAGATTTACCTATATCGAGGTAGAGGTAACTTAACTGCAAGTATAGCTTGCGATTCGCCTCTAAGTTAGCTGCTGCGGGGCCGATGACGTGAACGATGGAGTAAATACCCTAGAACTACTAGAGAAATCGACAATGGCTGTCTGTAGTTACTCCACTCGATAGCGCAGCGCGGGGTGATGCTAGGAATCATGTTTTAGCTTTATAAAGAACAAGCGGAAGATATTTATGGCAGCTGGTCCTATTAACATCTTGCTTCGATCCCATCCTCTGCTCGACACTCTTTACACTATGCAGTTTTCCATCCTTTATATGTTCCTCGGAACACAAGCAGCCGTCTAAGCTTATACCGATTCTATCTCTTGGAATGCCGGCTGTACAGTCACGGTGTCTGATACGGATCATGATTGTCCTTTAGGCGGGAATGATGTAGGCGATCAACTATTCGGAAACATGAGGTTGAAACAGCGAGGCTGACACAGTTTGCGCAGTGCGTTCTCGAGATTCAGAGTTTATCGCCGGCCTCAGGACCAATCTTGTTCACCATCGGAGGGGGTTGTCAGATAAACAGTCTTGAGGGATGCTTTGATGGGTCCATCTGTGGCGCTCCTCTCGACGCATCCTGTTCATTTTACCAGACTTTGTATTGTGATGTTGGATCGTGCTGTGAATAATGCAGGAGGAGTTGGCGTATCAAATTGCGGAATCTTCACTGAGTGGCGTGGACAGCTTGGCCGAGCCGAAGATGATGTATTTCACAAGCAGCATAAATCTGTGATCATGACTCTTACGTCCGTATATCTCTACGTCCGTATATCTCTACGTCCGTATATCTCTACGTCCGTAGAGATGAAGTGCATTAGCCCTGTTCCTACGCATATCCGTATGCGGCTTATGCCAAGCCAATGGCCATCTCTGAATGAGCCGCTAGACAAGCTTAGAGGGCTTGGTACGTACACAACGAAGACGCCCGCCTTTTACGTCATCCCCAGCACCAGACACATGTGATAGCGTGCTTCACAAGCACCAGAAGCATTACGCGCAAGATAAAGAACCTGAGCCATCCACTTTCGGGTCGCACTGCCACTTTTCACAACTTTCCTTCACGACGAGATCATGGCTACACCTAATTTGGAACAGACCTCAAGCGATACATTACACAAGGTGGCAGCACTTTTGCACCCTTCAGATTTGAGCTCTCTGCGGGCCAATGCTGTTGACGAACAGATGCTTCATACTGTAAGTCTGGTAGAAAGCTCTTTTTTGGGATCTTCAGAATAAGATTCACGCAAGAACTTGTTTACTAATGTTCATCGACCATGTTTCAAGGAACTACAGCGTATCTTGACAACGTGGAGGACCAGCCTGATGGGCTCAGAAGTCGCCAAGCTCGAAGCGCTGTCTACAGACGAAACCTTGCGAAGCTTTGTAAAGACGATTCATATCGAGGATGACTGTGAGAAAAATGATCCTTGGAACACTCTAGAACCTTTCCGATTTCCGAACATATGGCCACGAAACAAAGCAGGCAGTGTTCTCTCGGACCAGATTGGCGTAGCTAGCCTGAGATCCATGCTCAAAGAAAGAAAGCTACGGCCTCTAACTATTGTGGTTCGAGACTATCGTATCAGCTCTCTGAACTCTTCTACGTGTCCAAGCACGAGTCGCAATGTGACCTATCGATTTGGAGGTGAATTAATGGCGCGAGACCTTAAGCCAGCACCCGCTCTTGCTAAAGATATTCTTGATGGCATCGCCCTGGATATCTTGTCAATTACCATGCGTCAAGTCAAGCTCCCAAAACGCAGCGAAATATCACTCCCAGTCAGCGAACCTTGCGTCACAGAAATTACGGTCAACATGTCCCTGGATCACGACGGCTGTGTAGCCTTTTCTTCTTTGCGTTCGGCAGAGCTTCTAGTCATTCCATTTTGGCTGGATCAGGTGTGCTACCGCGCCCCAAACCTTGAGATTTTGAAGATCAAGCACAGCAACATTTCAGGTAGTTTGCCTGCTGGGGGGCCTCAATTCACAAATCTGCAGCAACTCGATCTCTCATACTGCAAGTTCAATGGAGGCGACCTACTGAATCTCACGATGGCATCGAAGCGGAGTTTGAGTAGCGTCTCACTCCATATGACAACAATGACTGATGATAGTACGTGGCAAGATATTTTGTCAACCATGGGACATGAACTGTCAGGGTTGGAGTCCTTTACACTTCGAATCCTCAAGGGCGGTGGGGAACTCATCACCTTCTACGGCTTTGACGAGCAAAGTGTTCCTGAAGACTGTAGACCCGGCTTGTATTTGTTGCAGAAGGGTCCACCGGAAATTCGCAGGCTCGACCAAATATCTTATAAAGGACCTCACGCGGCTGGGGTCTTGGAGACAGTGTCTCGATATGCAAGACCATGGAAAGTTTGAGGGCTTCCCATTCGCTCGGCGACGTGCTTCCAGGACGACCCAAAGTGCCTCCCCGTAGCGATCAATTTCTGTCGAAGTTTCGGTATATCTAGCGATTGGGCAATGTACGCGAGCTCCTGCATGACTAGGCATGGGCCTCCATACTTTTAGTCGAGCCGGCCTCCACCTAGTCAGTCGCCCAATAGTGCAGAAAGGTTTCGAAAATACTGTAGGCTAGGGCTTTGCATTAGTTCAATGCAGGCGTATCAGCGACATAGCGAACACGTTAGTAGCTCTATCCCAAATTGGTCTCAGCAGAACGAAGTCAATAAGACATAGCTATGGATTCTCGTCCATGAAAGTACTCGAGTAGAGAGAAATGCATGATTCTCGGTGTCTTGGCGGGATGACTAAGCATTGGGTCTACGTTGTCAATGACGTGACCACCCAGGGTACATGAACGTATCCATACAAATAGTGGCTTGAGTCTCTCCCAATTCTTGTTCGCGGCCCATTCGCATAACGACTATATCGTTGTCAAAACACCGGCACATCAATTTAACCATTCCTCTCAGCCGAACCAACATGAAACAACATCGAGCACTCCCAGACGAAATTTTGCTGCAAGTATGTAACAACCTAACCTGTTCACCTCTGGAAGATGTCGCTGCTTTCGCGCTGGTCTGTAAAGGCTGGAATGCGATAGCTAAAGACATCCTTCACTGCAGTATAAGCTTCGTGATCACTGGGAGAGATCGACTTGCACGCGATGTTGTTGATTGTGCGTCATCACTACAGCGTTCATCAAGCTTGCACCACGTTCGCTATCTCGAGATAGCAGGTCCTGGGTGAGTAAGACAGGACAAGATAATTTACCGCTTCCTTGCACTGAAACCAGGCAGGCCCTACAGTGACGAGAAAAATGTTCATCATCACAGTCCAGGATGGCGTTTTGTACGTGAGAACGAATACCTCGGTGACATCATGGACGAAACGATTATAAATACACGTTCTCCAACACCTCCGTTTTCTCTGGAGCTCGATCACCGAATTGGAGGCCTGAAAGTGTGGGAAACAGTGCCGGAGAGTTCGTGGCAGCCACTGGTCGTGCTAATCACGCGCATGCCAGCACTATCACATGTGGTACACAACTGTGCCAGTGCCGTACCCCTCAACCTGGTTGCAGCACTAGAGCACCAGCGTTGCAAGTTGCATGTTAACACGCTAAGAATCCCCGAGCTTAATGTTCCACTGGACACAGCGTTCCTTACATTGATCACATCGTCTTCTCTAAAGTCAATTCGCGCCGCCTACTTTCCTACGTCTATGCTACTGGGAACGCGTTTGTCAGCGACGGTAGAACTGTGGTATGACGAAGAAGCTTTAATGCGTCTCGTCGCTGGCGTCATACCAAGGCTTACCAAGCTGACTATACTTCGTAAGCATGGCGGGATTTTACCCACAGGAACTTCAAGGGATCCTTGGGATGGTATTCAGGTATCTGGTCAGGATCTTCCTGGGTTTTGTCCAGGCAAGCTGAAAGAGCTTGCTCTACTACATCCCGACATCATTGATCTTGAGAACATCAGAGCCTGGGGTACACATGTCACTCTGGAAGTCCTTCAGGTTCTCAAGATCTCATCGCCCACCACTGCAGAGGCGTTGTACTACCTCTCTAGCGAAGCTCTGACGCACTTGAGCCAGCTCTCCTTCGCCGTATACAAAAAACAGTCACGTTCAGACGCAGCTATACAAGCTGCCAACCATTTTCTACTCACTCTGCGCCCACTGTCAGTGCTTCGTCTGGACCAGAACGTCCAAGGCTTATCTTTAGTCCAGATCGTCGCCCACCACGCAACTTGCCTGCGTAAGCTGTGGCTCTTGCCAGTGAAAGAGCTTAATTCGCATAATTTGGCGTCCGCAGAGTACTATATTCCATCTTTGGAAGTACTTAGTGAATTGAAAAAGTCTTGTTCTGGCCTCGAGGACTTAGCAATCAGTGTCCGACGCTCGAGGGGCAATAAGACTGAGATCGATGCATATCGACTATTGGGATCATTGCAGAACTTACGTTTCTTATCTCTTAACCTGGATGCATCTGACATGTCTGTTCTATGGATTTATGAAACTGCAGAACGAGACGAATACGTGAGATCTGGGATCTGGCCACCGCCACCAGACGATCCATCTTTCAACGACTTCGACAGAGAAATCTACCCGAGACCGTTCATCAATCACTCTCCCGGTATTCGCAATGGGCACATACGCGACGCTTTTATCAATTCGGCGCTTGACGAGCCTCTCGCTCGTGCGATCTTTAAGGTAATCTCCTCCACAGGATCCCCCTCAAGATCTAAACTCGAGCGAATGAACCTTTACACTTCAGGTGGTGGCGTTTTCACTACACAGACCTCACTACATCCGTACATAGCTATGATTGTGAAAGAGCTGAGCCGTTCTTGGGTCCTAGAGCGATTAAGAAGAGACGGTCGTAGAGATGAGATCATCGCCTGCGAAGCGAGTCAGATTCGAGCAGGAATTCCGACTTCGGACACAGATCCTCCGTGGTCTAGAGCCTTGCATAATCCAGAGAGAAAAGTTTTTTCACGCATTTGGCCATATACAGAGGAAACTGAGTGGCGGAAAGCTTGGTATAGCTTTCCCCTTATGTCTAACTAGATATATATAAGGGTATGTATATACCTACTATTTAGTAGCAGGAGGACATTATAGCTTAAGTACTTACTTTATTATTTAATGATTTAGCTCTACTATTAATTGTATTATAGTACTTACTAGCCTTATTATTTTACTTACTACTTAAACTACCCCTTATCTTCTCTACTACCTTTTCTTTCTCTTATTATACTATTATATATCTTAAAAGACCTAGCTGATAGGTTAGTTAGTTAGTATTATAGCTAACTATTCTTAAAGGAGAATAACTAGTTACGGGGTTAAACTTATAAAGCGGAATATTAAGCGAAGCAAAGTAGGTTATATAGTAGTATATACTAAAGGGACTATTAGAATAACTAATTAAGTTAAACGTAGGACTACCTAAGGTCGTCCTNCCTACCTATATACTTAATAGATAATAAGTATATATATGTTGCTCTATATACTCTATTATACTCTATAGAGTAGAGCAGTAGAGCAGAGCAGAGTAGATAGCGTGTTATATAGAGTGCTCTATTCCGCTAAGGTATAGGGAACTATAGAGCAGGTTATATAACCCTGTCCGAGGCAGGATCGTAATATTAAGCCTAAAAGGAAAGATCCTTTAATACGATACTTCGATCTATAGTTAGTCCCCTTATATAGTAGAAGGGGCTAGACTCCGTATAAGTCTAGATAGCCGTCCCTTCCTACCGAATTTAGACTATCTATATACCGTATAGTAATACTACCTTACCTTTCGTTTATCCTAATAGATATAAAAATACGCCTATCCGACTTTTCTATACTAGAGGCTATTATTATAGTAAAGTAGTATAGGATCGGCCTAATCGAATTCGGAAGGGAGATAAGCTTAGCTCTCTAGGTACTCTATACGGTACGATCTATAGATATCTACGATCGTACGGAGTTCCTTACCTTTAAATCTATATCGCTTACGCTAGTACGCGTAAACCTCCCCTAGTCGTACGCTATAGTAATATTAGCTATAGAGGAAATAGTCTTACGACGGCCGGTAAGAAATGCTATACGAGTCTAGCGATATAGCTAGAGAATATAAAGTTAGGAGAAGTCGATTTTAGCATAATGTGTTCTTTTACGATATCCTTCTCGCCGTATAAGAAGCGGACGGAGCTAGAAGTAGTTAGCGCGACGCGTATAGAACAAAAGCGGGGGGGTTTTTTATACGTGTTATACGCGGAGAAAAAGTGCCTAGTTTTAAGATAATACGATAACGCGAAAACGAGTCGTGCGATAATCTAACTTCTACATCGATAGGATTAGTAGTCGAACCGTCGTCGTTCCCGATTTCGGCTCCGTACGAGCGACGAACAAAAATGATCCGAGGGTACGATCGAAAATGATCCGAGGGTCTGTTTTCGATTTCCCCGCAAAAGCTGCGTACGACGTGATTAGCCGGAAAAATGATCCGAGGGCTCGGTTTTTTTTTGACCTAGAGTTAAGCTAGCCACCCTATAAGCTACGCACCCCTATTAGCTGCGCAGCTGCGTAGCTGCGAGGCCTCTTCAAATTTGACTGTATATACATTAAAAGTTATCTATCTGCTACTCAAATTAGAGCGATTCGAAGCTCTACTGCTCGAGCTTACGCGTAGCTGCTATCGTGTCGTATCTAACTTGTTTCTCTGCCTCTTAAGCCTCTAATACAGCCTGTGCTTGTTTAGCTATAATAATATTGTTTATGTTCGCGAATTAAGTGTTTGGATTAATAGGCACCTTCCTACGCCTCTTACTAGTTAATTAATTAAGTTAAGACTAAAGTTAAGTGTTATAATGCTTAAGGGCGACGTAGCTCGCGTTAAGTGAATCTATCGCATAGCCGGCCTTATATAGAGCTTAATATAGTGCTTATTTCTCGCCACTCTTTTTACGAATTGATTTAGTAGTTTAATCTATAAACCGAGAGCTCTTAGGGGTAATAAAAATTAGGTTAGTTTCTTATTATAGTGATGGTGTAGATAGACGTAGTTTCGAAGCCTAAACCTGTAAGGAATTAAGACCTTTTAACGGCTTAAATGGATAGAGTCCTGCTGCCTTCTAGCTAACACGTAGAAGGCGAGGTGTAAAGGTCTCTTTACGAGCTAAGTTATAGCAGGTAATAAAGCGTTGCTTCTTAATAGGTAAGGCATCATCTAGAGAGCTTAGCTTTAAGATTTCTGAGCGATAACGCGACTTTAAGGGCGCAAAAACACCTAGATCTAGAGGTTGTAATACATAAGATGTATAAGCAGGTAGAAACAAGAGGTGTATCTTATTTTGCTTACAAATCCAGAGGAAATTGATAGCTGTATAGCTGCTATGGCCATCTATAATAAGGAGACGCCACTAGCCATTTTAAGGCTTCGTTTCAGGTATAAAGATGTTTTTAAGCTATAAAATACCTTTAGAATTAGTAGTCCAGCCATTTTCAGAGCTTATATATAGCCAGTTAGGTGTATTATGTAGAAAATGACTTGTTTATAGTGCTACACCCTTAAAAATTATAAGGGGACGCGTAAATTGACTAAGGGGGGAGACTACCTCGATAATTAAGACCTATTCGCGAGATTCTGGCGATTTAACGTATGAGCGGCTCTTCTTAGATGATGTAAGGACCCTTATGTTTGTATATACGCTAACTGCAATGCCGTATTCATCCATATTCTATGTATTATAAGGCTGGATGCGATACCGGCGTATAATGTCTTCGTAGAGCGTATAGAACTCTTTTATTGCCTCGGGGTTAGTTCCATTAATCCTAGCAGCTTCGATAGGCCTTCTAACAACTGATCTAATGCGTAGATTGTCTCGAATGAATTTGGTAACGAATTTATTCCTAAGCTCTTAATTATCGCCATTTATACGAAGAATTCGAGTCGCTATTTCGCGAGTTCGAGCGTGCGTAGGGGGGAAGCCCTAAGCGTCTTGTTCGAGGATCCACTCAACTAGGAACTCCTCTTGTCGAACAGAGAGCCTCTTACGGTATTGGTAAGTTGTACGTCGATTCGTTGTGCTATTAAGACGCGCGCGGAGCGTAGATTCGGGGATGTTGTACGCGCGTTGCGCGGCTCGTATCGAACTAACCTCTCCTATTCGAATAGCCGTAAGAGCGAGCTCGATCTGAGCCTCGCGTTGAGCTATAGAGACGTTATAGTTGTTAAATAAGTTGAATTAGAAGTGGTTGTGTTAACGAAGCGCGCGAGACGCGAGATGCGCAGCTAATGGGGGTGCGCAGCTAATGGGGGTGCGCAGCTAATGGGGTGGCTAGCTTAGTGCTGCTATGTACTATATGCTCGCCAGTTAAGCGTTGTAGCCTGCTAGGCATAATTCTTAGCTGTAGAGACCTAAACGCGCGCGTGCTGCGACGGCGAAAACAATAACAACACACTTACCACGATCGTTGCGGTCTTCCTGTGACACTGTTCTCTGCAACTTGGCTCCCACACGTCGCCGGAACGAATCTCTTGTGTACTAGACACATTCAGGACACAGTGACAATCGCACCATGATACAAGGAAGTTGCACCACTCAGGCGTCCAAGAGGATATGATCTGGCCAGAGTCGGCGCGCATGGCGGGTAAAGACTGCGCACTGCTCATACCCTGTACCACAACCTTCCTCTTGCTCTCTTGCTCATCTACGCGTGTCTCTGCAACAATTCCTTGTCCCTCTGGTCACTGTACCCGCGTCGATTATGGTATGGTTCAAGCGATGAGGTGCATTAGCGATACTTCCGGTCCGACGCTCAGGATTCAGAACCGGGTTATTTCTCGCTGTGAGTGCTTCGAAAGTCTGAACTTGTAGAGTCATTGGTGCGCATAAGCTAGATCATCTTAAACCTTGTTATTTGCCGTACAGACTTCGACAATTTCGGTCAATACATCATGAGAGATTATTCCATGGCAACAGTCATCTTCAGGGATTCAAGGACGAAACAAAAGAGCACCAGCAGAAGCCAAAAACGTAAAGCATCAACGCTTCAAGTCGAGGTTGACAGCAAAGCACCGATTGACGTCAAAGCAAGATCATCCACGTTCAGACCGGTACCTTAAAACCATCCTCGCCAATCTCTTTTTGTTTCCTATCCTCGAGCACCATCTTTTCCTGGTGCACGGCAACGTGGTTGTTCATAAGATGACCGGGATCACGAACGAAGTAAGCTGCGACCAAAGCGACGACACCGAAGGGTATCGTGCAGTAATACACGAGCCGGAAAGCATCTGCGTAGGTGTTCTTGAATGCAGCGGCGGTGACCTCTTCGACTGCGGCAGTAACGCCGGGAACGCTCTTCAAGACGAATGGAACACCAACTGCGTTCTCGATAACGGCAGGAATTAGCTTGCCGAGATCCGCAGGATTGAAGCCGGTGCCAATTGCAGCGCCTGCGATGTTCTTGGCCAAGTTCTTGTTGAGTCTTGAGGCGAGAATGGTGGAGAAGACTGCGTTACCGACAGATCCTCCTGCACTGCGGAATGTACCAAGTAGACCAGCGGTGGTTCCCAGCTCCTCAGATGGGACAAATAATCCAGATGCCACCAGTGAGAGTAGAGTCATCCAAGTAAAGGCGCTCTGTCCAAACATGGGTAGGATCATATAGCCGATCTTGTTGTTGGGTACCACGGCAGCGTAAGACGCGGTGAATATTGTCTGAACAAGGATAGCAGCGAAGACTTGGTATCGTACATGCTTGATCTTGTGAATCAAACTCGGCAGGATCCAGCCTCCGATGACACCAGAGACGTTTCCTGGAATGGAGATGAGGCCGATCTCGGTAAGATCATTGGTGAACATGTAGAGAGTCCCTTGGCTGGACAAGGCGATCATAGATTGCCAGATCATACCACAGATGAATAGGATGATGAGATAAACCGAAAATTCGCCGAACATGCGGAAGAGATGAAGAGGGAAGATGGGCTTCTTGGGAATTGTAAAGTCGTAGATGAAGGCCGAGATGAAGACAATACCGCCGACGGTGATAGTCGCTGCGACCATTGGTACGGAGTAAGTGGTACGTCCGAGGTATGCGATACCGACGAGGAAGACGACAAGACCGGCAGTAAAGAGGAAGAGACCGACAAAATCCAGCTCCTTGAATTCCTGCCATCTGGATCTTTCATAGTCTCCTTGTGGGTGGGACGGTGGGTAGTAGGAGAAAAAGGTACCAATGAGCACGAGACCTGCGTAGATGATACTGATATAGTAACACCATCTCCAAGTGGACTTGAGATAAAGCTGAGTCGCGATATAACCGGACAGGACTTTGGACCATCAGTTACCAGACAAGCAATGCATATCAGGTATACTTACCGCCCCACGGGATGGTGATACAGAACTCGGTCCATGCTAGACCTATGCCACTGCCTTATGTCAGTGTGCTTCCATTTGATGTTCAACTCTTGCCAGGATTCATACCGGTACTTGTTCGGGAGCAATTCGGCGATACCTGCATATGAGACCAAGATACAACCAGCACCGAAGCCGATCATGGAGCTCCCTGCAGCAACGATGCGAACAGTCCCTGCTGTAGCAGACACGATCTGGTATATTGTCAGTGGCCAAATAAGAAGTGAAGCGGTGTCGTAAGACTCACAGAGCCGACAAGGACGAGCATTTGACCGAACATAACGACCCACCGACGTCCAAAGATATCACTGAGTGCACCAGCGATAGCGAAAGAGACAGCGGCGCCGATGGACCAACCGCCAGGGATCCATGCGATATCCTCAAGACCATCCAGAGACATGCCGATCTGGGCGATAATTTGTGAAGGCATCACGAAGCCTGACGCGATAGCGGGAACGAATGAAAGGCCCAAGAACTACCAACAGTCAGCAGTATCATACCGTGTGCCGCTTGTGGATACTTACAAACACTGCCAGTATAGTCGAGAGAGCAATTTTTGGGCGTGCCTCCTGGGCCTCGGCCTCCGCGACCCTTTCGGTATGCATCGTGTCAGTCTTGCTAGGCTCGGACATGGTAGATAGACACTGGGATTCGTCTATGATAGATCTGGAGAGTTCAATATCGATCTGGGGTCCCCATGGGGTTAAGTATCCGAGGGCCGCAGAGGCATGGCCTTGGTTAGCAGAATACCCTCGGATATCACATTGAGCTTTGCTCTCGAGCGGTGGGATCTTGTCGGCAGGACGTATCGAGTAAAGTGTCATGTTCTGGAGTAACGGCAGTTGAGAGAGCATTCAGAGTGAACTACACGTGATCGTCTGGACGCTTTGTAGTGAGTCGGCAAGACATATTCAGTCAGGCGTCGAACTTTAAAACAGTCAAGGTTTTTGCGGCAGTCACAATATACGTTCAAGACCCACGAGTATTACAACTTTTGGGTGCATTTAGACGACGGCGCGTACAGAATTGTGGGCGACGAAGCTTCAGAGAGATGGAACGTAAGGAGAACTACCATAAAAAGTCAGAATGCGTGTGCATGTAGAGAATTCGACCCTCTCACCAGTTGCCAAGGCTTGGTCGACGTCTCCAAGTTCATCAGCCCCAAGCTCGTCGTTTTCTCAAGTGAACCACCACTCTTGACAGCGACAATCTCACTCTTCGAAATTCTCTGTCAGCAGGCCCGTCGATTCGATCGCATCATAAAGAAGGCTGCAGCTCGGCGATCCAGATGCTCTGCCCTTCCTATTGGCTGATGAGTTCCAGGTTCAGCGTAGCGCAGCCGACGGAAGGAACTCCAGCGTGCTATTGATTTAAATCAGCTTCAGTTGTGTGCGTTCCATCATCAACGGACTATCGTTCCTGATTGTGTATGGGATCCCACGACGATCGACACCAGAAAGGCCCTCGGGCTTCGTGTTGGGATGGAGAATTGTCAGAAGCCTTGAGACTCAAGCCAACACTCCAATGCGCCATCTATCGTTCCTTCCACACTGTTGAACAAGAGTTGCACCACGTCCAAGCGATCTCAGTGTCACGTAGGACTTTCGCATAACCTTCTGGCTCCGGCGGACACATCACAAGCCGAAGGAATACGGTTCATACACGGGACAAGAGAAAGGCTATTACATACCCCAAAAACATTGGCACGTTGGGTTCGACACTCGGCTTTTGCATTCCTAGTCACGGCGCTTCGAACCACCTCTCCGGCTACGATCGACTTTTCGTCGTCCTCGAGCTCACCTCGCTTACCACACCTTCCTTCGGAGATCTTCCACACGAGGTCAAAGGCTCTGAATCACTCCGGGACTCCCCTGAGTCTCCTTAGATCCTCGAAAGGGTTCGTGAGCGCCAAATCTAGAGCCCAGTGCAGAGTTACCTTGCAGCCAACCAAGCCTCACAGGGCCGACGGTTCACACCACGACTCGCCATACATGGAAGAACATATTCAGCAGTGAATGTTGTTGATATTCATCTGGATTGTCTTCGGAGAAAATCAACGATGCAGCAATAACGAAGAATAGGCAGTACATGGTAATCTTTACCATTAGAGGGCAGGACACCCAAAACTCTTGAAAATGCCCGCTAAATTGGTCTTCGCGAACGCCGATGCGATCGGGTCTTGCGTGAGGACAATCGACAATGATTGCGGAACAGCTAGAAACGTGGTTAGCAAATATCTCTTTTAGCAGGGCTTATCGCAGAACCAGAAGCTACTTACTGTCCATAAGCACTTGCTGGAACAGACACGCAATCCCCTCGGCACTGGGATCCTTGAGAATACCGTTTTCAATTCCACCTGCCTCGAAAGTCAAACCCACAAAAGCATCGGTCTTACCGACATTTCCTCCAAATGCAGGGTATCCTGCCTCCGCATACAGCTGCGACGTCTCGCCAAAGATCTCTGCGAATGACAGCGCGGTCGGTCTGTTGCACCAATTTGGTGGAATAGTCTCGTGGCCAGGATTGGCAATCCAGGTGGAAGAACCCGATGCGCTGCGATTGACCGCCCAGAAGTATTGAATGGTGTCAACAGAAGGTGTGCCGGCGTTGCCGTAGGAGGCGAAGGACTCTTGAGGAAGAGTTGCAGTACCAAAGGCAAAGAGACCCAGAGGACCGAAGAAGAAGTTACTATGGGTGTGTCAGTGAATGTGCATGAAATGGCGTGGAATGAAATACGAACGGGTTGGTCTCCTTAGAGTTATTGTAACGTGAGCCCATGTAAGGACCCATGCATCCCAAGGTGAAGTCGCCATCGCAGTAGTCGTTCATGTAACCGAAAATTGTAGCGTTGACGCTGTAGGCATCACCTGTGGGTGAAGTAAAGTAATCGTTACGCGTCATTGAAGAGTCGGTCTCGAATTTGTTGTGAGCGTTGAGACCAGTGTTGGGGATCTGCATGCCTCCACCACAGCCGATGGAGAGCTGACTGGTAAATGGGTCGCCGTCCATGACGATACCGAAGGTGGCAACGAAGGTTGCGAGATCCCAGCCCTACAGGTGTCAGTCAAGGCTGGTCCCTTGAGGTGTGGAGGCCGATCATGATACCCAATTGAAGACATTCTGAGCAAAATCTACCAGTTCCACAAAATTGGTCAAGCCATCATGACTGATCTGTTCAACACATCAGCTGTGCGTGACGACTATCCGCTGCAGGACCAGAGCTTACAAAGTTGTGATTGGCTGCCATATTCAATCTGTCGAATGTGTCAGTTGACCCAATCTGTTCTTACGCGTATTTGAATATGACCGACCCAGGACAAGGTCCACGAATATCACTTGGAGAAGGAGGAGAGTATGCATGAGCAGTATCACCAGCTGCAGGCACCAAAACGCCACCTTTTCCGGTGCCCGGCAATCCGTTCTTTGCTCCAGTGTATTTGCTGGGATAGTAGTCGCTGTACGGTGCAGCGCCCTGTGGAGCAAGGTGGATAGGGCAGATTGGAGCTCTCTTGTCTAATGTCGCAGCTGGCCCCCCATTCGCAATTCTCTCCATCCAGGCATAACCGTTGACAGTACCCGCGATGGTCAGAAGTATGGGAATTTGGGTGTACATTCTTGCAATGAATACTTTTGGTGCTAAGATGCAAGTAGCGGAGGATAAGACTGAAGAGTACATGCCGGAAGAAATACCAAGCTAATCTACTGTGGCGACCCCAGATGGTCCCCGGAAAGGTGGAAGCAGAGTGACGAGATTCAATTATGCTTAACTCGAAAGACGCGCCGAGGTGTGCCCAGAATGATAATGATCATCGGAGTGCCGAGGTTGGAGACAACGATCGTCGGGAGATATTCCATCTGATTGGGCTGCAAAAGGTCAAGAGAGGAGAAGGGTTCAAACATTCGTTGAGTACCAGAAGGCAATGACAAATGGATCCGGCACGTTGGTGTTCGCAACCAGCCCGTGCAGTCAAACCGCGGGTTGCAAGTGGTCAAGCGATTCTCGCCACCGTGACGGCCGTTCAAGATTTGACGCGGGGAAAGAACAAGAGAGTCAACAGCATCGTCCATATCATCGATTGCAGGTGCATATATTGCTGAGTACAGCAAGCGGAATAACTGCTTGCGGATCTTGAATTTTGAAAATGGTTGAATGCAAAGTCGTGTGGCATGCCCACCACACAATGCTCACAAGTGCCCAGTCCAGCGCGACCGTGAGACCAAAAAGCATTGGGCTGCAAATGTTGGTGTCCAGACGTGACCGACCATGGCGATACCAGTATCTGTCTCAAAATTGCGTCAAGTTCACAGAAGCTTTCAATATCGCGATGTCACACGTGGCAGAAAGTACCTTACACAAGTTCAAAGGTCAACAAAAAAGATCAATCGCTACCAGGGTCAGCCTCCCGGCGATTGCCCAGGCTTTGTTATCGCGCTGACTGCACCAAGCCGCAAAGTTCGACAAAAGAGCCGCTCAACGAAATACCGCGCATTTCGATCACTGTGCAGTTGATAAACGTTAGAATCGATAGCTTTCGGGCTGCGTCAAACGGAGTCGTGGCCAGCCACAGTATTTTCGAGAGGGTTGTCAATCTCAAAGTCCCGATCAAGCCCATCATTTTGCCTCAATTCGAGATTGCTGACACGTGACAACAGACGGAGTAGCGTGGAAACACTCTCATGTTGGAGCTTGCCCAAATGTCCGCAGTTCTACGCGAAGCTTCTAGGGCACATGCGCAGATGCACCTTGTCTTGTACGACTAGCTTCGTTGGTTCGACTTCAGTCAGGCTTCTGAGGGCTTGTTTACTGTTTATACTGTCCGCTAGCGTTGAGCAGTCTATCTCGCCATTCTTGTCGTCTCATGGTAAGGGTTCTATTCGTCGACTCGAAGTCCAGAATTTGCCATCAGCTTGGGTATCATACTACATGCTCTGCTGCGTCTTGGGGTTCATCAACGCTTCTCCCCTGAGAGTGCTTGGAAACACACAGCGTCCGGTAAAAGACTGGAATGAACAAGCGGTGTTTCGGGAGCATGGCAAATCTGTCAGCGTATCAGTTATTGCAATGTTATTGACGTGTGTCAGACGATCGCCCTGATCTATGGCGGGTACCTCAATCTGGTCCGTCAGAAAGTCGTCCCGTTGTGGACATGGATGGTATCGTATGAGGAATCACGTGCCTAGGAAAGATACATCGAATTCGAAGAAACAAACCTGCAACAATAGTGATATTAAGTGCGAACTACCCTACTTACCAGCTCTAGCCACGGAGATCAATGGCTTTGAACTCCTGCTTCTGCCCATCGCTACTCTTGAATTCGATGCACTGCCGGCTCCAGCGCTCGGCAAGCCCTACATTATCTCCAACGTCGGGATCGTATCTTCCATAACAAGGTACCGTTCTCTTCACTTGGTCGTTTGTCTCGACATTGACGTCGGTGCTGTAAAACCTTAGAAAACCCTGAAACCCTTTTGTATTTACTATCGGGAAAAAATATCAATAAACTCCTCCTTGTGCTCGACTGCCCACTCTCGGAAGGTCAGGGCAGGTCTTCCCAGTACGTATGGAACATTGTCCCGAATTGTACCAACATAACCCCTCCGACCATCGGCAACCTGCCTCATAAACTCCGTAAGCCCTTCAGCATACCATGGCTCTGCCCCTGAATCTGGTGAGGAGACCATGGCCTTGAAATTATCCGCATTTTTGGGGCTGAAAGTGATGCTGCGACCAGTGACCTTGGAACGAAGCGGCTTCTTGTCCATTCAGCACGTCGATGCTCATCAGTAATCGCGTCCTTGGTGCTTCTCCGGCCCGTCATACAAGACCTTTGCTGCCATCGCTGCAATGTCGCTTACTGCAACCCATCCCACACGAGCCGTGCCGCAGTATAACATCAACTGGTTTACTTTGGGAGAGTTGGCGCTAAGTAGAATTTCCATAAATACATTCGGGTGAAGGTTCGTCCAGGCAACTTCACTTGCCTTGATATATGTCTCGATCATTTGATGCCAGACGAATTGCGGGTCGGTGGTGTCCCACTCGCCGAAGATGCTCAGGTGGACGATATGCTTGACTCCTGCCTTCTTCGCAGCAGGGTTATGAAGGTCTTGGCCCGCGTGAGCGTTGCTACAGTGTAGCCTGTCAACAGGAAGGCTCGTTCGACTCCTGCCAAAGCCAGTGCAAAGGTGCTACGGTGATCCAGGTCCAACTTGACCGCCTCTTTTCCTTCTTGCTGACACTGCTTCACCGCCTTTTCACGATGGGAACACAGGCGAAGTTTGATGTTGTTGTTCTGTTCGAGTTGCTTGACAATCAATAAATGCAAAGCTAGTTTCCTCGGACGGCATCTTCGAGGACTTTGCTGCAGATGCTCCAGAACAGTTAGCCGTCATGTTGGACCATGAATGTTTCCTCGAAAGGTCGGCAAACTCAAGATGCGACGCATCGATGATGGTTGGCTGTGTGAGCTCCAGACCTGTAACGACTTTCAGTTCATCGTGGGTGTTAAGCCAGATCGTAACATTGGGTAGAATAGCGTTGTCCCACTGTGTCAGGCTATTCCGCAATCTATGACCATGGTATGCCCAAAATTTGTCGTCGGTCACGTTGACTTCCCCATCGTTTATTTTGACTGCAACAACATCTTTCATATTGGTGTCCATGACTTACTCAAGCATTTCCCTGAGAACTCGCGGGTCGATCTTGCGAAATGGCTCGAACGCCTTAGTCATACCGTCAAACTCGTCAATTAACACAAGACCTGCATCAAGTGCATAGTATGCCCACTGATCAAACCCTTCTGGGGGGTGCTCCTAGATAGCGACGTCGATACTCGTCATTCGCTTCTTTGACAGTTGTGGACGGTCGAGATATCATGTGTCCGTACCGGCGTCGCGCTTCATGGTGAAGAACTTCGACTGGATGGGGTTCGCTGTCCAGACCCTCCGTCCCCTCATGGTCTCGCAGGCGAGGTGAATCAGGACTGAAATTAGCAAGGTCTTGATCCAGGTCCCAAGTCGATTCGCTTTGAAAACATGACAAGGCAAATGACAGTCGACAAGATGATGATTGGGAGAAAATTTTCACTGCAGCGGTGTGCTTTTCTGCGAATGCTGGCTCGCGAATCATGGTGCATGAAGCATGTCGTCGATGCAGATGCTGCTGGCGCACTTGACCGAAGCACGACGCGCAGACGCCCGAAGCACCATGACGCATATGCGTAAGTCGAAGGCGGCTAGCGTTCAGAAAGAATGTTGTCGCCTGGACGATAGATTGATGGCTTGAAGGAATTTTGCCGCACCATGAAATCTGTGTTGATGTATGAAGCTGTTTCCTGGCACAATGTTACTCGGGAATTACCTAGCGCTGCATCCGAGCTTTCGCGATGCTGATCGAGGTATCGTCATGACACTTGAAGAACACCACTCGCTGATGGTGTTGACGACAATCCAATCCCTAAGAGCGATGGGTTTTGCCTTGCCAATCGAGATCATGTATGGTAGTGAAGAAGACCTTGGACAAGAGTATAGGGAGATCCTGGAAGAATGGCCGGGCGTTCGTGACCTGAGTAAGATAGTTCATGATGTGGGTTGAGAACTAAAAGGTTTGTTATTGTTCAGCCAAGGATGGTGAACATGCGCTAACAGTCTCCAGGATGGGCACTAAAACCATGGGCAATGCTCATATCTTCGTTCCAAGAGGTCCTGTTCTTGAATGCTGATGTGGTGTTTTTCGCCGACCCAGAATTTCTTCTCCACGACGGAAGGTATAAAAACACGGGAGCGCTCTTCTTGACAGACCGAAATCTGGGCCGAGGAGACAAGAGAGGGTGGATCAAAAAGGTAATACCACTATCCATCTCGAGCAAAATGAAGACCAATCGTGTTTGGACGAAAGAGAGCGGCCACATGCAAGACTCAGGTGTGGTTGTTGTTGAAAGATGGAGGCACTTTGTGCTCATGCTGCTTACGTCACGCTTGAACGGCATCGATCGCGACGGGAATCTTGAAACAAGAAAGAAAGGTTTTTATGAGATGATATATGGTAGGTCTAGACCAGTCTGCTACATGCCTGCTAGCATACTAACCTTCCAAGGTACAAAGAAACCTTCTGGCTCAGCTGGGAAATGGCCGGGGTGCTCGACTATGCGTTCCATGATGGCTCCACTGGCATACTTGGCATGCTTGATCGAAACACAAGCAACGGGGACGATACGTCAGTTGAGTCAGATCAGGAAGCACAGTGCTATCGCCTGGTGCATCAAAAGGACCATGCACCCCACAGGGCACAAAATTACACTTCCTGCTCACCTCAGCTGGTATACTTCGACACCAACAGAAAAGCGCTCTGGCTTAAGGGATGGATCACAAACACCAAGTCCGCAGGAGTCGACGATCTAGATATCAGCACATTCGAGGCATTTTTGGAGGAGCCACGAAGTGGTGACCCCAAAGATAAAGAAAAGATATGGCAGTTGAGAAACGGTAATGTCTGCGGCTTGACGGCAGATAGCTACGCACCGATTACGGCGGAAGAAACGCAGGTCTTGGGGAGGATCATCGGTTTTGCCCAAGAGTATGATTGGGAGCCATAAGAGACGTCAGATGTTCGGACCATCCGTTGCGCTTGTATTCCTTTAAGATCTGTTTGCATGACGATCGGGTTGTCTGGTCAAGTGTGTTTCCCTTGTCAGATGGAGGTAATGTACCAGTTGACTCACCTCAATTGAGGCACCACATGAAGCAATACATTCCGATGATTTGCAGGAACAGAGGTGTCGTGCGCATTGAGTACGGCCAAGTTCGAATCAGATATCATACCACAATCACCCTGGCAAGCTATTGCTCTTGCTGATCGCTGATATCGGCTTCTTCGCCTGTCTTCGCTCACAATGCGCTGTGTTGCCATCAAATCCGACAATCGTGCGAGAGTGCTGAACGGGCTCCAGTCCAGTAGTTGATGCGGAGGTTGGAAGACGCTGTCGGAAACTGAGTCCAAGAGAGTGCGGAGCAACATGTATCGACACAGCTGTTTGCGCATGCCTCATCAAGTCGCTAGACTGCATCAGCCTCTCGTGTATGAACATGCATGAATCTGCGGAGCTTCTGCTTGAGCCTCCGACACGTTGTGGCGCAGGGGTTAGAGACTCGGAATGTGGAGGAAGTGATGGAGTCGTAGCACAAGGCCTAGATTTCCTGGGGCGAAAACTGCTTGCCTTCCCTTGGCTTCCGGTCTGCCATTTCTCCACGATGCTTGCATGAATTGTCGGCTTAATCTTCCCGTTTACACCCTTGAGTTCGTTACCTTACGGGCTGCAGTCGCGCTTGCCATCCTAGAACTAGCCACATATGGTATCGCCTAACTCACACGTGACAGTGTCATGTCCATTTCGGTCTGGTGATCCGCCAAGCCAGGGACTGTCTAGGTCAGGAACAACGTATCAAAGGTTACAGGCTATCCCGGACTGTTCTCCTTTCCGCCGCAAACCTCCCAATACCATCGAAGCTTCATCCATCCTTCTTGCAAAGCACCTAATCACCATTCCACGGCCGTATTCCAGAGAGATCAAGTCTAAAGAGACGATCAAGATGTCAGGCGACGTTCAACTGTTGCCTGCCTCAACCGGACTCTAGATTGGATTCCACAGACCGCACATTTGTCGCGACCTACGATCCATGAGACATGCTGAGTCCAGCAATACCGACCCTAATAGCTTCATGCTACGCGAGCGAGCTTCGTGGGTCCAGAATGAGGTTTACAAATCGTGTTCTGATGTCGAGATGACGCGACGTCTTTTGGAAGATGAGAAAACAGAAGCGTCTATTCAGAAGTGTCGGCAAGAAGTATTGCGCAACCTCCCCATCTTCGTATGGATCCCAGAGCGAGTTTTTACACATTACCACTAGTTGATGGTTCAAACAAACAATGCGACAAATATCCTGAGGACGACCCCAGTTCAGCTGACAGAAATGCGGATGGGTCGAAACTGACCGTCGATATACCTCGCGACTGCCTCAAGAAACTGGTATCAAGAAAAGTAGCGATTGCTCCCACGCTTCTCTAGAGCATCTCATACCAGTTAAGTTCTATTCCAGCATCTTGGACTACTTCAGAGGAGTCTGTGAAATTGGTCATTTTGTCAGGAACGAAACGGGAGATTTGGTTAGTCATTTCTCGACCAGGAGTTACTTGGATGTCAGCAATTTCTATCGATGTTGTCTCACGGCGATCGATATTCTGGAACGCGATTCTTACACGCAAGGCTTTGCTTTGGTCGAAGATTCGCTTTGGCTTGTCGAGCGCTTGCTGGAAGTAGAAGATCCGAAGCTCATAGATACCATCTGTGACGTATCTGTACTTCTGTTAACGAAAGGCTGGGGTCAGGTGTATGAGATTCTTATGGAAATAATCTGCTGCATGGTTCAAATTCAAGCTATGAAGAAAGACGAGACACAACATCCATGGGTCCAACTGTTTGTTTGGTTACAGAGACTACCCACGATCCACGCGCTGGAAATCTTACGACAAGGCTGGAGATGTGGACTTGAGCAACTCGAATCTGCGAATCCTGGACAATCGTGGGAGTGGCTCAACATGAACTGCTCCTCTGACTATCCATTGCGCATGGGTAGACATGTTGCAGAACTTCATCAGGATGTACTCGCCGCTTGGTTCGATGTTTCAGAGCCTTGCTCATTGAGCAGTATGCGACAACAGCTCGCATGTGGGGAAGTTTTGTTTTACGATAGAGAATATCGCGAAGCTTTGGGTGCCATGGATTCGATCATTTCGAGATGCATCCAAGCAAGAGAGCAGGGTGAGAAGAGGTGGATGACACTGGAGATCGAGGCACTCGAGATAGCGGCAAAATGTCATTCTGCTCTGACGAGATTGGGGCGGACCCGTGGAGACATTCGTACTGCTATCACACTACTCCAAACTGCGACCGAACAAAGCGAACTCGTGTGGGGTGCTTCGTCTGCCACAACTATAGCCCTCAAGCACAACTTATGGCTGTTACTGTTGGAGCAAGGCCGACATGCTGAAGCCGAATCTTTACGGAGTAACATCGACGCTGTCGTGAAGGAGAGCACAAGTCTCCAGCATCGGGCGCCGGAAGAGGAGAGACATTCATCACAAAGCTAGTATGAATGAGCTGTCAGAAATGCAAGACTACAATGATACAATCACTACGACATGATCGGTTTTGTCTATACTTATGTCTACACTCTGCGCCGAGGCCTCGCCTCACATACCAAGGGCGTGCCATTGACCAGGCAGGACGTAGGTCCTCGCCATAAACTCAGTTTCTCGATCCTGGTGCGTGGCAGTACTTTGCAGATTGAAGGATATTGCCATATCACTCTTGGAACCAACATGGCTAGCTTGAGTCTCTCGAGACCCAGCATGAACGTGACCCGTTAAATGCACTTGCAGAACCTGAAAAATTTGCTTGCACAGACGTCTCGACCCACGATACGTAATTATCGACGTCAGCGGTTCGATCGAAGGCACCACGCGGTGGTCTCATCTTCGTCAGGCTTGGTCTCGGGCGATTCTACAGAGTCTCTAGCAGCGCGCAGATGGCAAGCATTGTTTCCTTATTTCGAGCCGGACGCCTTCGTTCTTATAGGGCTTGTGAGAAACTTTGAGTCGCGTTCTTCCAATGCTGGAAACACTGCTAACCAGCGACTGCTCACCGTGAGTACATGTGAATTAGAAGAATGCGGCCAAGACTGAAGGTCAAAGCTCGCTGGTCAGCGCGTTTCCTGGAGCTGAAGGCAAGGGATGATCTTGTATCAAAGTTCATTACACTTGTATAAGAGCAGACATCTGCTCATCATTATATCGTCAATCGTCAGAATCTATAAACTGTGACTTGCCCCGCAGCCACGGACCAAAGCGATAAATCAGTAGTGGGACAGGTAAGCATAGAAGTCCAAGACAACCCAGGAAAGTCAAAGACCAATGAACCCCGATTCCCTGATACATTGGTCTCGCAGCAACAATCATCCCTGATGCAACTAGATACCTCGCCATGGTAATGCTGCCAAGCGCACTAGAACTCCAAGTACCGTAGATGTTGATGATATAGCTGTAGCTAGCCACAAAGATGGCAGTCATGGAGTAACCGAATAACACAGTAGCTGCATAGTCCGACCAATAGCTGATGGAAGCGAAATTCGTCCACCCAAGCCAGAAGATAGATATCGCGAAAAAGGGCGAGGCTATGACTGCAGGTATGAGAAGTCTCTCCGGCGACTCTTTCTGGTGATATGCATCATCTTTGTTGGATGGCTGGAAGAAGTGACCGATGAGTGGTGTCGTGAATGTTGATATCAAAGCGCCAATGCATATACCAAGGAAGGCAAGACCGGTTATCCCGGGCGAAAGACGATATGTGTCGGTAAATATAAACTCGAAACCGTTGAGGAAGGTGAAGATCACAACATATACGACGATGAGATAGAACCCAAGCGCAATGATGATGGGTTCTGTTGTGAAGAACTTCGCTGGTCGAGTAAGATTTTGCTGTAGCCTTGTTATCAGAGAATCTCGTCCTTCAAGGTCGCAAGTGTATTCGTCGCTCCCGCTGACTTGTCTCAAATGATGCGTCCTCCATTGAATTATCATTGGAGAGAAGGTCTCAGGAAGGAACAGAAATGCGATGAGGTAGACTGATGCACTGAGAGCTAGACCTATCCAGTAGACCCAGCGCCATGATATATAGTCTTCGATCCAGCCGCCAGCTACAGGAGATAGAATGGGCGACAGAAGTGGGCTAAGAGCGAACACTGGCCAGAGTCTTTGTCGATCACCCTCTTCGTAAAGATCAGCCAGACTGCCGCCGTAAATGGAGAGCCCAGCACTAGCACTCAAGCCGGCAAGAAACCGGAGAGATATCTGAGCACCAAAGTTTGGTGCAAGAGCATCTCCTAGAGTAAAGCACAGATAGAACATTGACGGGACCAGGTAGACAGGATTTCGTCCAAGCTCTTCCGAAAGGGGACCGACAACCAGACTTCCAACTGAAATCCCCAGGAGAAATAGAGCCGTAGCCAGTGTCTCGGCAGTTTGGCTAATGTGGAACTCTTCGCTGGCCGGTTTAATGATATTTGAATCACAGCTTGATACCCATCCTTGTGAGAACACAAGAAAGAACAGGATCACTGTCGTTTGCAACTTCTTCCCAGTGGACCACTTGCGTGGATCCGCCTGATCGCTGTCGTCCTCATCGCAGCTTACACTGCTTTTCGAGGGAGGTTCCGTGCATCTGTCCTTCTGTTGCGGATTGTCTGTCTCATCGTGCGGACTAGACAGATGCGCCTGCAGCGTGTCGTCGCTCGTCGATCTGTATGGTGAGATATGTTTCTCGTCTTGTTCTGGGGATGTTTCAATTGGCGGTAATTGATGATTCGAGGCGGGACTCTGTGGAGAACGCGAGATGATAAATTGAGCTTGTCGCCTTTCCTGCCTGTATTGTAGAAGTGTTTGCATGTTGCTGTGCTTAGCTGTGAGTCTGGCAGGATACGAGCATGACTATAACGGAGTATGGATTACAGTTTGACCAATCTGAGATAAAGCATTGCGGCTGAACGAGTTACGAGCCTTATGATTCATCTGTCATATCTTGGGACGGCGTTCGCCCGAACGAAAGTCAACAAAACAACAGCCGGCCGGATGCTTGTACAGGAGCTGCCAAACGTCAGCTTGCAAGGCGTTGATGGACGGATTTGGAAGGTGAGCACGCGTTCTAAACTGTCAAGCACTGTGACAGACAAATCATGCAGCGAATCCGACTTGACATGTCACTGGTGCGATGATGTCACCGAAAAACCGTTGTGTTGTCTGATCGCACAGTCGTTGGAATGTCACCAATCTTGGTTGGTGTTGTGACCACTCGACCAGAGCTCAGACCTCGACGACGTACTCCATGGAACTTGCTTGCGATAACGGCGTATGATCCCATAAGGTTTCAGTCCTCCAGTCGTCAGCAGTCACATTCTGCCCTCCAGATCGGGGACCGCGCAGAAGCCAGATGCTACAAACTAGGGGTGCTGAATGTAATTGACAAGTTAGTAAGTTTAGGTAATTAACTGTAAGGCCCTCGTTGCTTACAGTAAACTGACTGCTTGGCTAGCCAAGTCTATGACGTTCGGACGAGGAATGATGGTATACACGTGAGAAAAGCCCAATCATAACCTGCTTAAATAAAGTCGCTTTTTCCTCCGCTTCTCGGTCAACTTTTTAAGTGGATGGTGCCTCTACCTTGGCGGTTTCTAGTTAGTTTACCTAAGAACAAGGTAAAGAACCCCAGAAGCTTACGGTTGCGATTTATCGTCATTTTGCGGCGGTAAGTACGACACCCCTACTACAAACGGCCCCGAAAAGCTTGTTCCTGCAAAGCTTCTACACGGTCTCAGTGAGCATGCCTCTGTACTGCATCGTGAAGATTCTATTGACGCGAGAGACACTTGCTCATAACTCACGTAGAATGTTATGAATGATAGCACAGGAGATTCGTCCGGTCCGTCCGGTCCGTCTGATCAATTGAACCATGTCTGCATAATTTGGCCACTCTGGGCAGCCATATGTTTATGCCATGGCACTTTCCAACGACCCGGAAGCGACTGTGGTGTACTGTCGTAAGGGCCGATATGACAAGTGATACTCAGCGTGTTCCTCCACCGATATGGACGGAGTTAATTCCTCTGACAATTCCATAACTCGCCCCCGCAGCTATTACACCAACAATGAGAGTGTGAATAGCACTAGCTAGCGAATCTCTCCCAGTATTACCCATCACTTTCGACTTTCCGTAACCGAACGCCAGGAGGATGACCACTGTGATCCCTATCGAAGTAAAAAGTGCGTGGTTGGTAGTCTTGAAGGCAAAGTAGGGGATCATCGGAAGAACACCGCCTGTAGAGTCTTGTAAGTATAGAACAAAGATTGAATGAGTTATATCGTACCAAAAAGATATGAGATGCCCATGATGAGACCTTCGATCCAAGAACCACGGACTCTTGGCGGTGTAAGTTTGAGCTCAAAGTCCATCATAAACTACGAGATGAATTAGGACTGCGAGCATTGTGAATGGATCCTGCTGACTGACCTTTAGCCACATCTCTGGGTTCTCCTTCAGACGCTCTACAACCAGACATGCCTCTAGGCGATGAATCCCATACTCGGAGAAGATGTCATAAATCTCCTTCTCTTCTGCAAGTGGTTGTTCGATTATCTCTAGTTTCTCGCGGGTTTCTTCGACTGCATACTGTTTGGCATCCGCTGCGGCAGCCAGGTATGCGCCGAGGCCCATACTTATGGCGCCAGAAGCAAGTTCCGCGACTCCTGCAAGGATAACAAGTCTTCGAGAGCCCAGAGCAGATATGCCAGCAGTAAGGGCGAAAGGAACCGTGAGCCCATCGCTAAAGCCGATGATGAAATTGCGCATTAAGTCGCTGTTGCTTGGGTGCTTTTCCGCGTGTGGAAGGTCTGACATCGTAATGAGAGTCTGGCGATATCTCATGAATGTTTTTCAGACAATGGAATTGATGATCGTGTATGGTGACAGTCCAAGGTGAGGAATTTTCTGCTGAATCCGAATGGCTCCAAGCATGCTTATATGCAGGTGAAGTCAAATCATACATAGTATGACGAGGCTATAGACATGAACCTTATCTTGTAGCTACACGTCTCCTTGACGGCCGGGAGCGCGATGTGAATCTTGATGAGTGGTCGACAGCACTTCAATTTGCTGAATACGATGACTCGTTCGTGGGAGAAAGGTATATTGGATGCAGAGCAGAGTGACATATCAGGTAATATGTCAAGCCATGATCTACCTGTAGAAAGGCTAAGATACCCAGTACATGGCACTGTCGTCGGACATTGTGTATGATAGAATTATGACAGCCAATCAGAGCACTTGTATAGGTCAGCATGAGTCTCGTTCGAGTGACGTACTCAAGACAACCAATCAGAGTACCTGTCATGGTCAGCATGAGGTTTGATCCAAGAACGATACTAAACATGGAACGAGGTACGGGCAACGAGGAACGAGGTCATGCAGGTCTCGAGTCTGTCGAAAACGCATGTCACCGGGAGCGATCGCGCTACTTGCTTGTCTGACAGCGCTGTTGGTATGACGACGACGAAGGAAAAGACCATTCCGAAAGCGAGATTGCGCGCTAGCCATCAGCTTCTCGAGCGATGACTGCCGCAGTATGACCGTTGAACTACGCACAAGAATGGGGGGTTGTTTCCGGTGATCTTCGCTCAAGTCTATCTCGAGACCCTGGGTGACAGCGCCAAGGTTCAACTTCAGACAGATTGACCAATCACAAAGTAGCTGATAGTCAGCACTTTTTATGCCTCCATGCGCAGTCATCGTATGTGGGCGAGTAGCTGTGCGGTTTCTGGGACATGCTCACGAAGCAGTCAGGTAGTGATGTGCCCCATGTTTCTATGGATTTTATAACCTCAGTTCCATTACTTGTACGTTCTGGTTTACGCCTGACACCCGACTTCCCCGTACCTCTTTCCCTCATTCTTCTTGCTATACACAATCGCCACCGCTATCGGCTGCCTGGGATATGTTTTAAGCAAGAACACTCGGACGTAAGCAAGAACAACTTCATTATCATTCACTGTCCACAACACCATCAGTGTGCGGTGACAGCTCCGGAGGAGTCCCTTGGCAGACTTAAAAGTCAATTCATCCACCCGCTAGCTCATAGTCACAAATGCTACACGTCAGTGATGGCCGAATGTCAATAGTAGCACAGCCAATCAGAAGCCTGCCATTGATAATCAACAACCTGGTCTCACCCGGGTGAGCTGTCGCATGAGATAGCTAAAGTATGTTCATGTTGTTACCTGGAAGGGATAGAATAATGTGGACATTCGACGACGCAGCGACTCATCGTGCAGGCGTTTGTCAGCGAATGTCACTGTCCTGCATATGCCGTTTCCATACTTCGTACTCGCATCCACGTTTGGCGTTTGCAGGGCCGAACCAGTTGCCTCCGCCCAATGCACATGTCTTTGTTCAGTGTCCCCTGCAGGCTGGGAGCTAAGCCGTCTGACGCGTCTGGGGTTGTTCAACGATGCCAGTAGAAACTGACTTGACATGGTGATAAAAAGGAAAGTCAGCAACTCTGGTCTCTGGCTTCTAAAACAATAAAAACCATTCTCGAGGCATCACCATGAAATTGTCCAGTCCGTAATTACAGTTCACCCTCGATCTCATTACAATGAGTGCTTGTCATTCTGACCCACAATACAGAAGCTTTAATCTCAACACTTCTATACAGTGCCAGTGCTTTGGCAAGCCATCTGCCTCGCACTACCGGCCAGAACGCTTCGCCATTAGTGTTCACGTACGGATCAGCAGAACAGCCGGATCTAGTCTTTGCCATAAGCGCGACAACGGATGGCGACTTTGCCTTACACATGTCAGGATCGTCCAAGCACTCTTGGATCGCCGTCGGAACAGGTACAGAGATGGATGGTTCGATGATGTTCGTGCTCTACGGCGACGGAACAAAAAAGGGTGTGTCAGCACGATTGTTCAGTCAGGATAAGATAGACATTACTGACTAGATGTGCAGGCGCCACCCTGAGCACGCGGTCCAGCACAGGACACCAGGAGCCATCTTACGTGTCCAGTATGGAACCGCAAGTGAGTGCAAGCAGCGAGAATGGTATTCACGCCGCCACCGCATACTTCAGGAACAGTTCCGCCTGGACGCAGAACAGTATCGACATGACCTCAAGCAAGCAACCTTTCATCTTCGCTCTAGGTCCCAAGACGCATGGCCAGACCGATTCATCGCCAACAGCGATGATACAGAGACATGTTGTCTATGGTAGCTTTACCATGGACATGACACAAGCACTTTCGTCTTTGGCGTCTCAAGCCAATGGTGAGAATGGCACGTGGACTAGCAGTGGTGCATCTTCAGCCTTTGACGTCTCCAAGGATTTCGACGCTGGATGTGTTATACATGCTGTCGTTATGTGTCTTGCGTTTGTTATTGTATTTCCATTGGGTGCACTGCTATTACGACTACTCAGTGTCAGAGTCCACTACTTGGTCCAACTGGCAGCCTCTCTTCTTGTTCTTGTCGGCCTGGGGACTGGCATATATGTTTCAATGGAATATAACAAGGTATGTTCGCGTGTCGGGATGCAGATGATCTGCGCTAACACTCATTACTTCAAAGACGCAGACATACATGACTGCTCATCAGATCATCGGCCTGACCTTGTTTGCTGGTGTGGCCATACAATTACTTCTTGGTACGATTCACCACGTCATCTTCAAACGCACACGGAAATCGACTAGGCTCGGCAAAATTCACTTGTATCTTGGTCCGATGATACTTGTCCTGGGTATCGTTAACGCACCTTTGGGTCTCATATTGGGCCAGCAAAAGCAATATAATGTGCCATATGCTATCCTGGCCGCTGTGCTAGCAGTCTTGTTCTGCGTGGCAAGAGGATACCTCTTTTGGTCTGGAAGACTAAGTAAGACAATTAAAGACAATGACGGAGATGTACAGGTACCCTTACGCACGCTTTAGGGTCTAAAAATCACTGATGGATCATTTGGCTCGTGGAATGCGGTGAATACCAGATCCTCGATATCTTAGAGCATAGACTCGACTCGACATGAGGGCATGACGCATCTCGCCTTCTGAACTAAATTAGCCAGCTCTAGACCCGAGACCATGAGAGAAGTTCCGGCGTGACGTAGAAGGCAGGACTACGGAGCGGTTGCTGTTATTTGTGATTTAGGAAAAGTTTCGTCTTTCTCCATCCCGGCTGGCAGGTGCTGCAGTACCAACACAGGTTACAGACACATTCTTCTCAGAGCGGAACAAATTCCCCATACAGACTTGACAACAAACGTCACTAACGAATATGGAGATTCTGAAAGGTGCAATCAACTGCCAGGCATCTACATACCTAAGCTATGATGACATAAACTCAAAAACAAGGCTTCAAGAATCACGACTTTCTCGATGGAGCGTCCGAGGGAGCCTAGCTGTTGTGTGTCAAACAAGCAGTGCATTGATCCTGCACTCAAATTCAACCAAAACACGACCATCGAAATCATATATTCTGGCTGGTGCAAACAACCGGCTTTCTCGTGTTTCATCTAATGCGCACGATTGAGTTGTCGAGTAAGGTAGTTACAAAACCCGAGTCTTCCAGGAACCAGAACTCGATTGCTTGTCCAGCGTTTGGCAGAGCAAGCCGCATCCCTGCACCTAGCTTCGACCGTTACACACTTATTGGAGATGCATGTTTTACGTAGCAAGAAACAACCGGCCGTCATGAGAATATTACCACTGCTGCAGCAGACATCGGAATCTACCAAGTTGCAGAATCTCAAGTTGTCGCATGAGTTGGAAGCTGGAATTCGAGCTTGCTAATTTCGCGTTTCTGCCTGACGTACGAGCAAATCGAAATAGGAGCCACATTGGATGCCATGTAAACCCCTGATTTCAGGATACTCTAGCAGGCCAATACGTTCACTGGATGGTACCTGCTTGATGGTCAGCGTGCGAGGCCTTTAACACGCAGAAAGGGCTCAGCGGCAAGATTATGAAGACACCAGAAGCCTGACAGTGTGGGCAAGGCGAGATTGATGTATCCAGTCTTTGAGAGTGGCCATCAGTCGAGTGGTATCTATGTAGCAAGGAAGCTCGCGATGCGCGCTCGGCGCATTCGGTTCTGGATCCGACTTTTTTACTCTGTCTGCTCTGTCCTGGTTCCGAGCTGCATTCGGAAGAAGCTCAGTCTACCGGTAACCCTTCAGCTATCACCACTAGTATCTACCACGAGTGTCCGCAACTGAAGCCGTGCTGCTCGTCTGGCTGACGCTTCTCGCCCACATGATTCAATTTTCCACGAACGTGTCTCTTGCCGCTGTGGCAAGGACTATCTGGTATCCAGGTAGCAAAGAAGCTTGCGACGCGTGCTCGGCTTTGCCTCGCCCGCGCCGCTCGTGCTTCCGGCATTTGGTTCTGGATTTTACTCTGTTGCTGCTTTTAGTCATGGCTCTACTTCTACTCCGATCTCGAATTGAAGTCGCATTATGTTGAATACGCTTAAGGCAACGGCCTTAGTGTATCATCGATCCTGGATATCATTCCTCGCCAACCACCGTACAACTAGATCCGTTGATGCCCCTCTACCAGTCGACATTCACTGTGCTGTTCTCTCAATCCAATTACGCATTCGTTTTGTGCGCAAGTCACACTGATTCAGCGATGAAAAACTCATTTTTACCAAGCAGCCAATCCCCGTGTTACTTGGGACAGTGGTGCTATCGCGTATTGTGTTTAGTCACTATCAGATGTAGTGGGGGGTACATTCAGACATTCGAAGTCACCCACCTGCTTACTATGGACCAGACTCATGGCTGATACTCGAACCGTCCACACGATAGATCCTTCCATTTTCATGGAATTGTTGAGTTTCTTGTCTCGCCTCTTGAGTTTGTGTTTCCCCTAGCTTTCTTACCTAATCGCTCGCCGCATCTATGCCTCGAGGACAGCTATGCAACTACTCATCTACCTTTACCCTGAGATTCAAAATGTGACACTCCAGCGTTCGAGATTGCGAGCACCATCCCGCCAATAGCTTGCGTCAATTATTCTGTGGATCGTTCTCTCACCTCTCCGCTACGTATGAATCTTTCAGCGCAGGACAGGTCATTGTTGTTATTCAGAAGCAGTCACAAGAGACTCAATATAGTATCACAAAGACGTGTTTCTTGTGGTCGCGTGAAGGGAAAATGCCTCAAGCATGTTCTCAATCGGATGGAATAAAGACCTCAGATCTTTGTTCCTCTCCAGAAACCGGACAAGGAAAATGCCTTAAGCATATTCCACTTGAAAAATTGAATGTCCTACACTCCCGGGAAATTCTTCAAATTTCAACCATCGATGAGACAGCGATGAGGTAGACAGATACGTGGATCACCTGTTCTTGATTCTTCCTCCTTGCCGACACGCATGACCAGGTCTAGATCAATGTGGTCCTGTGAGGTCGTCGGTGTTATGGGCCTCCTCCTCTCTCTCTTATAACTGCGATATCGCGAAGATGCAGCGGACCTCCCCCATTCCATTATCAAGGGCCGCTTCAGCCTCTTAACGTGGCCGAGATGTTCTTCTCTCTTTCCTCCGCGAATCATATCAACATGGTAAGCCATTCCATCTTCTCAACCTGATCAAATTCTCCTTTGTCTCTGCCTGTTTTGCTTTTACAACCATCTCGACAACGACAAGTCTTCCGAACGTATTCCCAATATGGTGGGCCACGTCAACCCCATCTTTCTTCTTGCAGCTCTGATATCCTCCGCAACTATTCGTGTGTCGTTTGCCTCTGGGTTCAGCGATCGTCGTGACCACTGACATGGGTGGGCCACTCTAGCCTTCCAACATGGAGTCATCCTTGGTCTTCTCCCATGCTGCTTTTCAAGCTCGCTCGACATAGAGCAGATGCCTTCCGCAAGTGCCACAGATATAATGGACCGCTTCAGCTAACTCGTCGTTAACCATATGATCCTTGCACGTACCGTAACCCTTCCCTTCGAGCCACAGCTGACGACGGAACCCAGCGTGGACTCTGTATTGATCATCTTCCTTGTAACGGATATGATACTCCTGAACGTGAGCAATCTTTTCAAACGAAAAACAGCTCCTTCATATATTCCCTCATTTCTGCGGCGCCATGAAAAACACGTCCCGTCTCGCTTCGGTAGACCGTCTTCGAGCTGTACCATTTGGTCATGGAGCCCTCAGTGAATGTCCAGAGTTGACCGCTTGTGCGTAGGCTTCGATGAATCTTTGGTCTTCAGGTTTTCACAAATTAGTGGTGGTCCAATCCCACGCGCGATCTACATATAGACCCTGTGCCATATGTTGATTGGGTTTGCGGGATGGGGTGCTTGGGGGTTGTGCTGGGAACTTGTCTTCTTTGGTTGTGCTTGATTGTCTGTTCACAAGAGCTCCATGTGACACTGGTATTAGCTCCTTCTATACATCTCCTGTCTTTTGTCTGACAGCGATCCGAATATCAAAGCTTCGTCCCAGGAGGGAATGGTGGCAGCAGAGGAAAAAGTCGCGAGCCGAGGTGATCAGTCAACACGGCCCTAGAAGATCCAATCCCGCCTTTCGGGCCGCAGTCTCTACTTACATAAGCAGATATGGCTAACAAGAGACAAAAGATTCTGACCGCGACCCTGACTACTCCGACATCGGTGTGCGGTCAGCATTTGCAACGCCTCACGCGATTACTACTTTTCGAAATCGTCATGGTCGGAAGGCCATCCTACTGCGTCCCATGATTACTCTGCGGCATTGCTACCAGGAAGCTGGGATTCTGGCAGGAGCGACGACCCAGAAGCGTCCTTCTAGGCAGATTACGACCCACATCGATGACTTTAACTGTACATCACAGCGTCTGAGATGGTCAAATCAATGAAGCCATGAACGTAAAAAAGAACATTTGAATTGCTATGCATCTTCTCTAAGTGCACTTTTCCGTATAAGATCAAGCAGACACGCTCAACTGTCTGTCACTGCTTTTCTTGTTCTTGCCAAATCTCAATGGACCAAGCATTTCTCCCCAGAAACTTTGAGGAGGATCGATGAAGGTCTGCTCGTAAGCATCGATCGTGGGACGCTCCCAGACAAGGTCAACCTCCAGCGCTGGGATGATACGGGTACGCTTGATCAATTTCCAGCCGAAGTAAGTGACAGGCGCCAAGAGAAGTAGGGTGTAGTAGATGAAGAAGTTGTCGACGGAGAATGGCGCGAAGCTAGTGTATCCGTAGCAGAAGACGATCATGGTCATCCAAGCTGCACCAAGGTATGCCTTAAGCAGAGATTAGCAACTGCTGTGATAGGGCCGGTAACGATGGACAAAACTTACAGAGTATGGCTGGAACCAACCCTTGTAGGGAAGAGTGTTGCGATCAAGGGCCTGAGCTTTGCAAGCACGGTAGAAGAAGATGTATGTGATGCACATAACCAGGTAGTTGATGACGCCTCCAGCAGTGACGAGGTTGATGAGCCATCCCAAAACGACGTTCGAGCCGTTGCTAACCTGCAGGAAAGCAAGGCAAGGGAAGACCATAACTATGGCAAAGCAGACAAGAGGTACGCCGCTCTTGGTGCAGTAGCGGAGGGCTTTAGGAGCTCTACCTTCGAGGGCCATTCCATACAAACTGCGAGTGGCGCAGAAGGTGTATGTGTTACCAGCACTGAAGATGGATGTCACCAGAAGAGCGCTGACAAGATGGGGTAGTCCGTTGATGCCCATGTTCTTCATGGCAATGACGTAAGGTGAAGCAGTAGCTGTTCCAGATCCACTAGTCTCACCAGTGATGATGCCAGTCAAGGTAGGGTCGGTCGAACTAAGGACAATACCGACGGCCAATGCACCTCCCATAAACTATTTTCAGTCAGCACATTTCTCCAAAGCAGTTGGCGATGCGACTTACGAAGAGAGCAAATCTCCAGTACACAGTCTTGAAGGCGTTCTTGATGTAGATGCGTGGGCGTCTAGCCTCGGCAGAGACCATCGAGATATACTCGGGACCGGTAACGCAGAAGGACGCTGACCAAAGAGCGGCACAGAAACCCTCAAACTGACCGAGGGTTCCTTCGCTTCTCCACTCCTTGAAGGCATTGGTCTTCCAGTTGCGGAAACCGTATGCGTCGTGTTGAGGGTTACCTCCGACCACTGGAAATTGTCAGTATTGGTGAGTGGCAAGTCATAGTCGACGCTCTGTCGCTTACTGGTAATGAAGGTGAATGAGAAGACGATGAAGATGAGGATGACTTTTCCTCCTGACAGCCAGAATTCTGCTTCTCCAAAGACTTTGATAGCAAGAACGTTGAGGATACTGTTCTTTATTGTCAGCACAAGCGCTTCAACGAGATAATCTGGAGTTCTGTCGCTAGGGCTGTATGGGAGGTCGCAAGGGTGTGGGAACTGGTATCGCCGTTGCACGGGGTAGCAAAATTGTGTGGTCGCAAGGAGGTCATGTGTCGCAAGGTTTTTTTGTGTCGCAAAGGAATGGAAGGAGATTTGAAGTCGCTCGGGAATCGTCGCGTTGGAGGTCTTACCCATAGAGAATCTTGAGTATATGTTAGCTTGCGCCAGCTCGGAGGACAAGCATTTTGGACTCACGATACAGGCCAAAGGAATTGCCCACGGTGGGATGTCATCAGACCAAAAGTCGAGCACAGTGGATAGAGCAGTGATTTCGAAGGGGATCAATAATGCCTCTGTTTGCACCAGTCAGCATCTGCTTGGTCTTTTCGCGGACCGAGGGATCCCTACCATAGATAAAGAAGTTGTAGCCTGCCATGAAACCGAATGCGTCGTCGACGAAGTGACCAGCCAGGCGAATAAACCCGCCAGACACGGGGTACGCGGTAGTCATCTCAGCGATACAGTTGTTGACCAAGCCTAAAAAACAAGCATAGATTGTGTAGGCGAGGAACAAGCTACCAGGACCGCCCTTGTAGAGACCGCCACCAATACTGACGAAGAGAGCAGTTCCAATTGTGCCACCAATGGCCATCAGCTGGATCTGTCTGTTGCCAAGTCGACGGTGGAGGTGGTCGCTGTTCTCTACAATCTCGCCTTCTTCGTATGGAGTATCTGATAGAGGCGCCGATGCGACGTACTCGCCGATCTTTTCCTCATGTTTGAGCGACGACATGATGATTGCAATTGAGGGGAAACGATGTGAGATGAGAGAGAGAAGAGGCGCGAGGACAGTGCTCTATATGCCAACGCCATGACAGCTCACATTGCGCAGTAAACGTCTGTTAGATGGAACTATGGTTACGGATGCGCCACCAGCTGTAAATTGATCCAGTAGTGAAGCTGGACTGTTGATAACAGAAAGGTTGAAAGAGCCCCCGGCTATCAGCGGCCCCCGCATTAGGACTTACTACCCGGTAGGAGCGCTGGTTGGCGTGGAGTAGCGCGTCTTGGCCTGTCAGGCGTCCAGTCGATCTCCGCTCGTTCTCGCGATAAGCACCAAACGTAATGCGTTTCGTCGTGTACATCTCGCATGGTATATTGCGCGCGTTGCCCAGAGTCATCTAGAACATTTCGTGCAGAAAGCTTCGAGTCGATTCTTCTTCTCTCTCGCATGTTTGATGGTCCAAGGGACTTGTGACTTGAATCGACAATCGCTATCTTGGCCGACGAGCTTCTTTGTTTTTGATATTCAAGGCTGGATCTCAGAACAATCTTCGTGGCGAAGACGCCTGGATCATCTGTTTCGTGAACCGTCAGTTCAGTCCTTATCTCTCGCCTCATCGCCTTGCCTCTCACGTCCACGCTCATCCTTGTCTTATCTCTTGGCTCCCACGGAGTCACCGAGTAGGATAAGGGCGGACGCTTTCCTTCGGCCTTATTAATCTTGGCCACGAGGATGTAGGAGCTGGAGGAACTTCATGGTCTAGCCCACGTCTCTGCGAAACATCCTTGCAAGTCGTCTGAATCTTGAACACAACACAGAGACACTCCCGTGGAAGCGTTTTCCTTGAAAGAATTGACTTGAGCTTGTTGATGTCGTTCACTTCACAGTTAACTTGTGTAGCGCATGCGACTCTGTTGATCTGGCCCCTACGTTCTTAAGTGGTTGTCACAATTCCGGCATGGTCGCAATCTGCTGCCGTGAGGTTCTGTCCTGTTTGAACGCATCATGATCAAAATCGCGACTTGATGATTTGTGTTGAGGACCGTGACGCAGTAATATCTTCTATCGCTGTCGTACATCAACATAGTCTTGTTTCAGTGAGCAATGCAAGCCTTGGTCCACTTCACTGCCGGTTTGATGACTTCGAGGTGAAAAGCATCTCCTGACCGCAAACCCATATCGAAGGCATGATCCGCTCCCTCGACTATGCTTTCATGATGCGGTATATCTTGTTGTTCTAGTGCAGCTGCGAAGTCTGTGACGTGACAGACTTCGAAAAGACTGTCTTGCACCCATTATCTGGTACACAGGCGGGTAAAGAACCTTCTCACACAATTGCAAGGGAGGTAATGGGAAGGTCGACGAGTAAGTAGAAAGACACCAACAACAGACAGGGTCAAGACTCACAAATCTCGTCTATTTCCTCCTTCGTCACTTGCCCCGCCTTAGGGAACTTGAGAAACCGCTTTCCTGCTTGTTGCGCATCTTGCTTCGCATCCAGACCTCGAAGCAAAAGATCAACAACAGCTTCTGATCGGAACATGTACAATCCAATCTTCGTGCGGTCGTTGAACCACTCGGCCTGGGTTGCAGGCTTAGGTGAGTTAGTAGGCGGCCAATGTGTCCGCATCTGGACATGTGATCTCCAAGTTCGCAAATGGGACGATGTTGCGGTGGGGCAGACGATGCATGTTTGTCGGTCCGTAGAGAGATATGATCGCTTTTGGATTGGTCTTCCATAACTTGTGCGTCACATCACAAGGTTAATCGCAACACCTTCACAATCATCAAGATCATTGCTACTCACAATGAGCAAAGCCAGATGAGCTCCCGCAGAGCCACCAACTACCACCAGTTCATGACCCTTGACGTTGAAGCCAAAATCCTCGAGCTTCTTCGGCATCACATTTCGCACCCATCCTTCTACGTCGCGGATATCTTCAAGCTGGTCCTCGATGAATCGCGACTCAGGTAGCATATGATAGGCCATCGAAGCGACGACAAATCTTCGTCTTACCGACATGCTTGTACACACAAGTGAGGGATGATTGCAAAGTTCGTGGGGACTCGACTTTCGTCATGTTGTTTCGGTTTCTCCAGCAAGCAATTTCCTGATGGTGATGATAACTCTGCTTCAGCGAAACCGCGTTGCTGTTGACTGAGACACAAGAATTGCGTCTGAGGTACACATGGCGGGATAGAAGAGGCCGACTTCGGTTCGGTCAGTTCGGCCAATCTCGGCTCGGCCCACTTCGCGGGAACCTGTGTCGGGACGTCCACATGAACAACTCCGTCCTTTCACTTGATTGTTTCCTGACTGTAGCAAAGTATGCAGTATCATTCCCACTTGTTAGATAGCATCTGACCCTTTCTTCTTCTGATATACTGAAATCTGGAATGCAAGGTGAGCAAGAGGTCATCTGTACCACAGCCTATTCTGCGAACTGAAGGTCGTACGCAAGAGTCTCGTCGCACAACGACAGTGTCAGCCGGTGTAACCTACAACCAACCTCACACATTCGCTTCTACTCATACAAGCTTTCATGAATGAATACTACTCCAACATGATCTCAGTTACTTCTGATGCTCCATATGCTCAGCATAACTTGCGATACGATCCGGTCCATCCAACCGAGCCACTAATCCCATATAATAGCCCTGCCCACGGTGCGCAGTGGGTGGATGCGGCGCTTCGACGTCAATCTTGATCAGACCCGGAATCTTGCCATGCAGACTTGCAGCTGTCTCTTCAAGCTCCACGACATTGTCTTGTGAGACATCTGGCTTTAGCTTGAAGAGTACTGCAAGAATGAATGTCAGTTGAGACTTCACGGGAGATTTACAATGATTTGGGGAATTGACTTTGTTGTGCTTGATACGTACCTATATGGTAGACGGGCATTGTTGGGCAGATGTCACGGTGTTTGTCAGTTTCTGTGCTAGAGGGTTTTGCCTTCTGCGCATATGTACAGTGTAGCATAGGAAGGATGCATTAATAGTCTAAAACGAAACTTGCGGACTCATTTGCGGACAGTCATCCGCCTTCGGGGAACATGGAGGAGACAAAGGTCCGCTGTATACCCTCTGAGCGGCCGCGGCTTCGAATCTTATTCCAAAAGACCCCCTTCTCAGTGGTCTTTTCGCTGCAGCAATCATACGAGGCGTTCAAAGCAATGGCATTGCTTCGGCCGTCAAGCATTTCGTCGCAAACGACATGGAACACGAACGCAAAGCTGTCGACTGTCTGGTATCGCAGAGAGCTCTTCGTGCGATCTACCGTCTCCCCTTTGCAGCCATACAGCATGCCTTTCAATGGTTCACCTCATCGCCACAGATGCGCACGAGCCGTGTTCAGCCCCTCGGACGAAGGGCTCGTCCCTGTCTTGTGATCTATCTCGCAATCCATCCCTTGGTGCATATATTGTGTGGTCATGGCTAAGATGTGGCAACAGTCGGGGCTGTGGGCTCTCTTCATATGGCTCCAGGGTAGTGCAACGCGTATGGGGATTCAGGTGCCGGTATCGTGGGCTTCGCGCTACTTTTCAAGTCGGACGATGTGGTCGATGACAGCAGGCGCGACGGGTAGCATGAAACTGGTCGGAGGAACAATCCAGACTGTCGCGAGTCTCCTGTTGTTGCCTTGGTCAAGCGCGCTTGGAATAGCCAGCGCGGGTGGCGCGCGCGTCGGGGCGGAATGGAGGAAGGATGGGCGAACACGGATTTCTACATGATGGCAGATGCGGACTCCATATGGGCCGATGGCAGTTCTGTCGTCATCGCTTCATGCTTGGTGTGAGCACGAGAAAGCGAGCGGTCAGCAGTCAGCAGTCGCGGGAAACTTGGGAAGCTGCGACGCCCTCGTAGGCGACTGCCTCGCGTCGCCAACCTCCGCTCCACGCGCCTCCACCGACGGCGTCCGCGGACCTCCTTTGACAACAAATTGATTGCGTTGTCGGGTACAGTGGCACCTCTTCACCATGAGTCTTCTGGCGATTCAGAGTCGCCTGTTGTCCTTGCACACACGCAGCCTCTCACTTGACCATGGGCGTGTACGACTTGATCCACAAATCTTGGAAGACGCTGCGGACAGCAATCAACGCATTGCTGCACCTCAACCGTACTTTTGAAGCCCTTGTCGCACGCATTAACCATGGCCCTCCTCTTCCAAATCGCAACCCTATCAAATCCTACTGGCTCGAGAACCCACCTTTTCAAGGGCTCGTCGATGCCCAGTCGAATGAGCTGCCGACCGAGACCGATGTGATTATCATCGGAAGCGGCATCACTGGTGCAGCCGTGGCGCGGAGTCTACTGCAGGAAAGTAAGCGAAAAGGTCGCGATATCAATATTACCGTCCTCGAAGCTAGAGACATATGCAGTGGTGCGACGGGGCGTAATGGCGGTCACATCAAGGTTTCGCCGCACGAATCGTTCGAAGCATTTGAGAAGAAGTTCGGTACCGAGAGAGCTGTCTCTCTCACGAAGTTTCAGTTGAGACACCTAGAATGTCTGACAGAGCTTTGTAGGAGTGAGAATTTTGTCGAGGCAGAGTGTCGCGTTGTTGAGACTGTAGACCTTTTCGTTGATCAAAAGGCATTCGACAAAGCCTGTCACACGCTCGGCAGGATGAAGACACTCTTGCCAGAATTTGCGATGCACTCGTACCAGCAGAAAGACGCCCGGGAGGTTTGTGATTTTCTCTCTTTGCCATGTATGTGTCTGTCAGAGACTGACCTAAACAGAAATTCGCCGTCAGCGGTCATGTCGTCGGTGCGCTGTCCTATCGGGCTGGGGCAATATGGCCATATCGCTTTGTCACTGCTGTCTGGAACAAGCTTTTGCAGGAGTATGCCGGTCAAATAACCATCGAGACCAATACTCCGGTCTTATCTGTCCAACGAGGGCAGTCTTCCGGACGCTCTTACAAGGTATACACCGATAGAGGTGTCATCGTCTGCACCCACGTCGTTCATGCTACCAACGCCTGGATGGGTCACCTACTGCCCTCGCTCAAGAGCAAGTCCACAGGCACAAGAGCCCACATGTCTGCGCAAAACCCTGGATACCACGGCTATCAGGGCTTTCATGGTGACCGCTCATGGTCGATTGTCTACGGTGACAACGACTACGACTACATGACCCAAAGACCGTCTCCCGATGGTATGGGGGATATCATGCTTGGTGGTGGCACCTTCCGCTCCAAGGACAACGGGCTCGATCAGATAGGTGTGTGGGACGACAGCCAGATCGATGCATTCACATCAGCACATCTGGCTGGTATCCTCCCCATTATCTTCTCAAGCAAAACACAGCAGCCAAATACCCAGAAATCTGCCAGGTCACTACAACAACACTGGTCCGGCATCATTGCATTGACAGCAGACTCTCTCCCTTTTGTCGGAGAGCTGGACGCAGGTCTCAGTGGCCGTGGCTCCGTGACAGAAGATGCATCCGAGTGGATCTCGGCAGGCTATAATGGTCAAGGCATGGTCTATGCCTGGCTCTGCGGCACCGCACTCGGCATCATAATCACGGGTTCTGAACACGAGGATATTCCTGCCTCACCTGGTTTCCCTGGAGGGGTACTAAGTGAGTGGTTTCCCAAGGAGATGCTGCTTGATCGTAAGCGATATGACAAGATCGATATCCTTGATCTTGCTGATGAGCTTTGAACCAAAACATCACCAAGTCCCATTGATTGTGTTGTTGTCCGTGCTGGTCCAGTGCAAGAACGAGCTATAACGATACGTCATAGAGCAGGCAGAAAAGGACAACGTAAACATGTTGGCCGCCGGTGTCGCTTGATCTGCTAGAAGCAACAAGATATCGGCAATGCTATGTGGAATCCTAGCGTGCTGCAGATGCAGCCCTAAGGACAAGCGCGGAAGCCTTCTTGTTGCCTTCGTGACTTTCCCCGCAACTGCTACTTCCCTCACGTTGATGGCCCTTCTTTCTCCATGTTGTCTCTCAAGAACATCTTCAATCTTTTAGATCCGACAATCACATCGAGGATCCCAACTTCGTTCCGAGTCCGACGGCGTTTCGAGGACTGGGTCTATACCATGCGACACTATAGGCCACCTCCGCACTTCGGTTAAGTCTCGGCTCTTGAGCGATGGCGAGCTCTTGCACCATGCAGGATCTAGAGACCCCGCCGCTCAAACTGACGAACCACATCAAGGAATTGTATCAGACTTCGCAGCTGGGACGATGGCGAGCTTTCGCATCATGGTAATTCAAGGCATTCGTTGCGACGAGAATTCTCGGCCTCCACATCAACAGAGGAGGACAGATAGTATATGATCAAGTTATGGTGTCGCTTTTCCATGTACCATTGACTCTTGGAAACTTGAACTGAAATGGCTGAAAACGACAAAACTCCTGGTATATTGGCTGCTGAGCCGTTGGAAAGTCCGAGCGATGATGGGTCTTGCAGAGCAGTCCGTAAGCGTGAGAATCATCAATTCCCCTTTCGGCATCAAGAGAAACTTGCTGATACTTGTCACAGCGAAATGGTATCGCTCCACCTTCTGGAACGCATTCATCCTCGGCATCTGCAACTTCCTGGCTCCCGGTATCTGGGGCGCTATGAATTCTCTCGGAGGAGGTGGACAACAATCACCCTCCCTCGTCAATTCCGCAAACGCATTGACATTCTGTCTCATGGTTCTCACCTGTTTCTTCTCTTCTGTCGTCGTGCGCTGGGTTGGCGTCAAGTGGGCCCTCATCATTGGAACACTGGGATATTGTCCCTACGCTGCTGGTCTGTACGTCAATAACCGCTTTGGCGATGGCTGGTTTGTACTTCTCGGCGCCGCACTTTGCGGTCTTTCTGCTGGTATCTTTTGGTCTGTTGAAGCTGCTATTGCGCTTGCTTATCCTGAACCTCATAATCAAGGTCGCTTCTTGGGTTTCTGGTTGAGCTTTCGACTTGGTGGGCAGATCGTCGGTGGAGCCATTAATCTTGGTGTTAATGTCGATAACGACAAAGCTGGCTCGGTATCTTATCATGTCTTTGAGGCGTTCATTGCATTACAAGCTCTTGCGCCTTTTGCGGGTCTTTTGCTCAGCCCGCCTGAGAAGGTGCAGAGGACTGATGGTCTACCCGTTCGTCTGAGTATTGGCAACAGCATCACCTATGAGCTCAAAGCGATGTCGAAGCTCTTCTTCAGCAAACACTTTTTACTCATCGTACCGCTTATCGCTCAAGCTGTCTACGCAGAGTCGGTTTTCTTCACCTTTCAGGCCCTCTGGTTCAGTGTCCGCGCCAGAGCTTTGGGATCATTCTTGTCGGGCATCGTCGCTGTTACTATGGGCAATATACTTGGCAAGTATCTGGATCATACAAAGTTCAGCCTCAAGTCGAGATCAAGAGGTGCTTTTGCTACAATTCTTGGCTTGCAGGGTGCTTGGTGGATATGGGCGACAATTCTGGTTACCGAATTCAACAAGACTGATCCGACTTATGATTGGGTGGACGATGGATTCGGCAAGGGCTTTGCCTTGTTCTTGTTTTGGGTCGCTGGGTTCCAGTTGAACTACATGTTTCTGTAAGTGTTTCGCCCTCGCTCCTGATGCCTATGTGGTCGAGCTGCGATACTGACGATATCAGCTACTTTGTGGTCGGCAACCTCGCAGAAACCCAAGAAGAAGTCATTCGCATCTGCAGTCTCCTGCGTGGTACTGAGTCAGCCGTTCAAGCCGTTAGCGTAAGTCAAGCATTCTTATCTGCGCTGCTTCAGTTACAAATGACTGATCCATTCTTTTTAGTATGGTCTCGGAAGTGTGACTACCATGGCGAGAACTGGAAACATCTACCTCAACTTTGGTCTCTGGGCGATATCGCTCTTCCCTGCCTGGTTGGTTGTGTCAAAGATTGGTGTTACATTGGGCGATAAGAAATTGTCTCGTGAGGAAGCTGTGCAGGAGAGTATACTCGGCAATGCGGAGTTGAGTCGCGGGACAGAAAAGCAGTGAGGGTTGGTGTTGAAATAGCAATACGTTGGCCATTGGGTAGACCAAGAAGAGATGACAGGAGTCAGATGGTTTCATAATAGATCATTCGCATACAAAGCGATAAACGAGGGGCATAATTGGCCTATTAGGTCTATGGTATCGGAAATGACAGGAACAATGCTTTTATGAGATCTGAGGTTCTCTCATCATACCCTTACAGAGCAGTAACGCTGTTGAGAACAGGGTACTTGGGCTGTAGAGGGTCGTAAACACTCTGACAACGACCATTGTAATCAGCGGTGCAGCCAATTTCAATAGACAGCTCGTCACCAGGAACACCAAGCTTAGCAACAGCGCCAGACTTGGGCTTGGCCTTCTCCCAACCGGGTCCAGCAGAGGGGTTCTTGATCCATTGGACGAACCAATCGTTCATGGAGTCAGCGAGGGCTTGCTGGGCAGCTGTGACACCGGTGAGGGACTCAAAGTCCTCGTTTCCACCGAAGAAGAAGGGGATCTCGGTGCCGTGGGTGGGGGCACCGACGATACAGCCAACGACATTGCAGTACTCGCCGAAGAAGCGGTAGACCCAGGTGTCCTGTACCTCACTGCGGAGGTCGATGAGGTAGTCAACAGGGCAGAAGAAGCGAGCATCACCGTACTGGGCACCGCTCATAGCAGAGACAGAGGCGTACTCGGAGACGTTGTAGGCAGCGATGAGGTCCTCGTCGGGAATGTGAGCGACATCAGCATCGAAAGTGTTGATCCAAGAGCTGAAGTCGGTGTTCTCGCCACCGTAGACGAGACCGAAGATGACGCCCTCACCGTCAGAGTTACCGGTGAGAAGAGGAACGTGAGAAGCGTAATTGCCAGCAGCGAAGCGGCCGGCGTAGTCAGAGAAACGAGTGACCTCGTCAATGATGGGAGAAAACCAAGTGTTGTAGGTGGAGTTGAAGTTGGCAGTCTCAATGTCGAAGATGCTCTTAGTACGGAGACAGTCAAGCTGACCGGCACCGGTACCACAACCGACCTCGGCAGCGACAATATCAAGACCCTGGTTGAGGGGAGTGATGGCAGGGCCAGACTCAGCGTTAGCACTCATCTGAACGGCACCGACAAGCCATGACTTGGGATTGTTCCACAAGTAGTGGTCGACTTGAACGGAGCCCGAACTGTGACCACCGAACACAACATGCTTAGGGTTACCACCGAAAGCAGCAATATTCTCATGAACCCACTCGAGAGCCTGCTCAACATCAAGGATACCAAAGTTCTGGGAACCGTCCTTGCCCAACTCAGCAGAGTTAGGGTAGGCAAAAATGCTCTCTCTGGTATTGAAAGAGACAAAGATGACATCCTTGCGAGCAAAGTTGTTACCCTGGAACTGGGGGTTGCTGCTTGAGCCAGTGACCATAGCACCTCCGTACATGTATACGAAGACCTATTAGAAGATATAAGCTTTTGTTTCAGAGTTCAGGTGATCGTCAAAAGCACTTACAGGAAGGTTCTTGCCGTTTGCGGGCGCCCAGACATTGAGGTTCAAGCAATCCTCATCTTGACGGCTGTATGCATCATTGCTGATGGCTTGAGGGCAGGTGGGCCCGTATGCAGTAGCAGTAATGACCTCTCCAGGCTTCAACTTGCTTTTGGGAATGGGTGCCTTCCATCTGCATATCGAGTCAGCTACAATTGAGTCAAGCATGCGAGGCTGCAAGCGAAACGTTGCGGCCGTTATGCCATGTGTTGCGGACGTACCGGTTCTCTCCCCCAGTGGTCTCGGCGAATGGAATGCCCAAGAAGACCGAGTTATTACTGGCGTCAGCAAAACCTTTGACGGTACCTCCTTGGAGGTTGACAGTGTGAGGTCCTGCATGAGGCGCCGCGGGACCTGCGGGCGGCGCTGGTGGTCCAGGAGGACTACGAGTGACAGGACCACCAGGTGGACCAGGAGGAGCTGGAGGACCCGGGGGAGCTGCGTCCCTGCAGACAGCAAGAGCTGTCACAGCGGGTACAGCAAGGGCTGCATTCAATACATGGCTGAATCTCATCCTTGCTCAATTGTCGATAGGGTTAAAGGAAAAAGAGAAGAGAGTTCGATACGAAGCGACAAGGACGAAAGGGCACATGTAACAAAGGAGCAAGATCTGCTTTTATTCTCCATGCGAGATAATACCCAACCCTGCAGATCATCTTGCTAATAAAACCACGTGCGGGTTGAGCGTGGCCAAGATCAAAAAAGGGTCCTTGCTGCTCTTTTCCAAGCGACGGATCATCTCACCGTAGGGTAGCATTCCGAAGAGATGACTTCTCGCCCCGACGTGAGCGGCGTCGTATTCCGGCTCCTACGGGGGACAAGCTGCTTTTCACTACTGCTCGCGACAAGGTCAATTTTGACCCAGTCTCGCATCCATGTCGCTTCGAGCGAGTCAGGCACATGAACAACTGCGCCATTGAGCTAGTCGACCTGCTTCGCCGTTGAAGCTACAACACGATGGGCTTCGGCAAGGCTAAAGGCTTAAAAAGTCGAATCCTGAAACTCAACGGCCAATGGGAAGCAAGACCACCAGTGAGGCAGCGGCGATACGCAATCGGGTAAGACAAGCGAGAGCAGCAGTGCCAGACTCCACTGCGAAGATTGGATCATTCAAAGCCTCGGAACGTCTTGAACAAATGGTGCGCTTTCCACTCTTGTTATGGATGGTTTGCCAAAGTTGCACAAAACGGTGCCTCCCGCAAACATGAAACTTCGTATAAATGCCACAATTTTGGTTAGCCATAAACTTTGACCGAAGGATTCCGCTGTCTGCAGGCTGTGCAAGAAACGTGGATTGGCCAACAGAAGAAAAGGCTAGTTCCTAGGGGGAAAAAGGAAGGAGTTCAACTACTTTGTGGAGAGGGTGACGAAGCTAGCCGAGGAGCGATGCCGCTTTGTCATTGGTGGATCAGTCGTTGCTGCTCGGGGTCTCGTCATACAACGCCGCGCTTGTAAGAGGCTCCGAGGCTCTTCTGGAAGTAAACGTGGATTATCTTGTTTACGGGCGTACAGCCTATTGATCCATCGTGTCTATCCATAGCGACATAGCTGGTCACTAGTATGCAGATCATCAAGCCCTACAAGCCCATATCGGCTACCGTCATGCAACGCAAAGACATAAGAAGTTTGCATCGATCCCAGTTTTACGGAATCGCTTGTTCTTGCGTGTCTGTTGGATTTTCTCTTGCTCTTCCATATAGCGACCTTGCTCTGGCCTCTTGTCTAGCATCGCTTCATGTAAATTAATTGATTGCTTCACATTGCGAATATGCCGGACTCTTCGGTGGGGCAAGTGGTATGTTCGAGTCTTCCGTCCGGATCGGCACTGCCAATCGCTCACCATCGTTTCACAGATTTCGTGGTACATCTGTACTATCATACCATGCTTCTTCCTGTTTCTGCGACTATTCAGTCGATGGCAACGCTTCGGTCGGCTTGCCATTGATGATTGCTTCCTCATCCTCGCGGCGGCATGTCTCATTGGCGACCTTGCCATTCAACAACACATGTGGAATCTTGGTCTAGGAGACATGGCTAATGCGAGTCAAGAGGACTTTGTTGGCATTATGAAGGTTGGTTGTCCCGAAGACTCTGTGCGATGAGGTTCAATCGCTGATAATTTCTAGATGATTGTACCCGGCTCAGTCCTCTACGTCTCTTCTCTCTGGTGCATCAAATTCGCTCTCGTCATCTTTTACAAGAAGCTCGCCGCACCGGGATCCAAGATGCAGATCGCTTACAACTTTGCGCTCGCCGGACTGGCTGTCACATTCACCACAATCTTCTTTGACATTTTATTCCAATGCTATCCATACGATAAGAGGTGGTCTCACGACCCTAGCTATCAATGCAGCCCGAAAGCTTCAAGGATCAACTACTGGATCACCATTTTGTTCAACATTTTCTCCGATCTCATCATCATCTGTCTTCCCATTACTATGGTCATGAAGCTTCAGATGAAGTTGAAGCAGAGATTGGCAGTTGCGTTCATCTTTGCTCTCGGTGGTTTCGTCATCATTGCCAGCAGTAAGTCTCTTATACTCCATCACGGCATGTTCCAAGTACTAAACACATCGTAGTCATTCGTGCCATTTACTCTTGGCAGAACAAGACAATGTTGACCTGTACTGTATCCATGGTAGAGAACGGCGTCGCCATCATCGGTGCCTGTCTGCCCGCTCTCCGCGCCATTTTCCTCGGTCAACCTTCCACTGCAGGAAACAGCGGCAGTTACGCAAAACATTACGAATTATCCTCGAATCAGAGGAGAAATCCTCAAGCCAGAAACACCACGAATTTCACATCTTCGACCAGCAGACCAGGCAGAAGTGGTTCGGTGGACTCGGATGAGGAACTTGTGAGGAATATGCAGGCACATGGTCAAGCACAGCCATATGTTTCTGCACAATCGAGTTTGTCAGACGACAAATCAGCTGGTATCATGGTTGCTACCACAGTTGATGTCGATCACAAGGATCAGGATAGTGTGAGCTCATTGCACAGTCCATATGGAGCTCATAGAGTCTGATCCGTTTTCCTTTGTCAAATCGTATATACCACCAGAACACAAGAAGCTCAACAAGCGAATTAATTCACCCACCAATCTGAGGAGTTTATGTCGATTGCGCCTAAAGTGAGATTGATTAAGTACTCCATGTAAGCCACTGTTCGGCACCAAAGCTCTGGTCTGTAAAAAACAAATAGTCTTCCGGCACCTCCATAGAATATGACAAGGAATTAATAATGTCAGGGTCTAGGTAGTTCGACCCTTCAATGTTTGCCGTGTCGGCAGCGTATCCGCCCGGTGGGTCCCGAGGAGCAAACTCGAGTTCCTGACCTGCAGCAGGTTGCATTGTCCGGTTTGACTGCTGACCACTACCACTGGACTTGCGAGAGACGTGAATGCGCCCAATTAGGGGCAGAAGCAGACTGACCTTTTGTGGCTCAGCCGAGTTTGGTCGTTGAAGTAGTAAGCGAAGGCTTCTGATAGCCTCCACTCCATGAGCAGCGAACTGACTCTCCGTTCGCTTGGATGCTTGCTCCATAACTTGGACAGCTTCATCAATCAAGACGCGAGTCTGTTGTGTATCCATGATACGCCAAGAGAATGCAGAAGAGGAGGTCGTCGCCGGCTTATTCGCAGCCAGCAAAAGGAAGATTATCGCCGAGAAAGCCTGTAGATCCACAATCAAATTGGCAAAGAAGCCCTTTGGCAAAAGTGGACGTAGTGAAGTATAACGCCGGGCATGCTCCTGACAAGCACTCAAGCAAGACATGAAGTTGTAGAAGAATCTCTGATCATGGTCGTAAGCAAGGGCCAGCCGGAGATGAGTTCGGATGGTTATGTACGTGTGCCAGTACTGGAATAGGCCCGATGGAGTCATCTGCGATCTATGATCTTGCCACCATGACTTTGCTGGAGACTGCGCCAGAACTTGCAGTTCTTGATCTGTAGACATGACCATATTGAGTAGTTCCGGAACGGATTTGCTTTGTGTATAGACGCCATCGAGTTCCAAGACGCGACTGGCGATGTTTGCAAGTCTGTGAATGAAAGCCTGTGGAATGACTTCACCTTGCATATCTATAATAGGCCGCATAGGAAGTGGAAAGCTTGCAGTAGCAATTGGTAAGGACCACATCAGAGACATGATGCGGTCGATGGCGCAGATGGACTCCCAGACCTCAGCTTTTTCTTTCTGGTCAGCTTGTGCGTGCTCACGATAAGAGTCGGATGGGACCTGGACTGGTCGAGACTGAGGCTCTGCATGGAGCTGAACGGTCGCGGCAGCGCGAGGTAGACCGATCAATTCCGCAACGGCAATGACTCGTCGAAGTGTAAGCCACGTTTTTCTCACCCTCGCTCGGCCGAGTTGACTGTTTCAACACAAAGTGGTCAAAGATTCGTCATTTCGGAAGAGAGCTTCAACCAACTTACAGTCTGACAAAGAGCAGAGCGCCCCGGATACCCTCCAGATCTGCGATCAAGTCATCGTTCGACATCACAGACCTCTCTACTGCTGTGGAAACAGTCTTGATAAAGGCTCTCGCATCGGGTATGCTTTGCAACATTTTCATCGCATTACCAGTCGGGGCTTGCTGGACCGTGATAGCGATGGCCAGTAATAGAGTAGCGATGGGCACGGGATGCGTTTCTGACTGCTTGATCCTGTCGTATGTTGAAAGCATCATATCGCCAGTGCCCATGGCCAAGTTGAGTGAGAAAAGGACCTTATACCATGACAGCCAGGAAGCGGAATTAGCAGCGATAATTACCATGTCTTCGCGGCTTGGTAGTAAGGCAAGTAAGGAGGATGTCTCCTTGTAAGTGGAAGAGTTGGTCAATCGGGTGGACGGCGTCGTAATGTCATGTCCATTAGAGTCAAGCAGGTCATTATCAAATAGGCGAAGTAGGTGACTTGGCGGGTTTGCTGGTGATGAGGGTTCTGAGGTGTCAGGACTCGATTCACGGTCTTGACTATTGATGGATCTGGTGTCGTCGGCTTGAGGATGATATCGTGGTTGACTTGGGCTACTAGTAGCACCAACACCAGCACCCGAGCTGATGGCAGCCCATAAATCATTAACTTGCTTCTCCAAGGCTTCAATACGAGCTCGAGAGCTCAACTTTGGCTCTGACGACTGAACGACTTCGATCTGTAGTTCACACGTCCGATTCTTGGTCGCACAGCTTTGACAGACCTGAGCATTGTCGGACAACCAGATGCAACGAACTTTGCGATGTCGACATTCTTGACAACTCCTTGTGCCCTTCCGGATTCGTTTCGCAGGACGCTCCTCGGACATGGTGAGAGTCGCGACAAACTGGCGGTGGAGCAATAACGCGTCCGACGGTCTTTGTTGTCAATCAGCGACAATAACTCGGGCGGCGGACGAAATCAGAATCCGGGCAATAGAAATCGATGGTCTTGGCTGGACTTTGAATGTGGCTTGTCCCCCCCGCGCGCCTTCTCTCGTTGTAACGATTGTTTGCAACGCCATGGATCCTGCCTTCCTCCACATACGTCGTTATCTTCCAAGCTTCGTCCGAAACGGATCCGATGCTGTCGTCCTGTCGCAACAATGTTGAAGAAACCGTCCGCAGGTATAATGTATATAGTCTTTGGCTTGGACGCACAAGAATGGGCCAGATCACTCACAGATCCTTACACAAGCTATCTCTCGAACCACTCCAGGGAACGAATCACCGTCTTTGACGCCGAAGACAACTCTTGAGGGATCCACACCAGCATCTCTTCTGTACCGCGACACCAACGGAACAGACTCCGACCATGTCTTCGACTTCTTCATCCTACCAGACCCAAACATTCCAACATGGCGTAAGTCAAAAACACCCATCTTACTGTGACAGAAAAGAAGAAAAAAAACCCCCGACTAACACACTCAACAGCCTCCCTACGCACCAACCACAGCAGCAGTCGGAGGCCACCCAACGATCACCACCGACATCCCAGCCCTCTCAATCTTCCTCATCCTCTACATTCTCGGCGCCGTCTCTAACATGACAATCTTCCAACTAAACAGACGCCGCGGCCACAAATTCCTCGCTTCCTGGGCAATGTTTGGATTCTGCATGGCGCGTATTGTAAGCATGATTTTACGCATCGCATGGACGACTAGGATACATAATGCACGTCTCGCAATCGCTGCTTCTATATTCTTGAATTTGGGTGTTATGGTTGTTTATGCTGTTGTGTTGGTTTTGGCGAGTAGGGTGTTGAGGGCTGAGCAACCGGGGTTGGGGTGGAATGTGGTGGTGAGGAAGGGGGTCAAGGTGTCTTATGTTGGTATTGTTGTGTGTGTGGTGTTGCTGCTTAGCTTCATCATCGCATCGGTCGAGACCCTCAACCAAGACGTCAGAACAGCGGCACTTTGGGTGCAGAGAGGTGCAAACCTCTACCTCTTACTCCTCAACTGCATCGCACCCATTTTCCTCCTCCTCAGCTGCATCCTCCCCTCCTCCCCGGACGCGGAAAACTTTGGCTCTGGGAGCATGAAGACCAAGAAACTCATACTAGCCACAGCAACTTTCTTTTGCCTCTTCATCTCAGGCTTCCGCTGTGGAACCATCTGGGCTGCACCTCGACCTGCTTCTTCACCAGCATGGTACGACCATCGCGCTTGCTTCTACATCATCCTCCTCGGTTTCGAAATCTGCATCATCTATCTCTTCATCTTTACCCGCTTCGATCAGAAGTTCTGGGTGCCAAATGGCAGTAATGGTGCAGGAGATTATTCGAGAAAGGTCGACGATGAATCATCATCTGGAGATGACGACGAGAAGAAGGCTGCTGTTGACGCGGATGTACAGTCTGTGTGATAATCGTGGCCGACGTCGAGCGAGAGGATTCTGCTACACGAGGGGATAGACTAGACGCTTTTTTGATGACAAGCATAATGACATTTATCTCACCTCGATACAGAGCAGAGAAAACCCGTCCAAGTCAATCTGTAAGAAAAAAATCGTCAGAGTCAGAGCGCAGTCACTTTACCATCTGCGCCATCAACTCAGGCGACTCAGCACCACCACTCACATCCTTCGCCACCGACTTCTCCCTCCCAACTTCCCCACCCTCGATATCGCTGTCAGCCGCCGCGATGGCATCAATCTGCCTCATCGGCTCATTCAGCACAGTCTCTTCTGTACCCTCATCCCGTCTGTCCATTGGGACCAAAGCATCATAATACCTCGGCATCACAAAGCCCAACAACACCGCCACCATCCCCAACACCGACAAAATAAATCCTGTAATCATCATGGGATCATAGCGCAAAGAGTGAAACTCTGGGAATGCAAAGCTGAAGATTATGGCTAGCACAGGACCACTGACGTAGCGAAGCAGGATGGGGAGGAAAAAGGGAATCTTCCAGTTTTTGCCTTGGCCGACTACGAGGTTTAGATCTTTGCGGAGTTGATTTCCCTGGTTCTTTGTTAGCTTTTGACTTTTATGGACGCAAAGAGACTAAAAGAAAGAATAAAGAAAAGAAAAAGAAAAGAAAAAAAGAAGGGGAGGGGGGGGGGGGGGGGAAGACTTACAGAGTAGAATGCCAGATACCAGAGTTGAGTAGCTTGGCCTTTGAGCTTTGCCATGAAGCCTCGAGTGTTTGATTCGTGAGCCGTTGCTATGTAGGTGGATACAAGTGTGCAGAGGATGAACAAACCGAATCCAGCACCTGCACCAGGACCTGCGCTTTCGAGAGCATGAGCCACGGCGATGCCGGTGAGGAGGCCGCCGAAGTAGCCGAGATTGTAGATGATGAAGGCAGGCATGCCGACCTGTCCGACGACGTCAGACCAGCGATAGACAGTCGTTGCACTGACGACCTCGCTGAAGACAACAAAGATCAGAGCGACGTTATTCACCCATCGGTCGATTCCGTCGAGCAAAAAGTATCCGAATTCGGTGCAGTAAGGAAGACACATGAAAAAAGAGATCAGTGTCAACCCAGTGACGATGACCGGCCTCGAATACTTGACTCCAGAATCCACGAGTAAAGTGGCAACAACGTCCAGCATAACAAACGCCGAACTGAATCCCAGAACGATTAATGTCAAGAACAGCAGCACAGCCCAGAAATTGGCTCCAGGCATTTGTAGCACGGCTTCCGGAAGCGTGAGAAAGCCAACAACGAAAGCTCCCAATCTCTCACCTTCTTGAGGCCATCGTCGCAAGAAACCAACAACGCCAAAGATGGCAAAAGCAGCAAAATTCTCAAAAAGCACGTTACTGCCGCATATGAGCACAGCATCCATGACAGCATTCGAGTGTTTCTGGTTATACGACGCGTAAGAGGTAAAGTAGCCAAAGCCAATTCCAGTACTGAAGAAGACCTGGCCAACAGCGGTTTGCCAGACCGTACCGGAGGCAAGTTGATCTCCTCTCCAAGTAGCCCAGAGCAGTCTGACTCCAGCAGCTGCATTATCCAGAGACAGAGCGCGACCGACAAAGATGATTGTAGTAATGATGGGGAGACCCATGGTGAAGTATACCACTCGCCCGGTCATGCCAACACCGCGGAAGATGGAGAACCAGATCAAGAACCAGATGAAAGCGCTCCAGCCGACGGTTTCTCCAATGAGTCCCACAGCAGGATAGGCTGTGTAAGAAGCGACATCCTTGCCACCATTGGTCAGACTGCCGGCAATAGGAACCGGATTAGCGACGACGTCGTTGTTGTAAAAATCCTCAATCCTGCCCTCCCAAGGCAACGGACTAGTGAACGAGTTGCGGAAATAGACCATGATCCAAGCAAGATTGACCGTGAAATACTGAACCACCACAAAACTGACAAACACAGGTCCAATACCCACACCCTTCAACCTGCCATTGATGTTGTTGAATGCAATAACCGAGCCACCTCTGTAAGCCTGTCCGATGCTAATCTCCAGAATAAGAGCCGGGATGGCGATCAAAAAGACAGCCAGAAGATATGGGATAAACCATTGCAAGCCATAGTTATTGTAGACCACTGAAGGATATCTCAGCAAATTTCCTTGCCCAGCACAACCACCCATTGCAGCCAGCAAGAAAGCAGCACGGGAGGGCCATTGATCACGGCCATCGTCCGCCTTTTCAGGTTCGGGGAAGAACCACTTGAAGGCCTTTTTCGCCTGTCGTAAAGCCATCATGGGGGGCGGGGGAGGTTTTCGGCCGTGTTTAGAATGAGAGAGGCGTGATGGAAGCATGGGATAAAGGATACTGCAATCATATAAATGCATCAAAAGTCCTTTCGTCGACCTTTACCCTATCTTGGCAAGACAACATCCTGCATCTTCTACACGCATGTCGTGCGCCAACCTCCTTGGCTGGATGATTGATTGAGATGCTACTCTTGGTCTGCCTTGGCCTATTCATCCTTCACTATTCCTGACCTAGCATATCGTGTCATGATATTTGAATCTCAGAGTATCGGTTCAGGGGTCGTTGAAATGTCTATACAATCTTCTCGCAGTCAGGACTCACTCATCGATAGCTTGAGCGTGTTATTGAAAAAGACGTCTTGTTATCGTGTCAAGAGGTAAGAAAGGAAGAAGATCGAGAGACGCGTTTGGAGGAAAGAAGCGCGTCTTGTAAGTCTCGGCATGACATCACCAGCCCCTGCCGCTTTCCGAAGCTCGGTACCACCTGACAGGGTCATACCCAGAACAAGAATTTCAGATCTCTGAATGCTTCAATGGCGACCGCAAGCTGCAAACCCATACATTTATCATATAACTACCTCTTACCAAACTTCTAGAGAGCATTTCGGCGATACTGTGTAATTTTTGGCATATCTCTTCGTGGTGGTGTCGAGTTATTGCAGATCTAAAGTTTTCCATCACACTTCGTCGGGAAAGTGTCTCCAGATTGCTACACCTACAGATGACAACAACACAACACATACAGCAAACCAAAGTTAATGACGTGATGACTTCGTCATAATGATGATGAATCATGAAAGACCAGTTTTAGAACTTGAAGAAAATCAATAAACATATGCGTGCGTGAGGAAGAAATTATTGCTCAGCCAAACATGCTATGATTCTGTCGTTATCTCATCAGAAAGCCTAGTAAATCTCCTCAAGTCCCGCCTCCTTCCAGCTAGCTTCTCCATTCGCGACCTTGTCTCTCACACCCCAGTACTCGCGGCCAAAGTTCCAATATTCCTCTCCAGTCACGGGATGTTTCTCAAGCTTAAACCATCTGGGCTCAAAGTGCTCACCAGCAGCTTCACGCTCACGACGTCTGGCTCTCTGCTTTTCCTCTACACGATTCTTCTCTTCGGAGGCGTCGTCATATCTACCTTCCTCCATGGCGCGTTGATCGGGTCGGAATCTGGAGTCAGTGGGTGCGATCAGAGGTTGCAGACGTGGAGGCAAAGCGTTGAGAGTAACGACAAAGGGCGTGAGGTTGAAAGGTATGCCCTGAGGACGGGCACCGGCTTCCCATACAAGGATGGCCTGGTTGGACTCTTGTGACTTTGTAGAAGTTCCCAGGTTCTGGTCTTCGTAACCAGGAGTCGGTCGAGCGTAGATCTTGTCGTTCCAACGACCACCGATGCTCCACTTGGGAACACCCTTTGCGTCTGTGATCTTACCAGCGACGAGGAAAGCTGATGATGCCTTCCAGCCGCGCTGCTTGAAGTCCAAGATTGCCGTCTCGCCGGTAGTATGGTTCTTGACCTCCATCACACCGTAGTTGTCGATGGTCGGATTACCAGTAATAATACCGACAACAGATGAGGTAATCTTCTTCCATGTGTACAGCTCCTCCGGTCCATGGGTAGGCTTCAAGCGCAAGAACCAAGTGCCAAGCGGATTGATCTCGAAAGACTTGCCGTAGAACTTACTCTTGACAGAAGACTCTCCATAGTATTCCCACTTGGCACTCTCTGCATAAGCGGCACCAATGGGGGGATGATGGCTGACTTGCTCGATGAAGAAGCGATAACCCTTGTCGGGACGGACATACTCAAAAGTCTCTCCCAGCAAGGGATTGAACGGCTTCGCGACTCTGCCGATGGTAGAGGCGTACTCGGAAGCAGCGAAACCAGCAACATATACCATTCTTTCGGCCGAGTCTGAACGTTCAGCAGCAGTGTCAAGGAGTTCGGTGTACTGCATATCCTCGACAACACGGTAGAGAAGAGAAGTAGGTTCGTTGAAAGTGACGGGTAATGTCATCTTGGTCATGTCTTTGCCGATCATGTTCTTGAGGATGCCCCAAAGCGAGACCTTGGGTCGATTGTCGGCATCGATGGGCAGCTTTGATCTGACAGGGTCTTCATAACCTTTGTAAGATTTCTGGATGGTAGCAACAGTGTTGTCCTCGACTGGTGGAGTCTTCTCCTCTTGGCGTGTCTCGACTTGAGGTGTGCTGGAGACGGGCATCTGACCAACAACCTCGACCTCTCCAGCATCAACGGCATCGAAGAACTGCTCGTCGATATCAGACTCATCGTCCGAGACGTCGTGGTTGGTCATGTCGGCAAGGGTCTGCCTGCGGCTCAATGTGGGTGGTGGCTCGGCTGCGGCAGTACCATCGGCGGCGACAGGAATATCAGCGACGGCAGCGGCGAGCTTACTGCTTTGAGTAGCAGTGGTACCTCTGCGGCTGCGAGCACGACTTGCAGGACCGGAGGCTTGGCCTTCGAGAGCGTCTCTCAAGGCACGCTTTGTTCTCTTTCGCTTGTCTTCGCTTTCACCAATGCGATTCTCCAACTCTTCTTGTTCGGCGGCGACGCGGGCCATGCTCTCTTCCCATAGCTTGCGGATGTGTGCCTCTCTGTCAACGCGGTGTTGCCAATAGGCATCGTGGTCCTTGGACAGGCGCAAGAGGTCGATCAGCAGACCTCTGAGGTTTCCAACAGCGGTGTCGTAAGAGGTCAAAGCGTAGTCGACGTCGGGGTGGCCTAGGGGCAGGCTGGGGTTGTTGGTCTTCTCTTGCTGCAACGAGGCCGAGACGGAAGCCAGCAAGTCGAGCTGCAGCTTGGCTGACTGGGCGGTGATGTTGAAGGCGTCCTTGTTGACAGGCTTGACGTCGTGAGCGCTGTCGTCGTCGGCAAAGTCGTCCTCCTCGTCTTCAAAGTCGCGTTCACCGTCTGTTTCGAAGGTGCGATGGCGAGTCAGCTTGGTGGGCTCATCGCCGTACAGCGTTTCTCCGTCAGCAGTCTGAGCGATGCTGGTGCGACGGTCGCTGGTAACGGTAGGCGCAAGAGTTGCAGAGTCGGCGGCGGCGGCGGCGGCAGAAGATGGAGCAACAGATGCAGCCTGACGCAAAGCCTCGCCCTCTTGACGCTGTCGCTTCTGCTCTTCGCGAGCCTCGTCCTTGGACCATTGGATGGCGTTGTTGAGGGACCAGAACCAGCGCTTTGCCTCGACCTCGTGGTTCGCCTTGAGGTGGTACTTGACCGACGACTTGCCGTGAATCTCAAACGTCAACTTGTCCTTGGAGTCCATGTGGAGGGAGGCGATCTTCATGTTGATGGCGCCGCGGCAAGCAGAGCCGGCGTCGTCCTGATGCTTGTAGTAGCTCAACACACCGTCCTCCAGCACGAACCATCGGAGCTTGTAGCCGGTCGTGTAGTTTGTCCACTTCTTCAAGTAACCCTTCATCTCGCGAGCCTCCTTTGCGCTCAGAGCATTCTCCGGTGGACCTTCACCAGTACCCAGGATGGCCTTCTCTTGAACACCGCGTTGGGCGGCAGCAGCAGCAGGCGACTTCTTCAGAATCTGCTTGGTGTGGTCGTCCTTTGTGATTTCTTGAGGCAGCTTGCCCTTGCGATCGCGACGGAAAGGGTCGGCACCGTTGAGGAGCAGCATCTGAATGAGCTGTGTGTCCTTCTTGCGAGTAGCTTCGTGCAGGAGGGTGCCGCCAGACTCGACCGTCATGGGCTCGGTAGCCAGCTCGGGGGCATTGATGTCGACAACATGGCGGACGTGGTCGTCAGCGAGGACGTCTTCGAGGGTGCCGTAGTCGGCAGAGTGGACGAGGTGCTGGATCCGCTTGGTAGTTCTCTCGATAAAGACGGAACGGGCGAGTTGTAGGAGCTGGAAGACGTCTGGACTGCGGGCGAGGTCGAGAGGAGTCTTTCCCTGGAAGTTTGTGACGGACTCGTTGATGTGCTGTTGGTCAAGGAGGAGCTTGATGACAGAGGTGCGACCGAGGGTCGAGGCAATGTGCAGCGGAGTGTTGCCGTCGCGGTCTCTGGCGTTGATGTCGAGTGTGGATTGGCCCATGCTCAGGACGTACTCGACGACCGACGGCTCTGCGCATTGCACGGCGAGGTGGAGGATGGTGTTGCCTTCGAGCTTGGTCGAGTCTTCGCGCAGGTGTTTGTTGATGCCGGCCGTGTCTCCCTGTCGCAAGGCTTCAAACACCTTGAACAGCTTGACCGACTGCTCGATGGACGCCGTCGACGCTTGCGGCATGCTTGGGATCGAGCCAGTCCGGGTCGCGGGTGACGAGCGAGCGTTGGGCGAAGACTGAGAAGGGTCGTTGTTGTTGTTGGTCATGGTGGTGACCAGGTGGGCTGGTCGACCGCTCTGGAAAGACGAACGTCCCGAGGCCAAAGAAGGATCGAGAGAATCTGTGGTGGGGGAGTCGGAGCCGGGGCCCTCGTTCTGAGGTGCGTCGACTCTGCTCGTCACCTTTGACAGCAGCGATCTGGCAACCGACGACTTGTTGCGCTGATGCGACGCGCTGTTGTTGCTATTGCTATTGCTATTGCTATTGCTGCTGCTGCCCCAAGCGTGTCAGCCTTGGCGCAGATCCAATAGATTGGCCTCTCGTCATACTTCTCTGCCATATTGCTGTCGACTGTGAGTATTATATCATCAGAATAGATTGAGATTGCGTGCAAAGGTATGGGAATAACGAGGCGCACGACACAAGGAGACGGCAGCTCGAAGCAATACACTTGCGGCCAAGGTGCAACTTGGTCGAGCTGCACTGCTGCAGATGACGGTAGTGGAGACAATCGCCAACGGTCTAGAAGTCTATTTTCCGACACTGCCCCATCGGGACAAGATCCATATGCTCTAGATGCTTACACAAAGCCTTCACTTAACCTCTAAGACACGAGCAGAATGACACTGCCCAACTGTCTGGCCACGTCCTCCTTGTCGACATCGTGAGTGTCATCGACCTCGCCCCACATGTCCGTCTGCCACGTCACCTCGACCATTGATGCCTGACGCGCTTCCATGATGCCGAATCGGGATGAGCTGTCGTTCTTCTGCAAGTGTCTAAATTCCCGACTCCACTCGACCAGCAAGCGGATTGCGACCAGCAGACTCTTGGTTGCCAGCACTCCCCTCTCCAAACCGGCCAGCTCAAAGGCAGGCAGACCGGTCATCCAGCCGCGAATCACTTCCTGCGTCACCCTGGGCTGCTTGACCGGCATGATGCTATCCTCGGCCAAGATGGGCACAATCTCGAGTCCGGGGAATATGTGCGTTGTGAGGTATGCGAGAATGGGCTCTGCATTCTCAATCTGCTTCTGGCGGAGGCTCTGCTTGGGCTTGCCGTCGTCCTGCATGTCGAGAATCGAGGCTGGGTCGTGGATGCTCTTCTCGGGGTCCCAGCAGAGCAGTGTGTCGGTAGTCAGATAGCGCATGAGCATGGTGACTATGTTCTCTCTGATCTTCTTGTCTCCTTGAAGGTCGGCGTTGTGGATGTCGATTGCGCGCGAGCTCAAGGATGTGAGGGGGATGTAGTGGTACTTGAGCGCCTGCTGTGCCGACACGAGGAGGTCCCATTCGAGAGCGATGCCCGAGGCCAGGGCGTGCTTGGTAGGTGGGAGGGTGAGGACTTCCTTGGACGCCGTCCTGACCGGCCGCTTGTCCAGGAAGACCTGGAGCCCATCTGTGTGCATGTGTCAGCAGAAGATTGGCCATTCAGCATCGTCGCAGCATACCAGCAGTCTCCTTGACCGAAGATTCCTTCCAGAAACGCTTGCGCAGGGCCGAGGCTGGCTTCGCAGGGTCCACCTTGATCTGTGACTGTCTCTCTAGAAGGGCAGCCTGTTGTCTCTTGCGCTTGACACGGTCTTCGGTCTCTGTGGCAGGCGCCTGTGGGGGTTGCGGTGGCGGTCCGGCAGCGATGGGATGAGGCAGTGGCGTCGCTGTCAAGGACGAGCTGTTGTGGAGGCAGCGGCATGCTGGCCAGAAGCGAGTAGCCACGGAGCGGCGACCAGAGGCAGTCAATGCCGGACGGATGATGGCTTCCATGCTCGATAGGAATCGCGGGATGGTCGTACCAAAAGTCGCAACTTCACATGCCAAAAAGTCGGCGTCGACATGTCGGACACGCCTGCATCGAATCTCCGGCGACCTCCGGCACCCGCCGTCTCGGGGGATCCGTGCGCCCAGAGCGGGGAAGCTTCCTTTCCGCTTTCCCCTTTGGCGCCCCGCGTCTTTTTGCTGGACGAAGAGATGGACTTTGGTCACCTGTCGTTTGTGGCTGGATTATGCCTCTTCGCGGGACGACCCAATGCGTCTTGCCCTCCGAAGACGTACCTTCGATTCTCAGACATCTCGACACCTCTCGTCCTGACAGAAGTTTGTCGTGCCTCTCCAAACAATTGCAGCATCACCACCATCCACCGACAGAGCCTCCGTTCCACACGCCGACCCCACTCACGTCCATTTTTCTTCTTTCCCATGTAATTGATCGGCAATAATTCGCCCGCCTTGTCCATTTGTAGGAATGTCTTGTACGAGTAATGACTAGCTATCATCAACGAGATTGGGCTGGGAAGCTCGTCTCTCCTTCTCTACAACACCAGGACGATCCTTCTCCGCCGAAGCAGCCCACTCAAACTGCTTCGATCCAGGAGAAGAAATCGAAACCGCAGCCCAAGAAACTGCGCTTCATTACGAGTCAAGGAGCTCCTCAAGCGAAGAGACGTCGTGTTTCGACTGCTTGTTTGCTTTGTAGAAAACGCAAAGTCGCATGTTCTGGTGAGCGTCCGCACTGCAATACGTGCACAAACAACAGACTGGAATGCACTGGCTACGCGGATGAGAACGCCCCTGGGACCGGCAACGAGGATGAAAGCGAGACGCCGCGACCAGCGCCTCCCACTTTGGTACGCGCCGGCACTTCGGAGTCAATGAAGGCTCCTCCCCCTAGGAAGTCGAAGACCACCATGCCGAAGCCGCGTAATGAGAATCCAGGACTGCCTACGAAGGCTCCAACTCCCGCTGAACCGCGACACGTACCACCGAAGCCTGTGCGCATTGAGAGCGATCAGAGCTACTTTCCGAGACCCATGCCTTCTCTCTTCCTTGGCGCTCGCAATCGTATGCCATACTTTAGATGGCTCGGTCCCACAGCAATAATGCCAGGCTTCAAGCAGATGGTTGTCAAGGTGAATCGCTCATCCTCGGCGACTGATGGTGTAACTTCGCCCTCGGCTGGAGCTCAACCTGGTGCGTCGGCCATGTCTAACCACTCTGCGAGTTACGATCCGGACGCCCGCACTCCCCAGACTCTCCCCTTCTACGACAACTCTTCTATGCCTCCTAGCGAATTGATTACCCATCTGTGCGATACCTTCTTCGTTCATCTTGCTTGCAACTATCCATTTTTACAGCGCGATCGATTTTTGAGAGACCTCGAGGAGAAGCAAGTGGATGCGATCTTGGTGGACGCTGTTTGTGCACTAGCGGCTCGATTCTCTACTCATCACTTGCTCGTTCAGCAGACACGCGACGGTAGAGATGCAAATCATTCAGAGCAAGGTTCTGCATTTGCCCAGCGCGCCAAATTGGCGTTGATTGATACATATGCCACGCCAAGTGTTGCTGCTGTTCAGGCCGCCCTCTTGCTTGCCTACAACGAGTTTGGTGAAAGTCGAGATAGTGGTCTATGGATGTATCTTGGTATATCGATTCGCATGGCACAGGATCTTGGTTTACACAAACTTGATGGTCTTCGCTACGAGGGTCGAGACGGTTCTTCTCCTAGATATTCAAGACAGGACAAGCATCTGGAGAAGACGATCGGACATGATGACTTGCAGCACCAAGATGAAAATGAAGCTGAAGAGCAACGAGCTGCTGAGCGTGAACGGGTTGATACCTTCTGGGCTGTCTTCTTTCTGGATAAAGTCGTCTCTTCTGGTACTGGACGCAAAAGTACATTACGGGATGACGACATTGAGCTCTCTTTCCCGCCTTTGGATTTGCTGGACCCGAAGACCGGTTGGCCTTCGCCATTCCCAGCACTGATCAGGATAGTTTGCTTGTACGGTCGAGTAGCGGATTTACTCAACGGTATCAAGGAGCCGTCAGACATTACCGACGAAACGCCTCAGCAATTGGCAGATATGGAAGCACGAGTCACAAACTTCTATCAGGGTACGTTTCATTTCACGGTGTGAAGTTCATGGGACTAACACGAAACAGGTCTCTCTTCTAAGCTACATTTTCAAGCTATGAACTTCCACCATTACGTCAAGGCCGGAGAAGGAACCAACTTTGTTCTGCTCCATTTCTGGTTCCATACGCTCATTGTGCTTCTCCATCAGCCAACTTTATTGAAGACCTTTGAAGGCAAGATGTTGCAATTGTTCCCTAACAGCCAAGCACTGTCCATGTCTTCTGCCAAAACGATCGCAGATATTCTATCGTATTCACAACTCATCGACACGAAAGCTGGCCTTGGTAATCCTTTCACCACACAACCGATTTACATTGCCGCATGCGCTTTCCTCAAAGAGACGGCCGAGCAGACAGCGACCTCGAAAGAACACTCTCGTTCACAATCAACGGCCAATTCTCGTACTGGGAGCCCAGTGCGAGAACAACCAGCCGCAGCAGTCGCTGAGATGCTCAACATGGCGCGTCCTTCAAGTGTTCTGCCCAATGCCAGCAGGCCGCCTATGGTGGAGCGAGCGCTTGCCCGTCACACTTTACTAGCCACAGCAGCCAACCAACACTATCAACTCTGCTACAAAGCATTACAGAGCCTCGAAACATACTGGGCAGGCACAAAATACATTCTCACAGTACTAGATCAAAAGTTCAAGGGAGTAGGGGATCCTTTGTTGTATACAGCAGAAGAAGGAGAGAGTGCTTTTGAGCAACCAGAGCCAAAGCCTGCATTCACTCAACCCGGATGGCGGAGAAAGACACCTGCAAATTCCTGGTCGCCAAGTGCATTGATGCAAAACTCCTTTATGCAGACCAAGTCGCCGCCAGCGGGAGTGAACCCAAATCAACGTAAGTTAAATGTATCTTGATATGAGTTAACACACAACTGACATGAGGAAAACAGCAATTGGATGGACTCTGACAGGTACACTCAACTCTCCAAGCACAAATGTAGCCTGGCATTTCTCGGGGGCTCCTGGGACCCATGAACCTGTGCAACACTCCCTTGACTCTGTTCTCGACACCGACAACCCCTTCACCTACAACATGCAAAACACATCTCCATTCCAACAACATAACAATCATCTACGCACATACTCGGGCAACAATCTCCCACGGCCACCTCCCCTCCAACCACGTCACCATCGCTCTTCCCTTCCAGCTTCCGCATTCGCGACTATTCATCCTTCGCCGACCTCTTTCCCTTCTCCGCTATCGTCTCATCGTGTTCAAGATGGTGGTTCGTTACTTGTTCCTTCCACCTCTTTCACACAGCCACCACACTCGCAGAATGACGTTGACAATTTCGGGGTCGTGGTGGGAGAAGAGGAGGAGGGGGAAAACGGGTTTGGAGATTTCTTGATCGAGAGCCGGGATGTTGATATGAGTCTTTTGGAATTGGACATGTTGCCGTGGTTTGATGCTGCGGGTGGAGCTTTGATGGGGGAGTTTGAGAGCGAGGTTGGTGGACATGGTGCATTTCACAATGGACGGGATGATGTGAGGGAGTAGGTTGATGCTTTTTTTTCCTTCTATAGCTGTATATCAGTGTACCGTGATTCATGATATAAGGATGTTTTTGGAAAAGCCGTCTACCATTGATCAAAAAGTCATGGAACTTTTGACTTCCATGATTGCCCCCTGCCCTTCTGTGCCATCTTGGGATCTCAGGGCGAGACGAATCTTCTTTCTTTTGCCTCTTCATGCGCGTGTGACCAAATCGCGTCCGAGAGCGAAAGGTCGTGTAACACGACTGACGGAGTGTTGTAATCCTTTGGGACCCATCAGCTTTGACCGAGATCCTCTACGTAAAGAGACGAAGAAGAGGTGATTCGGAAAAAAGTCAAATGTCGGGGCCTCGACTGTATTGTGAAGTAGTGATGGTGGATCCGATGGTGATGTGTTCCTTGTTCGAGAGACAATGACCACATGGTGAGTTTTTTTTTTGGGGGAGTTGACACACGACAGTTTTCTCGATAATTTGTTTCCGCAAAGGGCGATGCAGAGGGGCGATTCTGGGGTGTGATATAAGCGGGAAAAGGCACATGGCTCATCACACCCTCAGACGTGTTGGACCCATGACACGAGATCGTCGTATCAACGGCATACCAGACGGCGCCTCACTCCGAAGTCCCTCACCAGCTCTCGCCCTCCTACGATTCTGTCCGCCACGTCGACTCCTAGCCGACACCAAAGGCGGTAATCCCTTTACCACGTCATTCCAAGCCCTCTTTTCCCTACGCGATAACTTTGTATGTTGGAGATAAGTTCTGCACATTGGGCATGTATACCGCGATTTTAGATGAGCTTTGAGGATACGGTATTCTTCCAACACTTCAGGACAGTCGTCTAGCCAGTCGGCGAGTTTCTCGTCTGTGTAGTTTTGTTGCCATTCTGTTATGCAGTGGGCGCAGAAACTGTGACCGCAGTCGATTGTGAGCTTTGCTTTTGCGTCTACGCAGATGGGACAGATTTCGTCAGTCGAGGTAGAGGTAGTGGTGGTGGGAGTTTTCTCGGGAACGGAATCAGCTTGTGGTTCAGCTTGTGGTTCAGCCTGTGGTTCAGCCTGAGGTTCAGCCTGTGGTTCAGCCTGTGCTCCAGCTTGCGCTTCAGCCTTTGCTTCAGCCTTCTTCTTATTTTTCTGCTCACGCAGTCGCTGATAGTAACGTTCCGCTGCTTGCCTCCCCACTTCAGCTTCAAAACCTACATATCTAGCATCGTCATTCTGGTCCTTGAGCACCTGTGCGTGGCGTCGACATGCTATAAGTTTCCATCCAGCGGGGTATTCGTCGCCGTCGCCGACGACGAGACCAGCGTCTGCAGCTATCTCGTCACAGGTTGGACAAGACTCTGCAAAAACGTCCTCGGGGACGGTGAAGTATTTGTAGACGGCGGCAATGTCTTCGTCGGTGATGGTGTCGCGCAGGAGTGATGGAAGTCCAGGACGATGGAATGTATGAAGGTCATAGGCGGGTGGATCCATGTTGGGAAGTTTGTTATCTATGCGACGATGAATTGTCCAAGTGTGAGTGTTTGTGTTTGTGGGAGTGAGAGTGATAGTTGAGAGGAAAGATTGTCGGTCAATGATTGATTGACAAGTGAGCGTCGAGGGGTTTTGAGTCACAAAACAATGACTGTTGCCTGGGCAGCTTTGATTGATTTACAAACACCGCCAAGATCCAGCAGACAAATTTCACAAAGTCACATACACTGGAGCCTGTCTCAGGTCTGATGATAAACGTTGTCACTGCAATGTCTGTTATGAAAGAATGAAAGGAGGAGCGCGATCTAGATGGCGGAAGTAGATTCCGGGCGCTTGGACCCCAACCATGTTGCTGCCTGCTTTTGGCATGCAGACCATCACATCGGAGCTTTGTCCTCCACGAAACACGAAGATCTCAGATTAGTGTTTTATTCAAGCAAACGAATGAGGCTCGCGAATCAGTATCAGGCGACAGATGTCCGGAGACACGTCGAATTTATTGCGGTCCGCTGTCGAAGCCGGACAATGGACAGGTAGAGCAGATTCTTGGCGTTTGCATGTCCGAAAACTTCTCGATCATCGCAAAACTGGCGACATCAACAATTTCCCACAGACAACACAACAATATGGCTTTTAGTTTCAACTTCGGCGGAGACGATATTGATCAAAGCGTCGATCAAGATGTGCCAATCTTTGATGCACCTTCAGAAGTCAATGCGACAAATGAGGAGCAAACACCACTCGTCAATGTCATGCAACACGACCTGAGACAACTATACGAAACCCTGCCGGACAGATTATGCTACAGCACAGCTCAAATCGTCTCACCGACCGGAAAAGTGCTTCTCCTTCCGCGACGAGAACTTTTCGACATTCGCGTCCAACTCATGTCCGAAGCTTCTGCGGAGAACGACAACGACGCGACTCTGCGTGACTTGGAGCAAACAGACTTGCGGACAAACGTCTATGAAGGTGGCTTCAAAACTTGGGAGTGCAGTGTTGATCTCTCAAGTTTGCTTCTGGATCGCGGTCCGCGCAAGGATATTGATGAGCTTGTGCGCTGTGATGGGGTTGTGGAGCTGGGCGCTGGATCTGCTTTGCCGACTCTGACGCTATTCCAACATTGCTTGAAGAATGGCATTTCTCAGACTTTCACACTTACGGATTACAATAGCAGTGTGTTGAGATTGGTGACGTTGCCGAATCTTATCCTTACTTGGGCGGCTACTACTTCACCACCATTGATTGATCTGGCCGCTGAACCTTCAGGTGACTTGGAGAATATTCCTGCTTTGTTCCCTGAATTCCTGGCCTCTCTTGCTGCTTCGCGCATCCAACTCTCCTTCATCTCGGGACCATGGGGCCCAACACTTGCTTCTCTGATCCCTGAGTCAGCACCGGATATGGGCAGCTTGATTCTTGCCAGCGAGACAATCTACAGTCCTGCTTCAACAACAGCATTTGTTGACCTTCTCATCCAATTGTTGAGCCGAACGAAAATGGCAAAAGCGGTCGTGGCTGCAAAACGATTCTATTTTGGTGTTGGAGGCAGTGTTGATCACTTGAAGGAGGTGTGCGCAGAGAAGGGTGCTGTTGCACACGAAGTCGAAAACTCTGGCGTTCCAGGCATGGACTCGGGTGTTGGAAGAGCGCTTGTCGAAGTACAGATGTACTGAAATGTGGCTTAATCTCAGCGCGAAGTCGCGAGTAGCAATACTTCAATCGGCTTGTGTCTTTGCAGTGCGATTTCTAGCTATGGTGCAAAGACGACATGTGGGACAAGAAGAATTGGCCGGTCCACAAACCTTGGAGGCGACATCGTGAATATACACAACTTCATGTGACACCGATCTTCAATCCGCCTCGTCGCCCCAGTACTCTTTCAGATCCTGTGCTCTCCATTGAGTAGCGAAACCAGTTGTCCTCTCAATCTCTGCTAGCGCTTCCAACACGACACGATGTTCTGCCTTGCTAGACATGACCTTTCCAGCGATATACAGTGGTTGTGGTGCATTAGTCCAAGCAGCATGCAGTAGATTGCTCACCGAAATTCCAATCACCTGTCGAGCATGCCAGAATATACTCCTTTGTCCTCGTATCCTGACATCATTTGGTTTCGCCTGCAGCATCAATAAAGTCGCGGTATGGTACAGTTGATTAGCACTGACCGCTGCAGCATTGGTGTAAATCACAACAGGGAAGGGACCCTCGTCGTCTCTCTCGTTTGAGCGCGGTGTCAACGGACGCATCTCCGGAGGTCTTTTGGCGTGCCAGTCGACGAGAAGATCGAACAGAGCTTTCCATTTGGCACTATACGAGCTTCCGCGTTCGACAGAGGTACCACGGCTTGACACGACGTTCAATACGCTTGCGCACAGGAAGAGCGAGTAATTCGCGTAGTTGTCGAAATTCTGAAAGTCGGTCTTGAATCTTGAGATTGCTGTAGACATTGTGCCTGTTGGCAGGAACCATAGGCTTGTCGGTATCTTGGTGTGTGAGTCAGAGAGAAAGCCGCCCCACATGTCTGCTGCGGTCAGTAATCATGATCATGAGACGGGGTAAGAAGACATACCCATCCGAGCGAAACACCAGAAGATAGCTTGTCTTGTACCTCCGACAACACCGTTGATTCCGGCAGCTTTGAGCAGCATAGCTGCACCGTTCAGGTGTCGCGACCAATCCTTGGGGGAAGCTAGAAAAGAAGTCAGTAATCTGATCAACAATCAGTGGCTCGATACTGACAGCTCATCATCTCTAGCACGCAAAGCAGAACACAGCTTCCAATCACCTCCGTACTCATACTCTCTAGCTCGTTGGCAATAAGTCGAATAGCTTCTTGATACAACGCTAGGCTCTCGGTGTATGGCTTATCCGGATCTCTTCGCTCGATTTGTCTTGCAGACAGGGCCAGAATCGATAATCGCAGTGATTCCGAACCTCGAGCGAGAATAGGCAGCTGGATTTGAAAGTGGCGATCGTTGTCGAACATGTCCAACCAGAGGGCGATTTCATCCAGATAATTTCGCCAAAGCTCCATCTCTCGCCGTACAGTCATGCCCTTTGGTAGATTGCTGGGCTTGAATCTTTCAGGTTCTGAGTGCTCCCACTGTGAAGTGCGTCTGACCGGCTCATGTGCGGGTGCATCAGTCTGAGATTTATCGGATTCGGGTGTGCCTATCCGCGTGAGGCCAGTACCACGAGCTGTATCCACCATATGGTTGTAAAGGGTAGTGTGCAACTCTCGATATGTGGCGTTTGGATAGTACATGGCATACATATCCGGCGATTCGGAAGGCACATGATCCAGATCCATCAAAGTATTCTCATCTATCGGCGGCCACAAGGAGTCGCCAAATGTAAAGGCATCACGGTCGGTAAGATAATCGAGTGGTTCAAGTTCCGGCATGGAGAAATCGAGCAAATCGTTCTCCTGGATCATGGGCAGACTGTGCGCCGAAATTGGTGTTTGAAAGGCAACATGAGGCTGAGACTCATGTTCTCCAGCTGTGAAGCTGATAGAGCGTCGACTGTCGAGACTGTCGTTATGTTCATGTGATTGTGTCCTCAGCAAGGGATATCGCTGTGTCTCTGGCGAAATCGCATGTGTACCCTGAGGTTCTACGGACTGCCCAACCTCCTGAGTGGCCGAGTCCATATGCCATTCCAACGGTGTATGCTTTTCAGCAACGAAATCATCAGTTGCGGCAAACTCTTGGCCATTTGAGTATTCCTTGCACTCATGCGTTTCCGTGTCGAAAACCACGTCTACCATCTGAAGACTTGGTATTGCAACGGCGACCTTTTGGCCGGCTATCATACTTGGATGGTCGGCTTCGAGCGAATTGAAGCGGAAACTGAGGCCAGAGTCCCATTCACACTCCTCTCCTAGTCGTTCGCATTTTGCACAGTTTGGCTTGGTCTCGTCGCACTTCTTGCGTCGCCGTCGACAATTCAAACAGCCTGATCGCCCACGCAGAGAGCGTTTCGAAGGACCATTGCCACGTCTGGGCGGCGAGAGCGATGGTTCAGACGCTCCCCGGGCTACGGACCTTTCCTCTGAATTAGTGGATCTAGCATGGCGGTCTGATCGCATGGATCGCGATATAATTGCTGCGACACTCGCGTGTCGAATGGCGAGTTTGTTGAAGTGGTTGGTGGAGCTGGAGGACGCGACGAGTGCGGGGCAGAAAAAGACGAACGGCAAAAACGAGCGCTGGCCTTGAATATATCCTCGCTCACAACAGACACTTCGCAACCTTCTTATTCACCCGGTGGCCTCGTGTCCTTCTGCGCCTTTCTCATCATCGTGCGCGCGACTCACTAAGTCATCAAGGACCGGTGGCAAACGAATGAGTCCAGCTGAGAAGCTTTACGAACATAAAGCGCGTCGTACGAACTCTCCGACGGTCAAAACTGATTTTGGAAAATATTCGTGCATTGCAGCAGCTCGGAGAATCGCCTAGTCAGGTGTGTTGAGATGAGCTGTTATAGCTGTCTACTAAATCTATATATCGTCTATGGTCTATGAAGCAATTCTACGCCGTGGCACAATGACCACCATCAACTCTGAGATCTGCTCCTGTCATCCACGAGCTACCATCTGCCAGGAGGAACACGCATGGAGCTTTGAAATCCTCTGGTGCACCGAGTCTTCCCAGCAATGCTCCTCTCATCCACGACTCCTCAACTTCGGGCTTCTCTTGCAGCAGACCGTCAGTCATGGCTGTGCGAATGTATCCGGGGGAAAGAGTGTTGACTCTGATGCCCCATTGGCCCCATTCGTACGCTAGAGAGCGGCACATCTGATGTACTGCAGCTTTACTTGTGTTGTATGCTGAGCAGTGGAGGCCCTGAGAGCTTCGTCAGTATTCACTTACAGTACGTGTCTGAGGACTGGACTTACGCGGTTGGCAATCTGACCTGACATTGATGCAATCATGACAATACTTCCACCAAGCTTCTGGTCGCGAAGTAGACGAGCCGTGTATTTCGAGATGAGGAAGCTTCCAGTCACGTTGACCTCCATGATGCGTCTAAAGCCATCCATGGGGTAGTCGATGGCATCGACCATCTGCTGGATGCCAGCGCAAGAGATCATTCCCCTGACAGGCTTGCCACGTTGGCGAGCTTCATCACCGCACTCAGCGACTGTCTTGTCCACAGACTCCTCGTCTGTGATGTCGCAGCGGTGATAAGATGCACGAACTCCAGTGCTCTTCTGCAGCTTGGTGATGAGAGCCCATTCTTCCGCACTGGGCTCAGGCAAAATGTCTAGGCAGACCGCATCGGCGCCAGACTCGAGTACTGCGACCGCGAGTGTGATGCCGAGTCCACGACCAGCACCAGTGATGATGATGGTCCTGTTCTTCAGGCCGAACGCCTTCTCTATCGGCACGTTCGCAGCTGATATTTGAGACTCAGGAATATCTCTGGGGAGCTCAATGTCAGATACGATACTCGGCGCCATTGTGCTGTAGTAATATGTAGTAGAGTGAAGGGCACAAGGAATGGCGAGTTATAGACTTGAGTGTTGAAAGCGATGTTGAAAAAACTAAAAGCTGGAAGACGCGACTGAACCAGCGACGTCTACCAATTTGTATGCGTCAGGAAATATCATGACACGCACGATAACGATGACTTCAGCCATCCTCCCACGAGAAGGTCAGATAGGCCCACATCGCAGCCATGTTGAAAGTTCAATTGGACAGTGCAGCGCGTCAACTGCTTTGTTCGGTGGATGAACCCAGGAGAGAGCAAGATGAGCGTTTCGAGGCGCAGAAACGACGGCGCTCGGTTTATCCACTCCAAGCGATTCTTGGCACGACGCGCTGCAAAATTCCAAGATGTAGCGGCTCCCCCCAGCTGAACCTGTGAATTTTGGCCGCCCTGCCGTGGACTCTGAGGTCTCGACGAACGTAAAAACAGACGCCACATTCGAATCGAGCAACTTTGCCGCTCCCCTGCTCAAGTGCTTTCCCCGCTTCTGTCGTTCTTCGGGACCACGGGCTACTCTTTCAATAATTGCTCTTGCACATCAAAGTAAGAGCGCCGCCGCTGAGGTACATGGCAAGATGTTCCGCTTCATTGACGGCATTCATAAAGTCCATGGAGCGCCCAGCGACTTTTTCCAAGCCATCGCCTTTCTAATATCCCTGTCTCATAATATTCACCATGGCACCCTCTCTTGAGCACTACGAAGATGCTACCTCCGGTATCCCCGTGAAGGTCCTCGGTACACAGATTGATGGCACAAATGCTGCCGCCACGTTACAGCTGGAGGAGGCAGACAAGCATGACCAGGTTCTCAGAGTGTTCCGCTGCCTGATTGCGGACTTGTGCGAGCAATTCAAGGGCGGTCACCCCGGTGGTAAGATTGTTCAATGATTGTGCCACACTTCGAACGTGAGCTGACTTCAACGCCAGGTGCTATGGGAATGGCAGCTATTGGAGTGTCACTCTGGAAGTATGCCATGAAGTACTCACCAAGCAACCCCGATTACTTCAACAGAGATCGTTTTGTCCTTTCTAACGGCCACACATGTCTCTTCCAATACACATTTATGCACTTGGTCGGGTACAAAAACATGACAATTGAACAGCTGAAGTCGTATCACTCAGACCGCACAGACTCGATCTGCCCTGGACATCCCGAGATTGAGCACGAGGGTATTGAAGTCACAACTGGTCCTCTTGGTCAAGGTGTGGCTAATGCTGTCGGTATGGCTATGGCAACAAAGCACCTTGCGGCCACTTACAACAAGCCAAACTATGAGCTAGTCAACAATATGACTTTCTGCATGATCGGAGACGCCTGTCTGCAAGAAGGCGTTGCCCTTGAAGCCGTTTCGCTGGCTGGTCATTGGAAGCTGAACAATCTCGCTCTTGTTTACGACAACAATCAGATCACTTGCGACGGCTCTGTCGATATCACATGTAACGATGACATCAACGAGAAGATGAGGGCTTGCGGCTGGAACGTCATTGATGTTATGGACGGTACTACCAACATCCAGGGTGTTGTGCAAGCACTGGTGGCCGCACGTGCGAGCGATAAGCCTACCTTCATCAACATCCGCACAATCATTGGTATTGGTAGTGCATCAGCTGGTGATGCAAAGGCACATGGAGCTGCTTTTGGAGCCGAGGACGTCGCCAACATCAAGCGTACTTTCGGCATGAACCCCGAAGAGCACTTTGTCGTCCCAGATGCAGTATACGATTTCTTCCGTGAGGCAAAGTCAAGAGGCGAGGAGTACGAGAAAGAGTGGACCACCCTTGTTGATGGCTACTCCAAGGAGTATCCCGAACTGGCCGAGGAGTTCAAGCTGCGTGTCGCTGGCAAGATGCCCAAGGACTGGACTAAGATAATTCCCGAGAAGGGCAGCTTCCCCACTACACCCACTGCCTCGAGAAAGTCTTCTGGTTTCATTTGTAACCCTCTCGCGCAAAATCTGAATAACTTCATGGTGGGCACAGCAGACTTGACTCCTTCAGTCAACATGACCTGGAAGGGCAAGGTCGACTTCCAGAACCCTGAGTTGAAAACTGCATGTGGTATCAACGGCAATTACTCTGGCCGCTATATTCACTGGGGTATTCGCGAGCACGCCATGGCTTCAATCTCAAACGGTATGGCTGCGTTCAACAAGGGTACAATCCTCCCCGTCACCTCATCATTCTTCATGTTTTACATTTATGCCGCTCCTGGCATTCGTATGGGTGCCCTCCAAGGTCTGCAACAAATTCACATCGCCACTCACGACTCCATCGGCACTGGTGAAGACGGACCCACTCATCAACCTATCGCTCTTGCATCATTATACCGCAGCATGCCCAATCTCCTTTACATCCGCCCCTGTGACTCGGAAGAAACAGCCGGCGCCTACATCGCCGCAATCAAGGCAACCTCAACACCCTCAATCATCTCCCTTTCCCGCCAAAATCTACCACAATACCCCGAGAACAGCAGCCGAGAAGGCGTACAGAAGGGCGCTTATGTGCTCATGGAGCAAGAAGACGCCGACGTGACCCTCATCGGTATCGGCGCCGAGATGTTCTGCGCAGTCGAGACCAAGAAGCTACTTGAAGCCGAACACGGTATCAAAGCCCGTGTTGTTTCTTTCCCTTGCCAGCGTCTGTTTGAGCAGCAGAGTAAGGAGTACAAGCAGTCTGTTCTCAGGTACCGTAGCAATGCTCCTCGTGTCGTTATTGAGGCATACGCCATCAACGGCTGGGAGCGCTACGCCGATGCCGGATACTCAATGGCTACATTCGGCAAGTCGTTGCCTGGAGCAAAGGCGTATGAGCACTTTGGCTTCGATGCAAAGGCTATCGCACCGAAGGTCAAGGCATTGGTTGAGGAGGTCAAGAAGGAGGGCATCGACTCATTGCGAGGAGACTTTAGGGACTTGAACGGTACCATGGGATATGGTTTTGAGCATTAATGGGATGAGGTTATGTATGTAATGACGATATTGTATATGAATGTTCGAAGCCATTGTTTCTACCGTATACCTGTGACCGAATCCTATCTTGTGAGATTATGAACCTTGGAGCGCACGTTTGCAATGCGCATTGTCGGATACCCTTGAAAAGCTCCTCGCGTCCTTGCAACATCTTAAGACACTCTATCGCTGCAAAGTAAACCCTCAAGTGCGAAAGTATCATGTAAACAGTACCACCCTGACCTGAATGTCAGATCGAAAGTAAAAGACAAAACATGAGGAATCTGAACAGACATTTCGGAGCAATGGTGAGCGATACATGAGCACATGGACAAACGGTTTCATGACATTATATACTTGTGTACAAACAAGGGCTGAAAATCATTCAACATTACATCATTTACAAGACCACTCAGTAGACACCACTCAAGCAGCAGTGGCAGCAGGTTTACGAGTCTCCAACTTCCGCGGTGCTTTCTTAGCAGAAGTAGAAGATGCTGTAGGTTGTGATTGTGTCCCACTGCTCTTTGCTGTGTTCAACTTTCTTGGCCTTTTCTTTTCCGTGTTGGCTGTCGTGGAGGGCTTGCTGGTCGGCATTTTGGCAGCTTGAGGCTTTGACGTCGAGGTTGTGTTGGTGGCGTTGGGTTGTTTCTGTGTTGCTGATCTGGTGGTCGGACCTGTCGAGGTAGTGCTTGGCTTTTGTGTCGGCTTGGGCTGCTGTTGCGTGGTTGTGTTATTGGCGGTTGGTGCTTCTTTGGGCCTCGGTGCCTCTTTTGGTTTTTGAGGTTGCTTGGGCTGTTGCGTACTCGAGGTCTTTTGCTGCTTTGGCGCTTGGTCGCTTTGTTTGGGTTGGGATTGGCTTCGCTTCTTGGGTTGCTGAGCTGGCTCCTGCTTTCCTCCGCCCATTCCCATTGACGCTCCTAGACCGCCCAAGCCAACTGCAGAACCTGCTTGTGACATGGACGGCATCTTCGGCATTGACGGCATACCAGGCAAGTAGCTGGTCATATCCTTTGCTGATTGCGACCAGGATGACGGTGCTTGATCAGGCATGTCGTTCTTCATTTGTTCCAACTCTTCTTTGCTTGGTGCTTGTGTCTCCTTGGTCTGCATGATCATCTTGTCCAATGCCTTCTTCTGTGACGAACTTGCCTTCCAGTCTGGGAGGAAGTCACCAACGACACCTTGGACACCCTTACTTGCCATCTCTCCCATATTCCACAAGGGCTCACTCCTCATGGCGCCGTAGACAGAGCCGATACCAGCACCGAGGAGTCCCGTGACTGTCGAGACTGTGCCACCAACAATAGCTCCAGTCAGCTTGCCGAGGGTAACACCAGGTTGCACGCCCAACCCGGCACCGGCAGCCAATCCTTGGAAAGCACCGGACTGTGCGTACTTTGCTGCTTTGCCAAAAGATTCAGCCTCAATTTCCTTGTTGACTGCTTTGGCAAGTGTTGCTTCTCGTGCTTCGGCATCGCCAGCTCCCATCGCTGCTTGTCTCAGCTCCCAGGCCTTTTGCGTTGCTTGCAATGCCATGGTGGCCGAGACACCAGAGTTCTGTTTGATCTCATCCTCAGGGATGCCCTGCTGAGGTTGTCCATTGGCGTTAACTTCCGACTTTGATTTCGTTTTTTGTTGTGTTTGTTTTGGCGGCATGATTGATAGAAGGGACTAAGTTCAACTTTGTTGATGTTTTCGAATGTTAGGTTTAACAGCGCCTATGTACGAAGCGATTGTGAGGGCAAGAGAGATATGCAGGCTACGTCACTCATGTGGTGACGCACGAGCTTCATCGTCGCGTCGCTCGGGGACCTGGAATACCTGTTTTCCACCGTGTTGTTCTATGGCAATAACTTATCAGAGTTTCACAGCCACATTTCTGTGATTGATGTACAAGGCAGACAATCGTAGATCTAATATTGCCCTAGATCGTGGAGTAGGCAACTACCTGCTTGGTTTAATCAAAGTTCTTGGCATACTTTAAGTTGGAATCTATGAAAAATATCCAGCGTTACCGCTCCACGAACCATCGTACAAGCGAGATCACAGGTCACTTGCGCAGACTGTACCAAGCCTCCAAGTGATACTTGTAGAACTACAGTCGTTCACATGTGGACGCTGAGCCGACGCGCGAGATCGGACCGCTGACGATAATCGTGTAACAGGAAGGGGCGAGAATGACCATGGAGGTAGTGATGATAAGCCTCACGACTCGCGACTTACTTGTAAAAAATGGCACTGCATACCTTCTGCCATACGCGGCTGTGAGAAGGACTAGCGTTGTTGTCGGGATGTTAGTGACTCACAACGAATGATCCCAGATCCAACAAGGATCGATCAGCATAAGCTGTGCCCCTGATTGGCAAATATGAACATGACACTGAATGCCTGGTAATGTAGAATAGTAAGTTACAAGAAGGGATATCCACAACAAAAGAAAAGAAAGCTATCAAGGTCGCTGCTAGTTTTTGATTGCAACAGGCACAACAACACGTCAACGTCGCTTTGCGAAGAACGAAGAAAGTCGCATGGATGTCGTTTGTCGCACTGGATCGGGTTATCGACATTTCTGGGATAGGGCGCTGAGGTGGGTAACAGGCGGTGTATTACGCATGGGCTGCATGGGCAGTGAAAGTCGCACACGGGCAAGATTGTAGCTCATGGTTGTCGTCGCTCTCGAGTTTTGTCGCTAGGTGGGCAAAGGCAGTCGCGCAAGGCCTGTTGTTAGTTGCATCGGGTATCAATCGTCCAGCATCGATCCATCATCATCAAACATTTTCACTCCAAAAATGCGAAACCTTCTAGTGAGCAGCCTTGGAGTTCCTCCTTGCCTCCGAAATACTACCTCTGGCCTCAAGGATAGTGTCCTCGTGGGTCGGCGGTCCCTGGTAGTTCTTCTTGCCCCACACGAAGTACCATGCACCTGCAATCGACATGAAAGCGACAAACACTACTGATGCATAGTTCATGAGCGAAGCTGTGACGGGAATGGTCGTGGGCATGCAGAACAACGGTACAGCAAGACAACTCCAGGCGAGCGCGACAATGTTGCAGAACAATCCAAGAGGTCCGAGGGAGAAATCGGCACCCTTGACATGCTTGCGACCAGTGAAAAGGTTGGTAGCGATAGGGATAGCGTAAGAGACTGTCAGGCAAATGACTCCAACACCAGAAAAGGCATTGTACGCAGCGACTGATCCAAAGTAGATGACAGCAAGCAGAATCTGCACGACCATGCTGAGCATCATGGCATTCAGTGGGACACCCTCAAGGGCAGTAGTGTTGTTGACTTGCTTCCACCACTTGCTACCGGGGATGGCTCCATCACGAGAGAAAGCCCAGACACAACGAGATGCTGCAGTAGTGCATCCAATACCACAGATGAGACCGAGGACCATCAGGGGAAGAAGAAGGCCGATGGCACCACCGGGCGAGCCGACAGCAGTCGCAATAATGGTAGGGACAGGCTGACCGGATGCGAGAGCAGCAAGGGTAGAGAGATCAGGAATGACGAACAGGAGAGGAAGCAAGAACATTAGACCAGCGCCAAGGTTGATCAAAATGGTTGCAACCATGGCCTTGGGCACTTGAGTGGAAGGCTCCTGAACCTCCTCGCACATAGAGATGATCATACCAGTGGATGAAGTTGCGTAGGCAGCCTGGAGAAGACCGACACAGAACGACCACCCAGGGGTCCAGCCGGATTGGGGCTCGAAGTGGGTAAAGACATATTCACCAGAGCGTCTGCCACCCTTGGCCATGACAAGCGTAACGATAAGGATGGCGACTACACCAGCGAGAGTCCAGAAGATGGCAAAGGTCTGGATCATCTAGTCAGTATGGTAGTGAACCCAAAAACACGATCTCAACATACATCAATCAAAGCCAACCATCTGTTGCCGAGAGAAGAAACGAGGTTGCAGAAGAGGGTGATAGCAACAAAGACCAACCAGGTCTCCCAAGCGCTGGCTTCCCAGATGCCGACACCAGGCGACGACTCAAACACATTTACACATGAAATAATGAACAGTGCAGATCCGAAGTTGACGGCCAGAGTGATGGTGATGTTTCCGACGACATACGCCCAACCACAAATCCATGACAGAACTCTCTTGTACTTGGCGGGTGCCAACATGAATGTCTGATAGTAAACACCACCAGCCGTAGGGTAGACCGAGGTAATCTCACCCAGACTGGCAGCAACACAGATGATGATAAGCGAAACCATAATCCAACCCCAGATGATGTTGGCGGGCCCGCCGCCGACAAGAGGGTAGTAGAAGGTCGTCGCGAGACCGTAAGGAATAGAGGCCAGGACAAATGACATGAAAGCGACTTGGAGCGTTGATCGGTTGCGTGCCATTTCAGGCTTGTAGCCCATGGCTAACAGGATCGCATCGGACTCGTCGAGATCGGTACCGCTCTCTTCGTTTGAGATCTTTCTTGCATCTCCAAGCTGGTTCTTTGTCGTGGGGGCAGGTTGGCCGTGGCCAGCAGCCATACCGGCTTGGTCGAGATTACGGTCCGGAGGATTGGAGAGGAAACCCATGGTGATCAATTGGTGCAAAGAGTGAGCGTGAGAAAAAAGAGACCGGACAGCGTCGGGGTCTACCCACAAGATATGTACAAGAGGAGCGGACGCTTGGACGCGGCGAAAGCACTAGGCTGGGAAGGTTTGCATAGCGTACGTTCGCCTAGCAGCCAGGCGTTCGGAAACGGGTGGGAGTTCGAGAAAAGAACGCCAGTGACTTCATATCCAAATTTTCACACACCTGACGTTCGCAAGCCGCTCTAGATGCGACCATTGCTAGGGTATGCAACACTCCATCACGCACCCTCTGTGTGCATTTTTCGAACGACCTTATTCCAGAAAATCTTTGCGAATCCTACGAGAATTCGTTGGGGACGGAAGGAGCAGCAAGATAGACAAGCCTGATTACTGCAATCAAAGTGCTTGCCAAGCGTAAGACGAAACGCACCGCCGGACTCGGTGGAGGTGGACGTGACGGGGAAATACCACTCGGATCTCTCTGGGACCTCTGATCTCTGGGGCGACAACTTCAGTTCATGGCAGTGTGATTAGCATGGACACCGATCAAAGCCAAGCAGTGGTTTCGCGCTCTCTTGTTACTACTACACGTCTCACTTCGTTGCATGCGTAGAGCTCGAATAATGGTCGTATTCTCAACAGCCAGATCAAGATTGCTCTTCAGCGGGACTGCCTGAATCATGGCGTTCGACAAGCCATCCTCCCACTTTCGCCGAGGACTCCTCATCTATGATAGCAGTGACAAAAATGCCTCGCCGTAATCACATATCTGCGAAACAGTCATTGGATTTGTCTATAAGCGGTCAACTTGTGTCGCAAACAATTCGAATTGATTGCCGTTTAAAGGCGGCCTTTCCGCGCTCTACCTGACGATCAACTTTCATGCATGAACAATCCACATGGCTTGTTGCTATCACGCCGCAAAAGCGCGCCACTAAAGTGCATGAAGGGGGAACGATCCGCTGGGCCAAGGAGAGGCGCGGTAGTTCTCGTCGTCGCAGTGGCCTAGACGAACCCTTCTTTGCTTCATCGTTATCATCGGCAAGGATCGTAGCCAAAGTGAGATGAGCCCTAATCTGTCCAGAGATACCATACACAAGCCGTTACCCTCCTCGGTCGTTGTTGTAGCATTGCCTGTATAGGTGTGAAAATCCTCGACTAAGAACGTAGCACAATTGCAGCAACTACCTAGGCAAGGTCTCTCGACGCTCGGCAGGTTTCGTGCGAGGGGTTTGGGAGTGAGACCACGTGAACAGCTGAAGGACCCCTCCATCAACCCCTCCCCCACCTCATGGATCTGCATACCAAGCAATGAGCTCAATCGTGAACACAGAACGTCGACGAGATCTGAAACTCTGATCTGAGATGTCTGCGGCAGAGTTTTGTAGCAGCCAACAGTGCGGCTCAGCGAACATAGCGACAGATCGTGTCAAAATATCACGAACCAACACGAGCTTCACGATGACAGCTTACGGGAAGGAACGAGGCAAACAAGCGAACGTCGAAGTATAAACCATAACGTGGGTGTACCGGCAGAGGAACCCACCTGCATCAAATCTTGCAGGAAACATGGCCTCGCATGCACGGTGTCTTCTCAACCTCGTTGACGAATGGTTCCAATAATAATAATAGTGAACTTATAGCCGACGCATGCCAAATGTCTGTTGTGCGTTGCGACAGCCACCGAAAGCGAACCTGCGGATGGACAAGGCCCAAGAGCTCTGTGATTGGGAATACCCAGCTCCGCAGTTTTGAGTACGATAAAGCTCTTCCAACTCGATGCCGTCAAGGCCATCCACGGACGATTCCTCTCCACGCACAACCACATTCGTCGACCGTGTCTGGTCCGTCATGAACATGCATCTATTTGTGAGGAACACTTCCTTGATAGCGCTCGCTGTCTTCGGTTATGTAGCACTCTGGAAGTTTGCGACCGACAATGGTACTTTTTCGTTGATGCGTGAGTGGTCATCGCAAAACCGTCTTCCAGGAACTGGCGAGAAATACGCCACAGAATTCACGCAATGGCGCACGCTCGATATATTTTTGAAGAGCTTGTTGACACTCTTTTGGCCGATGGTCAACGGGACCCAACCTGGCTCGTCGCTGATGTGCTTCTACTTTGCTGGTCAAGGCATAGCCGCATGGATCTTGACAGCAATTGAAGGACAACGCCGCGGCCACAAAGACAATTCGAGATTGATATCCTTCACTGCAGCTTATGGCTTGTTGTTCCAAGCTCTCGGTATTGGAATCGTTGGCCCAGTCTTCTTCGCCTTTTCACCTCTTGGAGACCGATCGACTAGTGCTGTTCTTACACGCTACACTGCAGAGATAAATGCTATTATTCCAGCGACCATTGGTGCGATCATTATTCCGACCATCCTAATGTCACTTCATGCGCCGACTGCCATCTCGCTCGAGCACAAAATCGATCTCATCCGTTTATGGCAATTCTTTCCACTGCTGTTTCGCTTGTGTCAGCGGGTCTGGAGCAGCTTTGTTCTGGTCCGCATCACGTCTTACAGGGACGAGATAGCCGAGAAGAACCCGGAGACGCAGCGTAGAGCTTTCGGAAGGGTGTATATAGTTGGACTCTGTTGCGCCGCGGTACCTCACATCAGCACTGTCGTTGCGTCTCTGACGGCTCTATTGTGTCCTACTTTTTTTGCGACCCCAACAGCATTCCATCCAGTCAATCTCTTCGTTCCAGTATCGCCGTTCTCTGGACATCAAGCAAGCACGGTAGGCCAAGGCGCGCATTGGTTCTTACAATGGGACATGACCCTAATGTTCTCCACATACCTCATCTGGGCTTACTTCGCCAACATAGAAGTCATATATCCCGCTTCGGGGGTTATCTCGAGTTCTCTGGTGCTACGTATCATAGCATGGTCTCTCCTTTTTGGGCCTATGGGCGCCGCCTTGCTCGCGACATGGGAAAGAGATGATTTTGTGTTGAATGCCCTCGAGCACAAGATCAAGTCTCGCAAAGATTTACCTGCGGAAGTCACGTCTCGGATTGGTTAGAGGGAGAATTGAGCAGGGATATATACGAGTCATTGTCGTCGCACTAAAACCATAGTTTGCAGATCATCATCCGAGCAACCGAGCGCTCATAGACGAGAGTCTTTTTGCAGTAGATCGACTGCCCCCTTCGCCATACCCCTGGGATCAGTATTAGTAGCAGTCCGAGGTCTGGAGACGAAACTTGAGTAAAGTCGGATGTCGCAACCTACCATGATGCTTGATAACCAGCTCCGCCAGCGCCATAGCTGTGGATGACCAGATGTTTGCCAAAATGTTCTCTCTCGAGTCTTGGACCTCCTTTTCTACTTGCTATCATAGTCTGTCAGCTTCTGGTCCCAGGTTCCCCAACAATGCACATACGTCGTAAACCAACACCATGATATAACACTTTGAGATCCTCCGGCTTTCCTAGTTCAGGTGCCAAAGCGCAGCATCTTTGCTTGATGTCCTCAGCGAGCTCGATGTCGACTTCTCCACTCCAATCATTGTCGAGTCGAATACCGCCAAGCACCACGCCGTTATGCGGGCCACGAGGGAAGACGTAAGTGGTGTCTTTGTTGACTCGTTGCGGTGAGCGGAAGTACATGCGTGTCATTGGCGTCTTTGGACTTTCGACAAGCATGATCTGACCCTGCATCGCCATCAGCTAGGCGCTTTTACCTACACCTGTCGTGACTTACTCTCGTGGGGTAGACGTTCTTGTCCTCGACGCCTTTCAGTGAGTAGGCACCTAAGCCTGAGCAGTTGAAGTATGCACTCGCGGTTGGGAACAAGGTGAACAGCTCATCAAGAGAGTCAAACATGCCTCTGCGTATTTCGATTCCTTGTCGCCTTGCTTCTCCTTGCAACCTGTTTGACATTGACATAAGCTCCCCGAGTCTTCTTCAGGATGAGAACATGAAGGAGCGAATCGCACTTACCAAGGAAGATAAACCTGAGTATCAATCACAAACGTGCTAAAATCATATCCGAATTTGGCGCCTGCGGGCAGTTGATTTTTCGGTAGCATCTTAGCCCCGTCCCCCAATTCATCGTACCAAATCTTTCCAGTCGTCTCACTCAAAACACTTGCATCCTCAATTTTACTGTCGTATATAGCAGTAATTGGCATGGAATAAATGCCCACTTCCGCAGTACGGGAAGTAAGTTCCTTGAACCGGTGATATGTCACACGGTCCCAATCTTCTTGTCGACCATTGTCTGTTGCGCCAGAGAGCCAGTTCGCTCCTGCCCAAGGAGATGTGTACGAAACATCGCGATCTCCAGGGAGGTATCTGGCGACGATGATGATGCTCGCTTGTGGATGGCGGGAGCGAAGTTCGAGAGCAGTGGAGAGGCCGATGACACCGGCGCCGAGAACGACATATTGATGGGACATGATTGTAAAAATTGTGAACAATCGATTGGAAGCAGAACTAACGGATACACATGACTTATATATCCACTTGAATGGTCAAGATACATGATGTGGCGTGAGTCAGTGAGAGGACAACCGGTATCGGAGGTGTCAAATGTTCTTTCCCGACGGGCCAGAAGTCGTGTTTGGCGCCTATACTACACTATACGAGGCGCTCACACTAATCAAAGCATTGTTTAGGGATGGAAAACAGAAATCGCAAAAGTACTATCAAGCAAGAATATCACCGCCCTCAGGGCCTGCTTTTGCTTTGTCGATTCTTTCCTGTGTCGTCTTGAACGCTTTTGGTACCCTCGTTTCCTCAAAACTCTTTCCCTCATGAAGCATCTCAGACAGTCCTTCAGCTGCCAGCCAAATGACCGGCATACCGTGACCATTGAAGCCAGACAAGATGTATTGACCAGGCTTCCCGGGCACCTCACCAATATGAGGATTGCTGTCGTATGAATAACCCATAACGCCTGTCCATATTTTCTGCACTTCAGCTTTGGTATCTTCCCAACCGCGGAAGTTGTTCTGCATGTAATTGGTATAGTAGTCCTTCGAGGCTTCAATCAGCTCGGCATCGTCGGAGTTGTTGTACCATTGCTCGAGATGAGGCTTGAAGATTGCTTGTGAGCCACCAACAATAATACCGCCGTCGGATCTTGGTATTAGATAGCTGAGGACACTAGGGTCTCCTTGTTCTCTGATGATGTAGGAGTTGCCGACGAAAGGCGCGATATCCTCCTTTGGTACTGCGATGTGGCAGCAGATGCCTTTGCATGGCACAATATTCTTCTCGTATTCTGGCAAAAGAGCTTTTGTGTAAGCATTGGTCGCATGAACGACTTTCGGAGTCTTGATGTCGCCTCGGGATGTTGAGACTGTCCATGTGCCGTCGGAATTGGCAGAGATAGTGTTCACTGGGGTGTATGTCTGGATGTTAACGCCTCGGTCTCGCAAGACTCCGAGAAGAGTCATGATGAACTTGTAAGGCCAGATAGTGCCAGCAGTGTATGTGGCACATGCTTTCGCGTTTTTGATACCACTGACCTAGGGCACGGTCAGTTTTGGACTCAGCGTATCTAGTGTGGTGATACTTACACCTTCAGCGTCTCTCCCCATGACAAAGTGCACGTCGTCCATGTGCTTCAGCCCATATGCAACCATTTTGTCGTATGTACTCTTGACTTTGTCGGCGGCATCCTGATTGCACCACACATCTGTCGTTCTCGTAATAACATAATCGCAGTCGATATCTTCCTTCTTCACAACTTCTTTGAAGGCCTTGATATGAGCAGCTTCAAATTCGGCAATCTCAGCTCCAGCTTCCAATCCGTGACGGTCGATATATGTTGGGATGTGGCCGTAAAGATCAGGGCGGAGGTGGCCTCCGTTGCGACCTGTTGCACCACTACACGCGCCGCGGGCTTCGAGTAAAGTTATTGACGCTTTGCTGCCAGCTTCCAACAGATGATATGCCGTCGCAACGCCTGAGTAGCCAGCTCCAATAATGACAATGCCTGACTGCTCAGGAAGATGTTCGGTCGAGCGATAGTCATCGAGTTTGTGAAGGTCAATACGCCAGAATGACTCGGTACCACCGCCCACAGTCGGCAGACCCTCGGGAAGCCTCATTGTCGTTTTGTTGGAGAATTCGTTTTTGCGCTGTCCAAACACACTATCAATACCTTATATCTGCTGCTCTGCGAACATCAAGGTGTTGCCGCTTACGTGTGATACACTCGCACCAGGCAACAATTAGGCAGCCTGGGCATGCATGAAAAAGATAGGCCAAGCTCTTGCCGAGGCGGCGTGCCATGGCCGATCACGCAACTTCGCAACATTCTGTGCCTCACTCTATCTCCTTCCTTCTACAGAGAGAGATAACGATTGAGACACGACGCGACGCCTCGGAAACCATGCAGTAGATACGACATAGGACAGACAACTGATAGCGCCTACGCACGTATGACAACCCTGTATCTCCGCACCAGCTTGCGGGGTGCTTCTAAGATGACCAACACTCTCGCAAACCACAGCTAAAGCGCAAATGCAAATTAGTGATTGCGGTATCAATCTCGTTGTTGTTCAAGAAGTTTCTCCGGCTGTGCATGGATCTATACTGTGCCAATCGGCGTTGCTGAGCAGTGTGACATAATCTGCCGGTCTAGTCCTGTCACACACACTTGCTTTATGGTCAAAGCAGGATAACGACCAACTGTGGAGGTGTACGCTGACATACCAGGTTTTTGAAAATAGTACCGGAAGTCGATCAAACGACAAAACCCGACGACACCGCTACATATGAGGAAGACTCATGTCTTGAGACAGCTATGAGTGTGACAGCATCTCGCACGCGGGAAGGAAGTCTGCTCGCATCAAGACGCTAGCAAGGGATATTACTGCGCATCTTGTTATCTGGCTATCAAATTGATTCTAAATTGTTCATTGCTCAGCTGATTCCTGAGGTCTGGCCCGGGTCAATCTCAAGCAGCAACTTAGGGTTACGACAGCACTCCTTCCGTATCGTGGATCAAGATAGGGCATCCCCCCCTCCAGAACGGTTTTGGACCAATGATGTGGCACTGAATAATAATGTGGGAGAGATAGGCATATCGCCCCTCGTGGCGTAAGAAACGTCAAGTGCGAGTGCATAAAAGCAGAAGATAGGTTCATCTTTTCTGGGAGTATCATCGTTGCATCTGACTCCAAGCTCATTTGAATCATGTCAATACACGCCCCTGAGACCGTCAACATGGGAGACGAAGAGAAGAAGGTCTCGCACACCCAAGAGGGATATCTCGCCTCAGATATTGAGAGTGGTACAGTACTTCCTGAGTACGATCAAGATGGCCCAGTCGAGTTCGAGGAGAAGAAAGAGCTCAAACGTGGACTCAATCAGAGAACAATTCAGATGATCGCATTGGCTGGAACGATAGGTACTGGATTATTCCTGTCTTCCGGCAAGGCAATCTCTCGCGGAGGACCTTTAGGTGCCTTCCTAGGTTATACAATTGTTGGCTTCCTGTGTTCGGGAGTAGTGATGTCTATCGCGGAACTCAGGTAACTTCTCTCTGGTCGTGGCATACCATTTAAAACATGCTGACTCACATTAGCACCTTGGTCCCGCTGTCTGGAGGTATCACGAGACACGCCGAGTACTTTGTGGACCCCGCCTTGTCCTTCGCCAATGGCTGGAACCAAGTCTATGCCAATTTGATTAGTGTGCCCGCAGAGCTCTGCGCTGCTGCTGTCTTATTCGAATTCTGGACGACCTCAGTCAATAATGCGGTCTGGATCGTAGTGCTTGGAGTCTGTCTGGTGGCATCAAACATCGCATTTGTCCGGATCTACGGTGAACTCGAGTTCACCTTTGCGACTCTCAAGATCATGCTCATCATCGGTATCAATATCATGGCTCTAGTCATAACATGTGGTGGAGGTCCCGACCACACTAGCATAGGCTTTGAGTATTGGCGCCATCCAGGCCCTTTTGTTCAGTATCTAGGCTATTCCGGATCACTGGGACGCTTCATGGGCTTTTTCACAGTTCTATCAAACGCGGTATACTCATACTCTGGTATCCAAAATATCTCAATCGCCGCTTCAGAGACACAAAACCCAAGGAGAAACATCCCCATGGCTGCCAAAAGGATTTTTGTCCGCGTACTGCTCTTCTACGTGCTCACTATTTTCATGGTCGGTCTCGTGGTGCCATCAAATGATTCTCACCTGCTCAAATCTACCGGTACTGCTTCGCAGTCACCATTCGTCATCGCTGCGACTAGAGCCGGTATCAAAGTCGTGCCTTCAATCATCAATGCAGTCATCTTGACTAGTGCCTGGAGCTCCGGTAACGCTAGTATGCTTGCTGGCTCTCGCATATTATACGGCATGGCAAAAGAAGGACGCGCGCCCAAGATCTTCACCAAGACAAACAGATTTGGTATCCCCTGGATCTCCGTCAGCTTGTTCGGCATTTTCTTGTGCCTTGCTTTCCTCTCGTTGTCACACGGAGCCAACATCGCGTTCACCTGGCTGCAAGATCTCGTTTCTGTCGCTGCCATGGTAGATTGGATTGTGATTTGCGTCGTGTACCTCCGTTTCTACTACAGCATGAAAAAGCAGAACATCTCTCGCAGCGAACTACCCTGGGCAGCACCTCTGCAGCCATATCTTGCCTGGGTCACACTTATCGCCTTCATCATTCTTCTGCTGTTTGGCGGCTACGTCACGTTTTTACACGGTCACTGGGACACCGAGACTTTTATATCGAGTTACTTCAACATCCCTCTCTTCTTCATGCTTTACTTTGGCTACAAATTTGTCAAGAAAACGAGCATCATACCGTTGGAGGCACTGCCTATTCGTCACTTCATCGACATCGCAAATGCCAACCCAGAGCCTCCCCAGGCGCCAAAGGTCGGGTGGCATAAGTATAACTTCCTCTGGGAGTAGGCTATCTAGAGTTCACTGCAGCACGTCTGTCTCAAGATTGCTAGGTTCATGCTCTCCGTAGACGAGGTATTACATAGTTTAGATCATAGTAGCAAAACACCTTCATCCATACACATTGATTCCTGGTCCACTTATCAAGATTGGCATCTCTAATCGAGCGCGGAGTATGCTTCAGATCAGTACGGGCTACAGTGATAACAAGCAATTTTACCAAGATAGCTAAGCTTTCATAAGACGTGATTAGGGCATTGCTTATCAGGCGAGGCGGGGCAATGATAGCTCTGGTGGATATAATGATAGGCGAGCGACTTGCCCGTGGCCGATACGAGCAAGCCTCCGAGAGCGGGGCTGTTAGAGCAACGCAAGCAAGTTCCACGTACCAATATATGGTTGTTCAAGGGGTGCTATATCAAGCCGTACTGAGGCCGATAATCATAACAACATCCAACATCCAACATCCAACATCCAATATTCAAGTCGGAAGATATCTTCCCGCTCTCGAGTCTCTGCAGTACCTTCTTGGGCCAGCATTTTTTTTTCTCACCGAAACACACGCAAATACGATGCCTAAACACGTAGTCTTCGACGTAGTGGGCACCTGCGTCTCCTACTCTGCCTTCTTCTCTCGCATCTCCTCTGTCCTCGGCCCCCGCCTCCTAGCCAACAACATAACACCCAAACTCTTCGGCTTCGCCTGGATGGAATCCTCAGAACGAGAATTCACATATCTCTCAATCTCTTCGCGCTATACACCCTACAAGCAAGTCTTCGCTGCAATGTTCTACCGCATCTTGTGGATGAGCGGGATTGAGAACCCCCGCGAGTTTGCTACTGATGCGGAGAGAGATGAGATTGTGTCTAGCTACTCAGAGTTGGAGCTGAGGGAAGGTGTACAGGAGACGTTCGGCATGTTGAGGGATGCAGGGTTCACAGTGTGGTGTTTGACGACTGGTGATGTAGAGAGGGTGCGAGGCTATTTCATGAAAGCGAATATGGATATGCCGTTGGAGAACTTCAGGTCGTGTGATGGTATGGGAGTTGCGAAGCCGGCTTTGGCGGCCTATAAACCCTTATTTGAGAGCTTTGGTGAGGAAGAGGAGAAGTGGTTTGCGGCTGCGCACTATTGGGACGTTAGTGCTGCGAAAATTGTTGGGTAAGTTGAAATTGGCGAAGACGGTGATGACGGTGATGCTGACCATTCTGCATAGATTCAAAGGTGCTTATTGCTCGGTGTATGAGAAGGAAGATTGCAGGGAGTTGTTTGGAGTGGATATGGATGTCATGGCTGACACTTTGCCGGCCATGGCCAAGAAGATTATCGAAGCCTCGAAGTGACGACACCGAGAATGTTTCACATCCCCTGTACACTATTCTACTGAACGCGAGGCAGTATGAGATCTTGTGGACACCTTCATTGTATGTCTGTGTTCCAATCATGCTTTTGATTTTCAAATACTTGATACTGGGCGCTCAGCGCGGGCAAAACAGCTCCTTCCACCCCGTGTGCAGAATACTATCACACCCTTTCATTACAATGATTGAGGAAGGGTAACAATAAGCTGTAAAGAGGCACAGTAATATTTCGTATCGACAAGCCTATTGCGGGAAGTCGTCAACACGAAATATCTCGGCGAGAACGGACCAGTCCAAGAGAGTATCGTGCCTTGAGGCGGCTACAAGTGTGACAGTAGTTCGCAAACGGTGAGGTTGGATAATCCAGACGCAAGTGATCACGCCTTAGGAACAGCTACCCTCGTTGGCTTCGGGCGTAGTGCTAAGGTCCTTGGGCAGCCACTTGATACCGCTGGTAGGGCAGTTGCCCTTTGTTCCGGTAGGGTTCACAGCGATGAACTGACCATTGGCCACGCTGCCACGAACGTTGAAGACATATTCAACCTGATTAAGCTTCCCACTGGTGCAAGACAGAATGGGAGTAGCTCCGAACTTGGACTTGAGTGCGTTGGTGATCTGAGCATTGGTGTAGGTCTTGCTGGAGCTAGGAGTGATTCCTGCAGAAGCAAGCCAGTCATAGGTGGGTAGCTTTTTGAACAAGGTAATGGTAGTGTTGAGGAAGTCAACAAGCTCGTCCTCCGGCTGGTAGTTTGTGTAGCAGCTAGGGTTCAAGGTTGAATAGCATGTTCCGTGCTTGCTCCATTCGTGCTCCCTGATCAACCATTAGTAGGTAAACATGATAGCGATTCGATATGACAACTCACCAGAACGACTCGTCGTCACCTTGGTAGTCCTTCCAGTAAGTCTCCATGTATGACAATATATCGCCATGACCCTTGTTTTGGAGGATGCAGTCGATGTCTGTGTAAGCTCTTGAGCTGTCGCAAGTAGCCTCGTAGGTGCCATCGCAATTATCAGGCCACAGTCCGTGTATCGTGAAACTGTTCGCAGGACCAGTGGCAGGGCTCGAGTCCCAGAATTGAGTCTGCAAAATTTGACCCTGAACCTCAGTACAGCACGTGTTCTGAATGGTACCGCTGGTCTGACAACTGATTGGTGCATTTGCAGGACATGACTTTATGCTAGCGGCAGCCAGACCAAGAAGAGTGCTGAGGGCGATCAAAGTAGAAGACATGTTGGAAGAATTGATGTGATATGATTTAGAAATGAGCCAAGGAAATCAAGCCTTCTTTATAGACTTGTGTTGAGAGTCGGTGACATGGTGTGTTTCATCGGTCACCTCCGTCATTGTCGTCTCCTGCATATTCCTGATGGTCTCGAGTGCAGATCTCCGAGTGTAACGAGGACTTGCTTTCTCGAGCGTCGAAGTAGAGGAAGTCTGATTCGCCTAGTCGCAAGATCTACCTTCTGGAAAGAGGATAGTGGATGCGAAAGTCAAGCGCACGTGGAGAAATGGGAGGAAGATATCGGTTCCTTGCGGGCCGTCTCTGCGTCTTTCGGCCGCAACGAATCTTTCATCACGTAGCTAAGCTTCCAGCACGTACCTGCCGAGGCTATCTAATCTGAGACGCGCGAGACGCGCTCCTCGACTTGCAGTCGCTGTCTCTCATTGTCTCGTGAATATCGTTACCAGACACTGCTGTTATTTGCTGCAAAGCATAGAATTTTCTCAGCATGCGAGCTCACCATTGAGTTGCTGCACAAGGACGACCGCGGCGCATATGTGCGCAATACGCCCGATAGCGCCTTCCTGTTTTGTCATGATTAACCAGACTTCTATCTTGCAGTAGCGAGCTCATATAGCTTTTGATCAACATCGCATCTTATCGCAGTGTATTTCAAGCCTTCAAGGTCCCGCTCGCCTCTAATCTTCCGGAAGCTTACGTTTACGTTCTTTCGAGTCGGTGTACGATGCAGCTGCAACGCCTTCTCACGCTGGCTGCTGTGCTTCAAGGCGCATTGGCTGCTCATCGCTCGCGTCCGAAAAAGACACTGGAGGCAGCGTCTCTGTTCAAGGCTGCAGCGAACCCTCAATCTCCCTTGCCAATCATTCAGCTTTACAAGCCAGTATCGGCTCCACAATCGTCGTCATGTAATGTTCAGCAAACATTAATGGTGCACACGTTTGCCTCAAGCTATGGGGTACCCTACGTGGGTCAATACATACCACCAGGCTGTGATTTCAACAACGTAGTCATCGAATGGACTGTGACCAGTGCTGGCCGTCAATTCGACCGCCTGGCTGAAATGTATCTCGGCGACATTGAGGTATGGAGGACCAGCACGGCCGAGCCCACTGCTTCGGGCATCATCTTTCGTTATGAGAAGGATCTCAGCATGTACTTGAGTCTTTGGAAGTCGCCACAACAGCTCATATTCTCTTTAAACAACGTCTATGATAACATCTACACCGGAGCCTTCAACACTACTCTGAAAGCCATCTTCTCCTACAATCCAGCCAAGCCAGCTCACGCCGATCTCATCTTGCCAATCACACCTCAACTCGGGAGTGCTGGTCAGCCCAGTATTTTTACCCTGCCAGGAGACAGTGCAAGCGTTCAACAAACTCTTCCTCAAAACGTCAGCCATGCAACCGTCTCCATCGCGGCCACAGGCCAGAGTAACGAAGAGTTCTGGTACACAAACGTTCTGCAATCTGACATCAACGACTTTAACTCTACTGTTGGTTCTTTGCTTGGGTTCGGACCGTTCCGAGAGGTCCAGTTATTCATCGACGATATGATGGCAGGTGTGGCATGGCCATTCCCTATCGTCTTCGCCGGCGGTATAGCGCCGGGGTTCTGGCGTCCAGCCGTGGGTATAGATGCCTATGATCTGCGTGAGTATGAGATCGACATCACTCCATTTTTGCCATACCTTCTTGATGGAAAGTCGCACGCATTCAGTATCAGAGTCGTAGGCATGGATGATAACGGAGGTAACGGTGCGGCTACGCTGTCAACGAGCAGCATCAACAGCTACTGGTTGGTGTCGGGCAAAATTCTCCTGTTTTACGGAGAAGACAGCTACAATGGCACCCATGCTGCTCCGACTATCTCCACTTCACCCATCATCCAGGCCACCTCTAGAGTCGATCGTACTAGTAACGGTACCATCTCATCACTATCTTATAGCGTCTCAGCCAAGCGTTCCTTTTCCGTCAAATCTAGCTATGGCAGCTGGACTCAAAGCCTCGACTACAGTAACCAAGGGCTCGTTGGACAAGCGGGACTATTCACTTCAAACATACAGAGGACTGTGGGTAATCAAGCCGCAGTTGTCAATAGTGCACCGGGCTTCTCGAATACGCTCAGCTTCACTTACCCCATCACTGCCAATCTCACCTACAAATCAGCCGACTTCACACAGTTCAACACCTCTATCGACTACGGGCTCCAGATCTCATCTTCAGGTCGTCCAGACCTATCAACGTTCACTCTGGTCACTGGGCACATGGACCTTTCTGAAAGGCAATTCGGTGACGCGTTCTATTCGAATGTTCCTAATAACAGCTTCTCGTACGGGATAATGGACCGTAGGTTCCAGGAGCTGAGCTACGGTATTCCTTACTCAAGGCATATCAAAACTAACACCTGACCATTACCTATGACTCGTTGGAGTAATTTTGATGCCAAACCTTACAACGGCTGATGGCAGTGAGAGTTGACTATTCAACTTCATCATGCCTTCAACAAGCTACGTGTAGTAGAGCTGACTCAAAGGAGACATGAATAGGCTTAGCTATCAAAAGTCTAGCATACTTACTTATGAACACTTCCAGCTGCTTGCAAAACCAATCTTGCCATGTGTATATACCGGTTCGCTCGGATAGGGGCACAGTGGTCTCTGGCGGTAGACTCCCTTCTTTGGATCATCATCGTTGTACTTTGTAGCAACCAACTTCTCGGGAGCAGTACCATTCTCAACCCACCTCATCAAAGCAAGCAGACCATTATGCTGCGCATCCTCAAAACCGGGAACACCGTGACTGACGTTGGTCAAAGGCTGACTCGCACCTCCGATGAACCAAGGTGCTTCCTCGCTGCCCGAACAGTGACTCATGCCAGCGATGGGGAAGAAGCGGTAAAAGTCGTCCATCTCGATACCGTGAGGTGCGACAGAGGAAGCCACTTGACTGTAGAAGTATGTGCTTGATCTGAAAGGAATAACGGGGTCCGCCATACCGTGCCAGTGAATAACTTTACCGCCTCTCTTCTCGAAAGCGGAGATGTCGTAGTCGTCAGGAGAAGCATTGCCAGGATCAATGGCTTCGGAAAGACGGACGACGCTCTCATTGAAGGTGCTCCAGTCGTAGGGCTCGGTGGTGTTCAGCAGCAGGTGCTCGATCATGCCAGTACCCATTGGGTTCGGAATTGGGCTGTCACCGATATATGCAACAAGCGGTGTACCAAGCGAAGGGGCAGGGAAGATCAAGGTGCCGTCGAAGTAGGTCCAATCATGGAGGGCCTTATATAAGGTATCGAGCTGAGGACGAGTGATACAGGCGGAAGAGTTTGATGCTCCTTCACAGAGGAGGGTCAGAGGATTGAATACGCAGCCCTCAGGGTTCATGATGACCTTGTCAGTGACTCCGTCTTGAGGATCACATTGCTTGAGGATCTCATCATTGATGAAAGTAGCCAAAGCAGCGGAGATGTGGTGAGAAGAATTTTGAGGCAAGTTACCCAGGGTAGCTTGACTGGTGTAAATGCCTAGATGAGGGATCCACCATGCAGGTGCGCCGACGAAGAGACCATCGAAGGCTTCAGGAGATACTTGCATCTCCTTCAGTCCTTGACGACCACCAGTCGAGCAACCAGAGTAGTATGAGTACTTGTGAGTTTGGCCGTAGTATTCAGCAGAAAGTGCTTTACCGATAAGTACAGAGCCATGCATAGCACGCCAGCCCCAGTTCTCCAGTGATCCCTTGTTCAAGGCAAAGGTCGAGTCTAAAGGATTTGGGTTATCGTGACCAGTATCCTAATCCGATGTTAGCAATGGTCCCTCGGGAAAGTATTATGCATCCACCCACAGTTGTGATCGCCGAGAAACCATAGTGAGAGTACACTCCGAGATCTTGCCAATTGGTAAAGCCACCATATCCTCCATTTCCGGTAGTAATGATTCGGGAGTTCCAGTCGTTGGGAAGGTAGATGGCCATATTGTAGGACGAGTTGCCTGATGTTGGTACCCGGACACTCACAGCACATCCTTCGGGCAGTCCAGTAGCGTTGGCATTCGCGAAGGCATCTGTGAATGTACCTCCAGCTGCAACTTTCGTGACATAGTTGAAAGTTGAGTTAGATGGTATAATCTTTTGGAAGGCTGCTTGAGAGCAGTCCTTCGCTTCGGCCAGTAGAGGCAGAGCGAGGACGGCGAGTCCAAGGGTTTGAGACAGCATTGTCACTACTCAAAGTGGTTGTACTGAAAACCCCAATCGATCATGGAGATTGGCTGTACTTATAGTGATGGTCCCCCTGGGCAAACGGTTAAGTCCCGAGCGCCCACTGGCTTCGCTTGAGTTCGCTCGACTTCTCTAATTCTGACGGTATGCATCACTAGCAGTGTGTCATGCTGGAGCACCCCATTATGAGGTGCAGATCATGGAGGCGGCAAGCCCTTTCTGGGGAGGAATTGGGGTCGAACCGCGGGGTGATCAGCAAGAGATGCAGCACGCGGCAATTGAGCATGAAAACAACGGCACTCAATAGACCACCAGTAGCGACATCCATCTTCATAAACTTCTCTTGTCGAAATCATTGTGGTTAACTAAACACGCAATTTTGACAACCTCATACGTCGTGCGTGACAATTCGTGCCCTGTGTTAGGTGTGACCGCGGAAGGCCGGGCAGGAATCTCCCCGTGTGCGAAATACTGCCACACCCTCTCTTCCCCTAATGATCAAAGCAGGCAGCGGCGAGCTGTAGAAAGGCAGAGTTATATTCCGTCTCCGAAAACCTAGTGCGGGGAATCGACGATACGAATTATCTCGATGGCATCGTTGTAATTCAAGAAAGTATTGTGCTTTGAGACAGCTTCAGGTGCTTCAGGTGTGACGGTATTTCGCACACGGGGAGGAAGGAAGGATTCGCCAAGGCTCACCGAAGTTGTGAACGACGCGAAGACGCGTTATGCCAGCATAAAGCGCGTGGTTCAAAAGCAGGCTGCATGTCGAAAAAGGTCAGTAAAAAGTGCAACCGACTCTCGACGGACTCATGGCCCACGATCTTTACTGGTCAATGAAACACACATCTTTTCAGACAGGAGGATCCAATTGATCACACCCGGAAGACATCGACTTCGGATCACTATGAACCCGGTCTGGTTGGCATCTTTGATGCTTCATTTCGGAGATATGCCCGGCGTGTACAGTGAACGCATGCCCTATATTGTCGGGACACGCGTATGTGGGTCGTGAAATTCTGCTGCCTACAACACATGAAATGGCTATCTATATGAACAACTGCAGGGCATTAACTTCTCGACACGTCCGCGCAGCGCGTTCAGACCCTGCTCGACATGATGGACGATGTGTCATGGCTGCAGCCACCTCGACTGTCCGATCTCACGGCATTTGGTCTAATTTGCACGGTATGTTCTTGCACCATTAATTTGTACATGATATCTTACAACATCAGTGTCTGGTTCTATATGTTACTCACGTGGCCTGGGATGTGTTTTTCGGTCCACTGTCTCACATACCAGGACCCAAACTGTGGGCTGCCTCGTACATACCGAAAGCTCGTATGTTATGGACTGGCTCCGAAGCTAGAACCATGCAGCGATTACACGAGGAATACGGTTCTGTCGTCAGGATCGCACCTCGCGAGCTCAATTACTCAGATGCCGCAGCCTGGAAGGATATCTATGGCCATAAATACGGCGACAAAACAAGAACTTTCGAGAAAGACACCAAGCATTATGTTGGCAATCCAAACAAACCTAGAGACATCCTTACCGCGACTGGTGCAGTGCATATCCGTCACCGTCGGGTTCTCGCCAACAGTTTCTCAGATAAAGTATCTGCCCCAAGTCAGCCAGGAAGCGAGAGATTTTGTTTCTGACTTGCCACAGGCTCTGAGGGACCAAGAGCCGTTGCTGAAGCGATGGGCTGGCCTGATGGTTCTGAAACTCAAGGAAGTTGCGGTTTCTGGAGAAGCTGTAGACATTGTCGCATTTTACAACTTTACAACGTGAGTCGTGAACATACTCAACGACTGAAGCAACAGATACTGATAATCACAGCTTTGACATGATGTCGGATTTGACGTAAGATTGAGCATTTGCGAATTGTTCCTGACTTATAATTGATGATTCCAGATTTGGTGAACCACTGAATATGCTTGCAAGCTCCAAGTTCGTCAAATCATTGTTCCAAGAACAGTAACTTCGACAATGACTGACATGAATGTCCAGATATAATCCATGGGTCAGAACTATATTTGGAAGCATCAAGGCTATAACGAAGCTCATTGCGCTCAAACAATTCGCACTCGTGCCTTGGCTATTAGCAAACATTGTGCCTGAATCTGCTCGTAAGAAACAGAGGGAGCATGCAAAGTTCTCGACTGAGCGAGTTGATTTCGTCTGGCAAGGGACCCGGGGCGACCAGATCTTTGGACCGAAGTCCTGAAACGATCAGACGTCAAAGCCGGAGATGCTAAATCTGGCATGTCGCTCGGCGAGATGTATGCGAATGCTGCTATATTCATGCTTGGTGGCACTGAGACTACCGCGACGCTATTGTCTGGCTTGACATACTACCTCTTAATAAACCCGGATAAAATGGCCAAGCTGGTCGCCGAGATTCGTGGAACATTCGCATCCGAGAGCGATATCACTGTGGACGAGCTGGCGCGACTAACTTACCTGAAGGCCTGCATTGAAGAAGGTCTACGAATGTATCCACCAGTGCCCGGCAGTCTACCACGCAAGGTTCCTGAGGGCGGCGCGCTCGTCGCTGGGCAGTGGATCCCTGGGGATGTTACCGTGGCGATCAGTAACTGGACTATCAATCACAGTGCTATAAATTTCCGTCATCACGATAGATTCGTGCCGGAACGCTGGACGGGCGATTCAGAGTATGCATCCGACAATCGAGCCGCGTGTCAACCATTCAGTACTGGATCGAGGAACTGCATTGGCAAAAATTTGGCTTATCATGAGATGCGTCTACTGCTGTCTATGACGTTGTTCCACTTTGACCTCACTCTGGAGGAAGAAAGCAAGGACTGGTCTGATCAGAAGGTGTACTTACTTTGGGACAAGAAACCATTGATGGTGAGGCTCAAAGCTGTCAGATCATGAAACCCCGTGAAGAAGGAGCGCAAGCGGCAGAATTTAGCATTTTGTAATGTGTAACGTCACGTGGCTTATGAGTCACACAGTATTACTGTTCATGAAAGTCGTCGAAGCTGACGAAAGATCTCTTCCCCTGCTCTCACAAGGCGACAATCATCTTTCCGAGTAGCTAAGCTTTCAACGATAGGTCGATCAACCAACTTCCATCAGAGCTACAAGTCTACTTTCTTGATGCCTTCCGGGGCAACAGCCTCGAGTATACAGACCCTGATGACGTCAAGTCTTTGGCAGCGCTTTCCAGGTAAACAGATCCTGGCACGTTCTAGCCGAACCTTACTTGTACAGGAGCTATCACAAGCCGGACTCGGAAGGTTCGCAATACTCCTGTTAAAACTATAGATCTGATCAGGCTGAGTCTCTAGAAGCTTCGCTAAAGAAGCACCTACGCACGCTCATCAACCGACCAGATCTTGGTCGAACAGTGACGAGATTATCTATCGGCTCTTGTCAAGCTTCACGATTCTGTCATGGAGACCGGTGCGGACACGACTTAGAGGAACGGCACCTTTCAAGATTGCCATTCGACCCCGGAGTAAGTGCGAGCTGGCAATACCATAACGCACACCAAATTGCTTGGCTACCAGTCGACGGCACTCGTGTGCTCAACTTCGAGTCAAGTTTTTTGGAGACCGATGAGGATGCCAAGATAGGTCTGCTCATGTTGTCCACGCCAAATATCAAGGAACTGTACCTCTCAGATGTTCCCCCATGGACCAATTTCTTCTGGCCCCACTTTAATGGCCCAACTCTTGGACTGCAGGTCCAGCCTATGTCGCAGCTCAAAAAGCTCGTGCTGAGAAAATCACCCGCCACCAAAGATGTTATCAAGATGCTTTCCATACTTCCTAAGGTGGATCGATTTGCCATGACAGGTCTGTATAGCTATCCAAGAGCAACTGGGTCCCACCAGTCACCTACATGTCGAATGAAACACCTTCGTGTTGATCGCTGTGCAGCTGACTTCTGGCCAATTGAACAAGCATTGGAGAACTGTCATGGTCTCGAGCGACTGGGTTGGATTGTCGACGGCAAAAGCCTTGCTTACGAGAGATTTTCACTACAGATCCATCGTATCTTCTCACTGGCAGTGCGATCAAAATCCACTTTGCAATCCCTGTGGCTTGCTATACATGAAACTCAATATCTACCTTCTTGGTCATCCACTCCGACCACGGTCAGTTTCCGAGACTTTGGCATGTTGAATAATCTGCTCATCGAACACCGGCTACTCATCGGAGACCGAAGACACGATCTTGCATACCTACTACCATCAAATCTGGAGCGACTGAGTTTGATCCACTGCGACAATGGCGTCTTTGAAGAACTGGAAACACTCATCTCAGGCCGTGCGCTGCCGAGCCTCCGTAATATCCATCTTTCCTTTTCATCCTCCGCATACGAAGATGGAATGTGGTGGGTAGATGCGATGACACAATTAGGTAAGCGGTGTAAGGCAAGTGGTATCGCACTCGGGAGCGTTCAGCCTTTGGACGATTTCTGATGTTGTCTGTCAAGCTAAGTCTTCTTGTTGCAAGGTAAGAAGTTTCCGTTCTTTCCACTCTTCGGGCGGTATGAAAAATGTAAGGATTCGAAGTATTTAGAATTTTTTGGGACAGTATCTCAAAATTTCGGCGAGAAGCGGTGTTCACTTTCACAATAAGTTAATTGGTGAAGGCGCATTGCGAAAAGCCCAGTTGAGTACATGAGACGACTGAGGATGTTACTTCTGTGCATGCAGCGGTTGGCCGTTCCTGTCCGAAGATGGAGCAGGAGTGATGTCTTACAGAGTGAAGCGAAGGAGACCTTTCATCAGATTGGGTGAAGAGGCAGCAGCCGTCGATGGATACGTCTCATGCTGGACTGGGATGATGCAGGCAATTATTGTGCCATGTATCGAATATTATTTTGTCACTCCCTTTTCTCATCCCGCTTTTCAAATCGTTTTCCTGATATGAGGCTGTCAGAGCTAGTTTCGGCGACAAAGTAGTGGTCAGTGATGACTCGAACAGCGAAGCATTATACATTACAAAAGAGAGAATCAAGGTCACAACGGCACTCGATCTCATGCCATCAATCTTTACCAATGATTTGTCCCGGATATTATGTGTGCGCAATATCCTCATTTGCATGTCGTCTTGCCAGTGTCAAATCATAATTTTCTCGTACTCACTTGCTTGATCACCACCTTTACAGTCTATATCTCCCATCGGATTCCCAATCCTGGCGGGTTACAAGAAAGTCGATCACCATGTGATCTGCACGGTAGCCTTCGCTGATACGCATGATGAGCTACCGATTGGAGAAAGCAAGTTTAAATCTGAAACATGCTCTGTTACACCAACCTCTTTCTTGTAACACCGCTGTTCGAGTTACCGTCATGACATCTAGCGTGACCAACATACCAGCAAACAATTGGAGGAGTATCATTAGAGGTTGTCATAACAAGAGATCTATATACAAATGCCCAGCAAAAGCAAAATACCAAGATCTAAATCAAGAGCGTGAGCTTCCTTTGGTAAGAAGTAGAAAAAACGAGAAGGAAAAGAGTATCTGACAAAGTCCGGACTCTTTGGTGTTGGGGTTGCAGGCATCCGGGCCGCTTTGTTGTGGTGTTGTCGTACCAGCTTCGTATCGAGTGGAAGGGAATTGACGTATTTTTTTTTTGGGAAAGAAGTCGTGTAACAGTGCTGTGCTGTGCTTTCTATGCGATTGAAGCATATACGATAGCGGTGATGGTGCTGTTTGTGCATTGTTGGCAGCTCTCGGTTTTGGCTGAGCAGTCAATGTTGGCTGTTGTGATGTTTGCGTGGCTGAACTCTGTGACTCTGTTGTATGGGTATTCACCAACACTAGAACGAGCATTAGCCGACTGAGATTACAGTGAGAGAGAGGGTGATATCACGTACGAGTCGTCCTCATAGCTGTATTCCAGTTGCAAGGTGAACTCGTTCATGCCCTTATATGTGTCTTCCTTGAAGTTCCAGCCAACGCTGCTGTTTGCGCAAGGCCGCTATGTCTGTATTAGTAATCATTTGGGTAATCCTCATAGAATACGAATACTTACGTATTCGCCTTCAGGGAAAGGTCCTTCTGGCGCCCATTCACCGAAGCAGGTGGTTCGCATATCATGGGTATCTACCACAAAGCTCATGGTTGTGTTTGTTGTTAAGTGTCCAGGCGACATGGCAGCATGGACTTGAAGCTTCAGGATATCCATCCCATTCGACGACTTTCCAATGCGCGAGAATGTGGTGATGGGAACGGCATAGGCAAGAGGAGCAGCAGCGATAGCCGCGAGAGCACCCAATGATTGACGAAGCGTGAACATTATGATTTGATTCTAGGTTTGACGCGTGATGAAAAAGTCAAGAAAGATTATTATGATGAGTCGGGAAGAAAGAGCAAGCAAAGGAATGGAAGAGCAATAAACAGTAAGGAGTGTCAACAGACTTATAGGTATGTTGCAAAGAGACAGCCAAGTGAAACTCGGTTACCAATGCCTTGCTCAGGCGACGAACCACAAAGGCGAACTTGAAGCACGCAAACGTGCACGTAGCATCAGGCGAGAGAGTTCGCTGCCTTGTCAACTCACCCCATTACCAAGTGTCGTGGTTTGAAGCCTGAAGTGGTGAAGCACAAGAGCGATGATTGACAGGCACTACTGCCTTTTCGGACGGTAGTCTAGGGGTCCCGATCATCAAGCCCTTGTACAGGTGCCTATTTGTGGAGGTTTTACCTTTTCCTGTCGAGCAAGAGTTACTATTTAGGTGAGATATCCAGTTTCGGATCTGACCAGCAGGTGAGCTGTGTGTACTCTGCGTCGCCCCTCTGATTCGAGAGAGTGACGGTGATCGAGATATAACCATATTTTAGTGGCCTGTTTCAATGCACAGTATGCGTAAGAGTTCTCGCGAGGAAGGGATTGAATCTTGGCCTTTGCGACTCCCCCAGGACGACTTTCTCAGGTGCTGTTTGAGAGTTTGCGGGGTGTCAGAGAGTCGCTGGCCGACGTGATCTAGTGTTTCAAGTCTGGCTCTGGTATACGGACCGAGCCGAGTTCTTGAAATTGGACCTTGACGCATCTGATGGATAATGAGCATAATTCCGATATCCTTTTGGTGGTACTGCGCGCGTCAATCCCAAGCACCGTTCGATCCCGGCGCCGAGGAGACTATGTTTGTGCTATAGTGCTGTGCATTCAATGGAAATAGATCAGAACGTGGTGGGCGATGATGATTTGCAGGCTGATGATTGTCCCTTGTATGATCTTCGGTAGACCACGTTGATCTGCTTCCGTCGGATCATGTGGAGTTGATCTCCAGACGAGGCGTAGCTCTCGTTCGACAACTTGAGCAAGCAGGCTTCAGCGGAAAAGAGGATGTCTCTTCGAAAGCGGCATGTCGCATTAGTATAGGAGACATACTGTACTTGAGAATACCGTTGCAGAGAATGCTCAAGCCAACGAGCCAGCGGTGCGAGGGAGGCAGTTCCCCGACGGGTGGGACAAGGGACTCCACACTATTTTGAAAAGGCAATTTGCTCGTCTAAAATTAGGATTGTGGCTTCTTACACAGACTTGGGGTCGCAGATTTGGACAGACGAGACTACACTATTCTTGGTCGAGTAGGCCAAGAGGAGGGGGTAAGCTGTTGATCTGACTCTGTGTGAAGCTGTCTACCAGCCGCGAATGCACATCCTCATTCAAGTCTGACACGGCTCCTGCCATGCGGTCGCTGTCATGCCCAGGTAACATTGACTCGTATTCACTGTTCTACAGATACGCCCTTGGCCGAAAAACCAAGGCCGTCCCTACCGAGGGGGAATGCAGATGCTGGCACACGAGCAGGGGACGAGCGATATGCGCAATAGGCGCGTACCCAAAGCTGCTCGAGCAAGCGAATGTAAATCACCAAGGGCAGAGGGACGGGAGGGTTTATCGCGACAGGGGAACGCCTTGCAGCAGGGAGTGCATGAGTACAAGTCAAGCGCGGAGGCCGGAGTGGTTAGAGAACCAGTAGAGATGATTACGTGCTCGGAGAGAGATGAATGGCTTGATACTAGTGTTTGTCGCGCCAAGCAATGCAATTCGCATGGTGAGCCACAGAAAGGTAAAATGTCAGCTTGCAGAGGTCATCAGGCAGTCTATTCAGAGCAATGCTGTCAGACGCGCCGGGCCTTAGATTGTACTTGATGAGTGCAGCAGCCATTGAGCCGGAAGGGTAGTGGGCGTGCCGAGCGAGACTTGTTCTCAGAGAAGGAAAAAAAGAGAACGATCGACCTGCGTGCGAATCAGAGGAATTCTGTAACAGGAGGTGTCTTTTCTTGACTCCCAGTGTTCAGAGATAGGCTAGCTTGCCTTGGGTCTGTGGGCTGCAGCAACCCCTCGATTTGCTCAATCTCGGCGCGTGCGCTCCAGACCATCGGCTCATTCAGCGAACAGCAGCCCTTGGAGGGTGGAGCAGACTATTCAAATGCTATCCAAACTGCATTGGCAGAAAAGGTCGAATCGCAAATCTCAGCAGTCCTTTGAGGGTCACAACTTGTCGCCGCCACAGCCTTCGCCCGGTACGTGTGCCAGCCTATCAAGTTGTTCGTTGCTATAAAGGGCAGGCGAGCATCCTAGATATAAGAGGAGGATTGGAGGGGAAGAGAGAACTTCAGCTAATTGTGAGGCATGTCTACAGAGTTGAAACCTGAAAAGCCATCCGCCAATCCACCTTCTCGTCGACCAGGGTTTTTGTCACGAGTACGCAGCCAGCGCTTCTCTACGGTCAACGCGGCATCAGATCCAACATATCAGGGTGGGTCTCTATGGGAGTTGTTGCGAGAGCTGTTGCTGACACGACAGCAGAAGCGTCAAGCACACCAGTACCCAACAAGCGACACTCATACTACCAGCCTGCCCAGCCATTGTACGACACGGCCGAGGCTCAGCGTCCGGTATGAACAGCTCGCAGGTCATCAGGTGACGACTAACACAATTCCCATCAGAGATCATCAACTCCGGAGCATTTTGCACCACGTCCAGTACAGTCACGACCAGCAGTGCCAGCAGCGCCAGAATCGAGAGCTTCGAGTATTTATACTCAGGGTAATCCAGGTAACGCGTCACTTGGTGGGGAGAACCTGTCAGCCATCTGGAACCCGGGGCAATTGGTGCCAGACAGCAACAGCAGCATCACGGGTGAGCAGCTCAGTCGGACAGTGTCTGCTATGAGTGTCAACGGCACAGAGTCGCTGTCGTCGGAGTCGGGAGCGCCGCTGGACCGCTTCATGCAACGAAGGTTGCAGCGGCTAAACACCGAACAGGGTTTCCGCGAGCAGCGTCAAGCTTCGCAGTCGCAGGCCCAACACTCGAAATCGTCGTCGTTGGCTCAGGCCGATTTCCACACCCAACACCAACAAGCCCAACAGCAGCCACAACAACAATCTCTCCAACATCACTCTGACCAGCCGCTGCCATCCCGCATTCCTGCACAGGTCATCCCCAGCGTCCCGAATTCGACTGCAACCACGCCATCCTCGTCCTCCGCCTCGCCGCATTCGCATTCGCACTTCCGTCACGACACTCCGCAAAACCCGCAATACCAACCTCTGCGCAACTTTGCCAAACTTCACGACGACGGGCCAATTCAGCTGTCTACTTCGCCTAATACAGCTCCGCCGCGCCAGCCCTCGATGGCTTCGTCCAATCAGAGTCCCGCCCCTACCGCCAGAGACCCCTCCATCTTGTCGCAACAACAGGCACAACAATCAAAAGACGTCGGTCGCTCGACGCCCCAGCCTCAGGCCGAGGACTTGACCGAGGACCAAGTTCGACAATTGCTCAACGATCACAAGGAACTTCGTAAGACCCTCGACTCTTCTATGCACCCTCAAGCACGCGCTAACCGCTCCCCCCTGCAGGCGAAAAATACCAGAAGGTTAAGAAGTACTATTTCGAAAAGGAGGACCAGGTCAAGCAGTTGCAAAACAGTCTCGCCCACCAGAGGATTGCCCAATCTCGTACATCGCTCGACGACGGCGAGTATGCCACTCGCTTCAACCGCCTGGATGGCCTGATCGCACAATTGTCCTTCAGCATTAGGAAGAGCTGGAAGTCGGTGCCTGTATGGCTGACTCCTGCTGTCAACAAGGATGCCATCTCTATCGGCAAGCAAGAAATGACGGCGGTTGGAAGGGCTTTTGTTTCAAAATGGCTGGTGGAAGACGTCTTTGACCGTTACTTCCACCCGGACCTTGATCTAGCCCTGTCGACGCAGTTGAAGCAGATGCAGAACAACATTCGTCTCTTCGCGCCGCCTGCTTCAGTGCACGAGGACGAAGAATTTCTCACCTCCAAGGTCGTCAACTGGCGACTGACCACGCTAGAGGCCATGCAGGATATTCTACGATTGCCCGAGGCCCCCAAACACCGCTCCCACATGACGGATTTACTCAAGGCGCAGCTCCGCACTGCTCTGGAAGCGCACCTTGATAACCCACCCGTGTCTGATCTCGAGGGTGGCGTACATATGATCTGCGAGCTTGCCGTCGCAATGCTGGGTCACTTGCCGCAAGAAAGTCGCGATGTCACCATCGAGTATTTCCTACCGGGTTCTACGGTAAATACGGATATCATGAAGATCGAGTCCGGCATACCTGCATTGGCTACATCGATGGCTGACGAAAAGGCCGAACGAGGCAGCGTCAACAGCGAGTTGGCTGACTCGGGTGATCGAGCATCGACCGAGCAGGGCCGCAGACGCAACATGCTTAGTGCTTTGACCGGCCATAAGAAGGGTCATGCGGCACAAGGAAAGCTGAACGGCGGCAGCAGCACCAGCCTCGCAGGCAAAGAAGATCGCGTGCGTCTTGCAGTCGGTATCGCGGCTCACGTTAGGGAGCGTGGCATACTTGTCAAGGCTCCCGTCTTCACGGCCATGTGATGATGGTGGCCAGGAGCCGTTGTCATAGTCGAGCACCTGAGGTTATCAGAGCTCATTGTTTTCGTCGTTTCATTGTTTTCAGGCGAAGCGCGCCTTTGGAGATACCCTGCAGGTTAGATTGCAATACGAGGAGAGGTGGATTACGGTGCAGATGCTAGGAGTGAGAGAGAGAGGCAGCTTTTTAAGCAGTAGGTGCTTAGGGCCGAGATGGATGTAGCTGTAGAAAGGCGTGATAGTTTCGTATATCAGAAGAGTGGTCCACATGACAAGCGGTGTATTGCCAGAAGATACAAGACGTTGATCTCGAGAAGAGAGTTGATTGTGATCTTGACATTCAAATAGGAAGCGGCATGATCCGCGGAGGTTGGCCGGGGCAAGGACGGGGTTTGGCGCGCATGACGCTTGACGCTTGACGGAGCGCCGTGACGCCGTGAGCTCCTCCAACATCGGCATCCGCATCCGCATCCGGCCATCTCTCGACATCTCGGTCGGCTCGTGTCGTTGTTTTGTGCAAACCGACTCTATCGATTGCCAGCGAGTCTTCACTCGTTCTTCGCGCTCTTTCCTCTCTTCGCCTCCACTACGCACCTGGACATTCGCGCAGGGCGCCAAGGCAGCAACTGCCCAAGTCGCAAACGCGAACGAGCTCGACGGACTGCCACAGCATGATTTGAGAAGGCAACTCGAACCTCACGACCACCTCTCCTAGCAGACACAACGCGTTGACATGGCTGCCTCTCGCCAATACGGTGTCACACCTCCCGTGTCGACGGCCTTTCCTAGCGACCAAGATCTTGCACTCAGTGAAAGTCTTCTCGCCGAACTCAAGGAACAGAAGAGCTTCGAATCCACCGAAGACACCAACAAGCGAGTCGCCGTGCTCAACACGTTCCAGAAAGTCACCATCGAGTTTGTCAAGCACGTCGGCAGGATCAAGGGCTTCTCCGACAGCGTCTTGCAGAACGCAGGCGGCAAGGTCTTTACCTTTGGCAGTTACCGTCTCGGTGTCTACAGTCCAGGTGACTCCAACCAGCCTTGCAACTCTACTCTGCATTACTAACGTGATGCTGGACAGGCTCCGATATCGACACGCTCGTTGTCGCGCCCAAGCATGTCTCCCGCCAGGACTTCTTCGAATACTACCGTGGCATCCTAGAGTCCATGTCGCCGCCTGGCTCCATTGAAAAGTGCACCATGGTCCCCGAATCTCACGTCCCTATCATGAAGCTCGTCTACCAAAACATCGAGATCGATCTCATTTTCGCCCGCCTGCAGCTCAATTCCATCCCCCCGAACCTTGACTTGGAAGACAACAGCTTGCTCCGCGGTCTGGACGACGCCGACTTGCGTAGCGTCAACGGAACCAGAGTCACCGACGACGTCCTGCGTCTCGTGCCTCATGAGAAGACTTTCCGTCACGCCCTTCGTTGCATCAAGCTCTGGGCCCAGCGCCGCGCCATCTACGGCAACATCGTCGGCTTCCCTGGAGGAATCGCCTATGCCATCATGGTTGCTCGCATCGCCCAGCTGTATCCCAATGGCTCCGGCTCGCTGCTTGTTGCTCGCTTCTTTCAGCTGTTCAGAGAGTGGAAATGGCCCATGCCCGTCATGCTCAAGAACATCGAGTCTGGCCCCCTGGGCAACATGGTCAAGATTTGGAATCCGAAGATCTACTCTGTCGACGAACGTCATCTCATGCCCCTCATCACCCCGGCCTACCCTTCCATGTGCGCCACTCACAATATCACAAAGTCTACCCTAAACGTCATCACTGCCGAGCTTCGACGCGGACACCGACTTTGCGAGGAAATCTTCATTGAGAAATCCGGCAAGACCTGGAAACATCTTTTCGAGGGTCACAGCTTCTTCACAAAAGACTTCAAGTACTATCTCAGCGTTGTGTCGGGCAGTCTCAATGAAGAAGCTCAAGGCGATTGGAAGGGTTTGGTTCAATCAAAGGTCAGAAGACTGATCGGAAGCATCGAGCAGTCTCAGCCCAATGTCTCCTACGCACGTCCCTTTACCAAGGGCTATGAGCGCATGCACCGCGTCAAGAACGATGAAGAAAAGGATCAGGTCATGCAAGGTAGTACAAAGTATCAGGTCTCCAAGACCGAGACTGTTGAAGAAGCACAAAACGTCAAGCAGCTGTCTGCTGAGCAGACCTCCGCCGACAACATCGACGATGCTGTGGCCAAGAACGACAAGCCAGATGAGAAAGAGAACGGTATGACTAACATCTGGACTACGACCTACTATGTAGGGATTGAACTGGTTCCAGGTACGTTGCCCTGGGCGAGCGACCCTCATTCGTTGCTGACAAGTTTTTACAGGAGCAACTTCTCTGGACATATCTCATCCCGTACAAGACTTTAGGCACCAATGTACGCAAGCTACACAATACAACGAGGACGTCAACTCGATCCGCGTCATTGTTGTCAAGAGGTTGGTCTTTGTTCATTGTTCTTACATTCCACATATCTGACTTGTTTCCAAGCTACGATCTGCCCGATGACGTCTTCAAGCCTGGCGAGCAACGTCCCGTCAAGGCGAAGAAGGCAAAGGCCGCCAAAGCTAATGGCACCAAGAAGCGAAATGCTGGCGAAGCAAACCTGGACGTACGTATACAACCACGACATCGACAGAAGAACGTGCCGGCCGAATCATGATGAGCAGTGTCACCTTTACTTCTATTCATCTACTGCCTATTTCTTTGTGTTTGGCTACTGACGAGACACTTGACATGTAGGAAAACGGCGATGCACAAAATGCATCTAAGCGCAGACAATCTGGCGTCACCAATGGCCAGGGTGCTTCGAATGGCGTCAAGGCTTGATCGCTCATTACGGTACGGCGAGACCCAATTCACATTGCTCTTAGGCAGTCAAATCGCTCTGGCATGCACAAGAATGCAAGTCGGGTTTGGTGGGTAGTCTGACTGCTTCGCTAGACAAGGGCACTGACTTCAATAGCCCAAGCATCTTTCTTGCAGCCCTGCTGCCACTCTAACAATAAAAGGAGAAGAAAAATGACAACATCAAAAAGGGCCCTTGTGGCAAAGGTTTGTGTGGCGTTTTTGTCGCCTTTGCTGTCTTTCTTCGACCAGATCACGACGGTGTGAGGAAGAAGCATGTATAGCGCAAACTGCAAGTATGCCCAAAGGAAAACCACCAACAAAAAAAACAGGGACAGGTTCACTCGACAAGAGCTCAAGGGGTTGCTCACACAAAGGTCGGCGCATGGAGTCAATAGGTAGAACACCTTCCATTGACAAGAAGCTCTTTCACATTCGCATTGTCTGCACGGCGTCACAAAGGGTCTATGGGGAGTTTCATACCGAAGGGCAGCAAAACTGGCAATGGAAATTCAAGAAGGAAAAGGCAGAAACAGGTCAAGTAGAAGAAAACAAGGAAAATGGTGGGAAAGGCGAGATAGCTTCTTTTGTTCTTTTCTGATCACACAACGAGAATCGAGACATAATATTTTGGGGACCTCCGGGACCTCGCTGACAAGACTTCTTTTTTTTTTAACCTGTTTCCAAGGAGCTGAAGTCGATGTGAGAAATGTAAACGGCTAGACATTTTTGAAGATGTTCAGCCTTGGCTGAAAGGTGTCAATCAATGTACAATGGCAAATGACAGTAGTAGAAAGTGGAGATGGAGTTTCTCTAGTCTAGGGACAATTTTTTCGGGATTATGGAGAGAATATGGAGAGGTAGAGGAGGCTTGTGGACGAGTGTAGTTTTTTTCCCAGAAGGAGTCAATGGTACAGTACACTAATTAGCCACTGCTCTCTGGTAAGGATGGCATGGAGATAAAGGAGATATTTTTTTCTTCTTTTTGGCGCTCCGTGCGATCAATGATTCATGAACATTTCACAAAAGACGGGCGGCAAAAAAGAAGGCCGGTTTCAGATATAGAGAGTGGATGGCAAAAGTTTTAGCGGATATTATTGTATAGCTGTAGGAAGCCGAAAGTCAAGAGACACGGCAGAGGTTGTTTTTGTATGCGAGTGGTTCATTTGCCGCAGACTTGGGCTTGGTGGTGGTAGGTGGTAGGTGGTTGCACAGAGAAAAGTCTGGGATGTGAGATTTGCATTGTGCATGTGTCCTTTGCTATGGCGAAGGGAAGTTGTGCAAGAAATACCGTGACATTTGTGGCAAAGGAAGAGAGAGAGGGGAGTGAAAAAGAAAAACATGAAATGCTTTCTGGATTGGCTTCTCAGCCGCAAGCCTCTTTTGTATATGGACAACGGAAGCGATGTAAAAGTCGCGTCTTGACTCGTAACCGGGGAGGTGCAACAGCAGTAAGATGATATCCAAGTCACGCGCTCAAAGGACAATCGGATAAGGACAGATGAGCGTTTGTCAAGAAAAAAGGGGGATTTGCTTGAGATCTTGTTATGCGCGGATCATTCGTTCATGTAACTAGATTGATCTGTCATGTCATGTCCAGTGTGCAGGGAAAGAGACAATCAAGCAAATGCGACAGAAGAAACAAAGTTCAGGTATCTCTCCCAAAGCGGTGACCCGCACTTTTGGGGGATCTCCATTTGACCATTTCACAAAAAAGGGAACAGCACGAAGAGCAAAGACCTGACATTTCTGGGAGGACATGAGTCGGGTCCACGGTTGAGGAGAACATGATGGACATGAGTCGGGTCCACGGTTGAGGAGAACATGATGGACATGTAGGAGAAGAAATATCGACAAAATGGTACATCACAATCTCACGTTCGGCCTTTCTCCATAGCTGGTTGTGAGGAGTTTGTCTCTCTCAGAATTGGGAACAAGAAAGGTAAGTTTTGGACCCCCTCTTTGGCGCGTCCGGGGGCCGCATGTTCCAGGTGTCTGTTGGCAGCGGGTCAGCGCTTGCGGCAAGTTGGGTCGCAAAGTAGACATGGACTCGGTGATGATATCAGACAGGTGGATTAGACGTGTCTGCATTGCTTATTAAGAAGAGGCTGGTAGCATCAGGCGGGCAGTCGTTATGTTTCAGCGGACGTTGTTGTCAAGTGCCTTGGCCGACTTGTCACTAAAGTTACGAAGCGCCTGGTCTACACGCCGCCATCTCTTTCTGGGTCGCATCTTGGAACCAAGCACACGTTCTTTCCCCCTTCCGCCGCACTCTGCAGTTTGCACACCCCGTCGCTTCGCCCCTGCCCAATTTTCTTGCTTTTCGCGCGTGCCTTTGCCTTCGCGTGCCTGCCTGCCTGTGCCTGTCTGTGCCTGCCTCTTTGTCGCGGGGCATATGAAGAGTGCGCGGTGTTAGGACAGATGCCTTCGCGCTTCCGCAACCTCGTGGGCTCGAAACGGAAAGCGTCTGGAAACAGCCTGACCCAGAGCCCGAGCAACAACTCGCTCTCCACAAACAACCACTCGTCCTTGCAGTCGTCGTCGCCCGCCCCCAACAACGCGAGCAACGCGACCCAATCGCCGCCCCAGCCCGCCAGCGAACGCAATTCCACCCAGTCCAACACGAACAACTCGCTGCTCCAGCAACAGCAGGCCGGCGCCTCGACCACCTCGCTCGCCATGAACCCGCATCAGCACCCCTCGCAGCAGCACGGCTCGCCCCAGCCGGGCCAGCAGCCTCTGGGTCGTCCGCCGTCGTACCAGTATGTCAACCAGGCCGGTCAGCAACAGCAGCAATTGCAGCCCCAGCAGCAGCAGCAGCAGCAGCAACAACAACAACAGCAACAAATGGCTGGTCGCCCGACGAGCCCCATGCCTCCCCCGCCAATCAACACGCAGAACCCATACGGTCACCTCCCTCCCCACGCGCCGCAGCACATGTACGGTCAGCAAGCCGTGTCAGGCCCACCCGGCTATCCCATGCAAGCGCCGCCGCCTCAGCAACAGTATGGAGGCTACGTGCCACAGCAATCCATGGTAGGCGGTCAAAGTTTCTACAATAGAGGATACGCTCCTGATGCCATGAACCAGCGGAGCAAAGCCCAACTCATAGTCGGTATCGACTTTGTAAGTACACGTCTGCTACACATCAATGACTTGCGCGTGCTGACCACGACGCGCTCCAGGGTACGACGTTTTCCGGTGTCGCCTTTGCCTTTGCGACAAACACCGAAGCAAAAGAAGACATCATTGTCGAATGGCCCGGTGCTGGTACTCAGACAAAGCAAAAGGTGGGTTTGGACAACTGTCTGAGACGACCATGATCAATTGCTGAGCCATTTCGCGTACAGATCCCGACAGTGCTCTACTACGACCAACATCAACAAGTGGTGGGATGGGGTGCTGACATTGCTGACGCGCTCGCGCCCACCGGCTACCCCAAGCCTGGTGTGCAAAAGGTCGAGTGGTTCAAGCTTCAACTGATGATGAGCGGAAACACATACATCGATCCCATCAACCTGCCTCCACTTCCCCCAGGCAAGAGCGAAGTCGATGTCGCCGCCGACTACCTGTTCAAGCTGCGCCAGGCTATGCGCAGCTATCTTCTGAAGACTCTGGGTGAGGTCTTTACCCGCGAAGAGCGCAACATCCGCTACTTCCTGACCGTCCCTGCCATCTGGAACGACGCCGGTAAGGCTGCCACCCGTGCTGCCGCCATCCAAGCTGGTTTCCTCCGCGATGAGAACGACAACCGCCTCACCCTCGTCACCGAACCCGAAGCCGCCGCCATGTTCTGCTCCAAGACCGGTCTCCTCAACCTAAAGATCCACGACGCCGTCTTGATCGTAGACTGCGGAGGAGGTACCGTAGATCTTATTGCATACGAAGTAGAAGAAGAGCATCCCTTTACCGTGGCCGAGTGTACTGCTGGTTCTGGTGATTCTTGTGGTTCAACAGCTTTGAATCGCAACTTTTCCAACATCTTGAGGGCAAAGATTCGTAAGATGAAGCTTCCCGATGGTTCAAAGACAGCCGGCCGTGTCTATGCAAAGTGTATCATGGACTTTGAGAACAGAATCAAGGCCGACTTCCGCAACAATGGGCAGAAGTGGGCTGTCGATGTCGGTATCGAGGCCGAATTCCCCGAAGCTGGTATCGAGGAAGGCTACATGACCTTCACCAATGAAGAGATCCTGCAATGCTTCGAGCCAGTTGTTAATCGCATTCTGGAGCTCGTCAGAAACCAGATCATCGCCATTCAAGCTCAGAATCGTGCATTACAGGTCGGTCGAGCATCATCTGACACGGACAGAACTCGAGCTAACTTGTCACAGAATGTTCTTGTCGTCGGTGGATTCGGTTCATCCGAATATCTCTTCCAACAGATCAAGCTCCATGTTCCTCCACAATTCCAGACAAAGGTCGTTCGTCCCATGGACTCGGTCGCCGCTATCGTCAAGGGTGCCGTCACTGCTGGTATCACCGAGCGCGTCGTCACATCCCGTGTCGCTCGTAGACATTACCTCATGGCCACCCTCCAGCCCTTCAAGGAAGGTCACCACCCCGAGCAATACCGGGTACCCAGCTTGGACGGCAAGGATCGTTGCAAGTATACGAGACAAATTTTCGTGCAGAAGGGCCAGCGCGTCAAGACTGGCGAGCCGGTCAAGGTTTCATTCTTCCGTCAAGTCGCACCTGGCGCTACCCTCATGTACGAGGATGTCTTGTACGCCTGCGATGAGGACGTCTGCCCAGAATATACAAAGGATCCTCGTAAGTCGTTGTCGCACTCTACCTCGCAACACAACAAGCTGACCATCACACAGGCATCAAAGAAGTCGTGACCCTCACCTCTGATCTTAGCCGCAAGAACCTTGAAAAGGACTTTGAACGCATGGACACACCACAAGGCACATTCTACCGCGTCTACTTTGACATTTACCTCACCCTCGACGGAACAGAATTCAATGCCGAGTTGGTATGTCAAGGCGAGGTCATGGGACGTTGTTCGGCCAGGTTCAGATGATTGCGATGCTCCTTTTTTTCCATTTCGTCTACTTTTTGGCAACAGATTTTGTCTCTACTTGTTTAAACTGCCCCCCGGCTTTATTATTGTTCAATACCCACCCTTTTCAAAGATGGAAGAAACGGCCCAAGTCACACACCACATACAAGAAGAAAAAACACACACAAATACCAGCGAGAATGCGAAATCAAACGGATAAGAAATGAATTCAAAGACCGACGACCAAACAGAGGGAGAGATCCAGCGCGGAGTTGTGTTTTTCTTGTCTTTTTCTACATCATTTCTGGAATCAAGAAGGAATGGGGGGGCCTTTTTGGATCTTTCTTTGCAGTCTTTGTTTTGTTTTGTTTTTTCTCGTATTTCTGTATCATGCCATTAAGCAGAAATCTCTTGATAAATCTATAATATCTATTTTTTTTTATTTTTTTTGGCCACATCCATTTGTCTACTTCTTTTTCTCTTTTTTCGATCTACAGACTTATATTGCCCCTAGCCTTTTTCTTTCGGCCTGGATTCCTTTAAAGCAGAGCGGGATGGTTATATTGTTCTATACTAACGAGATGCTTATACCTAATCATCTGTATTCATCCTTCTCTTATGCCTAAAGAATTTAAGGGTAGTCACGTCTCGTTTATAGATGAATAGAGCAGTGTCTAAGACGTATAGATGTGAATTAGAGGGTTAGCGATAATAGTTCTACATACTGCTTTCTAACCTCTAATACTAACTATAAGTGTTTTTAGTGGCCTTTTATATCTATGCAGTGCATTCAGTCATCGATATCCTCGTCGTAGTATTGTCGATATTACCATTAATACAGTGGTTAGGGTATCCCTCCTAGCTATAGTTTTCGGAACACGTACAGAGCGGATGTTAAATGGCATAGAATAAGTAGAATATTAGCATATGCCACCGGTTTTAAGTAGAATATTCCACTCTAGTAGCATAGAATAGAATCGCTAATTCTAGTAGAATATTCCACCATTCTACCTCTTAATCTAGCTAATGTCGATAGTTAAATGGTAGTAAGCTCGAAGCTAGCGCGTGCAGCGTTTAGGCATAGCGGATACCGTAGAAAAGCTCGCTATTACGCGTGTTTTGATCGGAAGCTAATATAAGGCCTCTGATTAGCTAGATCTTATCTCGGAGATTAGATCTAGCGCTCTTACTAGCTAGCTAAGGCTTTAGCTACGCGATCTCTCACGCGTCCTTTTCGACGCGTATTAATTACTCCCTCTTCTTACATTTAACACCCTATCTACCACTCTTTTAACTACTTCTTACTAAATATTAGAGCTAAGCTCTTAGCTATTTTCCTGCCTTAGTTAGCACACTATATTACACTTAACTCGACCTTTATATTATGTATTCGCCTACTAGTATATAGTTATAAAGCTAATTAAACTCTCGAACTCCTTAAGGCTAGCTACTACGCGCCTCTATATAGAGCACTCTCTTTAAATTCGCCTCTAACACTCTAAAGGAGAGGGCCTACCTTCCTAATCTAGGCTTAGTAGATCGTACGTACAGTTTTCTTATTAGAGATAATAACTATAAGAGCGACGCTAGCGCCTCTAATATTAATCAGCCGTTACTTCCTCCTTCGAAGCGATAGCGACTAACACCGTCTACCTTAAGTAATATCGTTAATAAGTCTGACGCGACACTAATATAAGCTCGTTAAAGGGCTACTTCTACCCGTAGCGACTCTAAAGAGCTCTAGTCTTATACTAGAGCTCGCCGTTATAGTAAGCGCGACCGTAAGCGTAAGAAGAAGATCTGGTACTACTTCTATAGTAAGAAAGACTGTCCTCGTAACTACTCTACTACTAATTACGATAACATTAGATCGCACTTAATAAATAAATATAGCTAGAGGCAAGTAACTAGTACACTTCTAAGGATCTTAGTAATAGTAACATCCTCTTAGTCCCGTACTATTACTAATATCGATAAAGCTCGCTTAAATAGACGTCTAATTAACTTAATTACCTTAAGTAATATCCCCTTCCGTATTACTAGTAATAAACAGCTTTATACTCTACTCGATAAGGTGCTTCCTAGTACGTCTAACCTCCTAATTAAGACTTATTATACTATTATAAAATATATAAAGAAGGAGCATAACTTCTATTAAGAGTAGCTTAAAGGCCTCCTTATAACATCTCGAGTCTTAATTTACTTTACCTATAATGCTTAGATAGCTAACTATAGTAGCTATAAGCTACTTAGTATTATAGCTCGGTTTATTATATTAGATAGTAAGTTAAGTAAGGCACTACTTACTCTCTATAAGCTATAGTCTAGCTATGCTAGTACTTAGTATACCCCTCTCTTCTTTAAGACTATTATTAATTACGGTATTAAGCAGAAAATTAGATACATTACTTCTAATAACGCTACTTATAACGACACTATAATAAGCTACCTTACTACTCTATTTAGCGAGCGCCTCTCTATCGATTAGGACCCTATATAGTATCGAACTCGCTGTTTTAGCTATTAGATTAACCTTACTAGTTAAGCACTTATATTAGTAAGCTTAAAAGAGGCTATTACTACTATACTTACCTAAAGTTAAGACCCTTTAGATGCGATCTTAATACTTAGTTAAGATACTAGCCTTACTAATTATAAAGCTATCGACTACCTCCGTTAGTTCTTTAAGTGGATTATAAAGTTAGCTCGCCGTCGTCGTAAGTTTAAGGCAGCTACTAGTATATCTGCTATGCTTAACAATAATATAAGGTGGAATAGCTAGCTATCTATAATTAAGCGAGGGCTTTAATCCCGATTAGCTATACGTACAATTTAGTATACTTACGAGCATATAGAGTAAACTACTCTCTAGCGGCGTTACTAGCAATTTCTTAAGTAACTTATTAAGTTTATAGAACCGCTATAAGAGGTAACAAAGTTGTATAAAGGTGATAATGCTACACTTAATTAAGTACTGATTTTAATGGACTTTCTACGTAAGTATTACGATAAGTACGCGGCTAAGCACGCTTCTTCTAATCTAGTCCTTACCGCCGCTATACGAACTAGCCGATTTATACTCGATAAATAGTAACTTATTAATAGCTACACCTCTACCTATACCGCTACGCTCCTCCTTTATCTAACTTACCGCGAGGTATACATTAATAAGTAGTAGCCTTAGTTATAGCGAACACTAGCTATTACTGCTATACGTGCTTTATAGAACGATAAGTATAAGAATAAGACTAAGGCTATATAAGTAGTGTTATTATTAAAAGAGGAGGAGTTAAATAAGCTTACTTAATAGCAGGCTTCTTTAAGGTATATAAGCTTAGTTTATATACCTAAGGAGTTCGTCTACTTTACTAAGAGCATACTAGTGCTTATTAATAACGCTATATAGTAGTGGCTTAAACCGACGTAGCAACTAAACTATCTAAACCTTACTTAGATAGCTATTAATATACTCTTAATTAATCTAATGTCTGCTAAGTTAGAGAGGGTGTTTAGTAGCTATAGAAGGACTTTATCGTAGGACCGAGCATATCTCTCTGCTAATAATATTAGCTATATTAAGTGTCTTAAGAACTGGCAGAAGAACCTCTGTCTCGAGGCGGTTAATCTACCTATTGACGAGGGAGAGAAGGACGGCGAGGTAAACTAGGAGGACGAGGAGGGACAGGGTGACACTATAGAGGGACAGGGTCGCGGTGACGACGACGACGGAGTTGGCATTGGCATTATTCCACTAGATAATTGACATGGAATGGAATGTTAGCTAGAAGTAGTGGCATGGCATGGCATGGAGCCGAAATTCGACCGATTCCATGTAACATCCGCTCTGAACACGCACTCCCACGAATTTTTCGGATGGTGTACGGCGCGCGACCGGCAAAACGCGCCGACGCAAATGACGTTGTTTAGAACCTTGAAAAGACGCGTTCGTGTTTTACCAACCACACCCACCTTGCTACTTGTTCCCTTTCTCCTTTAGCCTTTGTGTTTAGGTTATGTCAGCATGAAAAAATCTGTCGGTCATTCGCGAGGCGTCATTGTACTGTCTGTCGGGCTTACCCTTTTGCTGGTGTTGGGACAGCGGGGGCTTCTGGCTGTGAGTGTCGATGTGGAGCAGAGGTGTAAAGATGATCATTCGACACTTCTTGGAGCCTTCTGAGCTGGGTACCGGAAACTCGATTCATTGGATCTGGAGTGGACCCAGAGTTCTGATATCTTTCAATGCCCTTTTACAATGTCCTTCCTCGATGTTCTTAGGTAGGGAAAGTCAATTGATCGAACGACATCTTGGAAAGCGGAGAGTGGAGATGTGATTTTGCATCTCTCCATGTCTTGAGAGTTGGAAGTCAATTGCTTCGACGGCTGCCTTGCCTTTTTCGCCAGTAACGTCTATCCTCGATCCGAGTTTATTGCTTACCTGCTCTGGGGCGTAGTGATACGGTCGAAGTTCATCTTTTCCTGGTGCCACGATCCTGTGGTGATTTCCGAACGTCAATGCGAAGGCAGGGCCAATCACTCTGCCGGCCTGGATACTGTACAAGTACCTCGAACTTTGCTGGCTCATTGCTTCAGCTCCAGGGGGGGCTCAGGAAGTGTTGATTGTTCTAGTGCACAGTCATTTGCAAGATCGAACGTCTGACAATGGAGATCAGATGAATTAGCGACTCTCCGTCAGCGAAATTACGTTGTTGAAGATTACCATGCTTCTAGACAGCTATGCATTCCGGACGTGTATCGTGCTCAAAAGATAGGCATGAACTAGTAAAGTCGCTGCAGCCGACCTCTCAACTCAGAATGTAACTGGCTCCACCTCCGTAGTGCTTGTGGCAAGGCTTATCTGGACAAGCATTTTCTCATGTCTTGCACCTCGAGTCGAGACACGTGGGAACTACTGACAGTGACCGCGTAGCAATATCGTCTACCGCGATACACGCCTACTCAGCATGCGTGAAATTCCAAGAAGCCACTTGCTCCACGGAGTGGAGCAGCCAACTGATAACACCATGAAAGTAGCCTACTCGGGCCTGCTTGTCGTCTGGATGTGAGTGCTTACCAATTACAATCAGTATTGCGCACACGGGCCTCCCTGGTAAGCAAAGGCTCTTGGTTCCAACAAATGGAGTGCCTTCTGTCATCAGATTCTTGTCCTCTGATCTTCGCTCGCCTTGAATCTGCCAGCTACCCCTATCTTCTCTTCGGCACCAGCTTACCTGTAGTCTGACAATGTTTCTCTTGACGGCTCTTGTCGTCTTGGCACGCATAAGTTCGGCCGAGATACTTGCAAGCAGTCCCCTTTGTGATAAGCTGCGAGAAGGTCGAGCAACACCCGAGCAGGCCAACTCGACAATTGGTCCATGGGCCCAGCGCCAGTTCGACGAATGGAGAGGTCTCAACGCCACGGGCTTCAGGACAACGGGCTACAACGCAACGGGCTACAACGCCACGAGCCATAATGCGACTAGCCATCGCGCAACCGGAGATGATAATCGGTTCTGGACTTGGTTCCATCACAAGTGGGCACCTGACGCAGCAGACTCGATCATCAGTTGCAAGCTCTCAAAGGTGTGTTCAGCCGTCAGCTGCCAGTTCATCAACGATCAGTACAGTCTGGATGACCAAATCAATGCTTACTGGAGCCTTGAATCCATCACCAACTTCCACAATATGGCCTACGAAATTAAGGGAGCCAACGAAAAAGCTTGGAATAGCGTGGAAGGCGATCTTCCAAACATCATCGATACATTCTCGGATGGCAAGAACATCGAAGCGGAGAAGAAGAGACATGACAAGCAGTGGAAACTTATAGGTCACACAATCACCGGTACCACTCTGGCCGTTGGTGCCGCCTGTACTCTTTTGACTGCTGGTATGTCTGCGGGCGTAATTGGCACTGCTGATGCGCTTGTCATCGCAGGAACTTCGATATCTAAAACGAGCATTGCTCTTTTCGGTGCTGAAGTGGGCATGCTTGGATCCACTGTTACTACGGCCAACAACTTCGGATCAGATTTTATGGGAGGCAAAGACTACGTTGGCAAGATGGACCGCATGCTTCGCTCGTCACAGAAGATCAACCACGACAAAGTGTATGATGCGTTTGATAAGCACATGTTGAATATCATGTCTGGAGAGACGAAAGGCTCGACATCGACGTCGACTTTGGTGAAGCTCATTGAGAGTGGTAGATACCTTGAACCTGGTATCCTGACCTTCGAACATAACGCTGCATTCCGTCAGCAATGGACCGCATCATTCATCTCAAGCATCTGGAATGTCGAAAGGACATACATCGTCATGTCCGACGTGAATGGTGGTAGGTGCGACAGTGACACAAGAGGGTTTCAAGGTATACGCGTCTGCCTGGAAGAAGCACCAAATTATGTCTTCTACATGTTCGCAAAGACACACGTCCGAGAGGGAACGATGCACAAGGCTTTGATCCGTGGTCCGCTCGGTCACGGAAACCTCGAAGCATCCACCAACTACACGCTGACCGATGTCGTACGTGCATCGTATGTAGCTTCCAAGCACTACGGCTACCATATTCTTCATCGGAAGGACAACATGGTCGACAACTTCTACAGCGTCAACTCGTTTCAAGCTGGCGGAAAAGCTCACGGGATGTTTAACATTCCCATCTTATACTCTCCAGGAGGCGAGGCGATCTCTTCCATCAACTCCAAGAAGAACCGCAACTATCCTTGCATGGCTGCAGCTCTTCCTTGGTCGCTCAATGGCCAGAAGGAGAATGTTACCAATGATGATGAGCTCGCAGGAGAAGAAGAAGAGACCAACACCACCACTGAGGACGAATTTACACCCGAGAATTCAACACGCAAGGCCGTAATGAATTCTCTACAACCTAGAGGGGAAATATGGGACTGGATCAAGGATAAAGCCAATAGGGTCAAAGACAAGGTCAAAGAAGTTTTCACGACGGGCAAGAACAAAGTCAAGGAATTAATCACGGGCAAAGGTGCCGAGAGCGGAGGCACCTGGACCAACAACGACCCCGAAACCATGTTTCAATTCCTCAACGTCACCGGCTTGTACAGATCCAAAGACTGGTGGACCTACTGCCATAAGAGGGGCGAACATCACGGCAACCACTGTCGTGGCAACAAGGCAGTCAATTGGGAAGGCAAGTTTCCTGGTGGCGCGTACAAGAAGATTAGACACCCTTTTGCGCATTGCAAGACTCGTGGACATGAGTTCAAGGGCTGCGAGAGTCCGAACAACAACGGCTTCCAAGAGAACAAAAATTGTGGTAGTGGCAAGAGCGGCAGTGGTCAAAGTGGTATGGCAGAAATGAAGACCTACGACTCGTCATATGGTATGGCGTTTGATGCGGCGAATCATCTGGATAGAACTGAAGACATGGATGAAGCCGAACTATCGGATTGGACTGATGGCAGCGCCAGTGATGCCGAAGATGACGCCAGCATGGATGAGTTCTCGGATGAGGGAGACTTCGAGTAGACTGAGGGAGGAGCTTGCTATGAAAGCGACGTTTGGTAGCTTTGTGATAGATGTTGGTGGGACATGCTGGACTCGGATAATGTGAACTTCTAATGTATAGTTATGTTGTTCCTTGCACCCGTGGTCTTTGTTGTGAACTACAACACTGCCAACATTTTTGTCTTCTCTTCTTGTCCTACAGACCTTCGATACAGCAACACTCATTTGGTGGTTGTCCGGGAGAGGAAGGGGCATTTCTTTTGTTGGTGGTCCAAGCTTCCGCAGCAACAGATCGCTCTTTGAGCTTTATCCGACTTGACATTCTCACATTCTCCACTTCCCAGCCCCAGTCTCCACGACTTGCACTCTGGCGCTCAGTAGCCAGACAATCGACTGAGAAAAGTGGGCATGGATTAGATGATAGTTCTGACCCCTCATCAGGCGCTCGTACGACGAAGCTCCCACACGACCAATGGCTATCTGCTGTACTGACAAGCTCGATTCTGGAGCAACGGTCTATAATGCTAAGCAAGGCTTGTTCTCGACAAGCCTCACCAAGTAGGACATGTGTGATGCTAAAGCTTGTACGTAGACCAAGAAAGTCAAGGTCAATTCGATCTCAACTAGCTTCTGCTGACTGCTGAGCTGCCTGATTGGACATTCAACATCGTCTATCGCAGCAATGATAGCGCCCTCGACTCTCTCACAGGCTGGTTCTTGCTGGAAAAACAAAAGCTGCTTTGTGATTATTGGCAACATGTCTTTAGTGTGTATACACACCGTGGTCGCTGGTCAATGTCTCAGACTGGTCTGCAAAGCAACCATTCGACTGATCAGCAGAGCGGAGCAGATCAATCTATATCACTTGGTGACCCCGTCTCAACCTACTGAATGCGCCTTCCAACCCACGACCATCTTTGCGCGTATGCGAATATCCTTGCCATGATGGTGGAAAGTAGACATCATCAACTTATATGTACTTGATCCCTCTTCGCACGCAGTCCGTAGGTGCTTCACTTCTCCCGCTAAGCTGAGGTACTTGATCATCGTTACCGCCTTTCTCATGGGGTTTCTACGTTCTGTTCTCTTTACGAGCTGGACTGTGTTCAGGCAAGCGTTCGGGGATTTGGCTCTCGAAAACTCATCAAATGGAAGCTTGCCAATCCGGCTCTGGCGGAATTGGCACTCACACAAGCAGGAAGAGACTCGGAACTTTGCACCTCAATCGGGGAAAGAAGATATATCACACCAGAAGAAGCTCGCGATGAGGTCGGACCATGGTTCAAGGAACAATACAATAAGTGGAAGTCCTCTCATTCACAGGAGGAAGAATGATTCTGGACATGGTTCTCCCACAAGTACGCTCCTGGAACGGCAGACTCTATTGCGGATTGCAAACTTGAATCATCTTGTAGCGTAAGCGTTAACCCTATCCATCGTGTTACAATAGCTGACTTGTCGTAATCTAGACCATCCACTGCAGCTTTATCAGCGATAAGTATGACTTGGACGTACAACGCAATGCCTATTTTGCTATGGAGTCTGTCAGCAACTTCCACAACTTGGCATGGCCGATAAAAAACGCCAACAAGGAAGCCTTTGACAATGTAGAAAGTGATATGAGCACTCTCATGTTGCAGTTCTCGGATGGTAAGAACGTGGAGAGCATGCATGCCAAATACCAACAAGATATGAAGCTACTGATGCATGGTATAATCGGGATCATGCTTCTGTTATCTGCTGTGACTGGAGGTGTGTCCGGATTAATCAGTTTGAGTGCTGCCAACGAAGCGTTGAAGTTTGCCGGACAAGCGGAACAGGCTTTGGACACGGCGCAAAGAGTTGCCAACGCATCGAAAACGTTACTGGCCGCAAAATGGACACAAGCAGGTAATCTAGCCGGTTTACTGGGATCTCTCGAAGTCTCAGTTTCCTCAGCCGTATCCGACTTCCTTTCTGGCCCGGCCTACTCCGCGGGACTCCAGAAAGCTGCTGAACATGGCATGGCCGAGATTCAACACATCACCGCCAAGATATTCGACACCAACATGATCTCTCTTTTGCAAGGATACGAGGGCATGACACCAAACTTCACACTTGTCGACATGGTCCAAAGGGGTCATTACGCCAACGTTTCTTCGTTCACACCCAACTACCGCGATCAACTTCGAACCATGTGGTTCGCATCGGCGATTGGGACTATCTGGAGTACGGAGCATTCTTATATCATTGTGTCAAATGTCAAGAATGGTGGCTGCAAGGGAGATCATCGAGGACCTAAGATCCTCCAGACATGTCTCGAGGAGTTTCCCACCAAAGTTTTCTATACTTACTTCAAGTCAAACTGTCGCGAGGGACTCAAAGGAAAACCACTCATACGTGGACCTCTTGGTCACCACTTGCTCGAACAAAGGACCAACTTTACCTTGAAGCATGTCGTCAGATCATCAATGACCCAATTTAGAGATCATGCCAACAATCAACAGGAGTCAAGGATAGGCGCCAAGGGATTTGACACCATGTTAGGTGATGAGACCGCTATATCGCATGGAGGCGGATGAGCCAGAGGTCTCTTCATGCTATCAGTCTGCAATACACCCAAGGGACAAGGGATCAGCTCTATCAACATGAAAAAGGGACGCAACTTCCCTTGCTCATGCTACAAGTTCCCATGGTCCGAGCATAAGCATGCTGCCGAAATGGCTCCTGCGTTACAGGGACGAGACATGCTCAAGAAAAAGAAAGGACGCTGGACTGGGGATCCAAAGACCACGTACAACTTCCTGCTCAATTCCGGCATATGGCAATCCAGGGACTTTCGATCATTCTGTAGGCACAGAGGTGGTGTAAGGAAAACCCATGGAAATGGCTGCACGCGGAACAAAGGTATTCACTGGCAGTGGCCAGGGCAGCAAAGGTGGCAAGGACAAGAAAGACGACAAAGGGGGCGAGGCCGAAGTCACCATTCGCGACACTACTATGGACATGAAGAAGCCAAAAGGACCTCGCGGACCAAAGCACCGGTTCAAAAAATGCAGAGTCAACCCTCACAAATACATCGGCTGTGAAACGAAGAACGACGGATACCATAGGGCCAAGGGCTGTGATAAAGAAGGTATGGCGCTCGACACACTCGAGTCCGGTTTCTCCTTTGGTATCGCTGGTCGTGTCAATACCACGTCTGGAATGTCCGATCTTGAGGAGTTTGACGATGTCGAATACAATGAGGAAATCGCGAGTGCCGACGATACTGATGGCGAAGAAGCCTACGGAAGTGAGAGCGATCCTGAAGAAAACCAGGCTGACATAACCGACTTTGGCACTGATGACGATCACGATGACGGCGACGACGCCGACGGTGAAGATTGATGCGCTTCAGTCCGATATGGCATCTCACTGGATGTGTGATCAGTCACTACCCGACAAGATCTTTTCTACTGCTCATTACGAGTAGCTAGATGATTCTTGCTGAGTATCTCGGTGATTGTGTTTGCTTACATGGCGTTCAGTTCTTGCATTTTCTTTACATGTCACTCTTTGACCCTTCCATGTAGCCTTGCACTGCTTTTAATTATCAGAGAATCGTGTCAGAATAAATGGGAGAATCGGTGGAGAATGGGAAAGAGCTAGATGTTTGTAGAATTTGTATGCAGTATCTTTTCCGCCATCTCCTATGTTTAGAACATCGTACTATGTCAACATCTTTTGGGACAAGAGGCAAGCATACCTAGTTGATCTCCCCGGATGAGGTTTGCGAAGTTGATCCCGGCAGATGATTGGGGCAAATTGTCCAGTAAGATTCCGTCCTCCTATGCTACGCAAATCTGGCAAGTTCAGGTCATGGCCAATTGAGAGCCGGCTCCTCGTACATCTTCACCACGGACGGCAAAGAATCGAAGTAGCCGCCGGACAAGCATTTTGAGAGCAAAAATCAGGAACTCTACGACAGAGGAAACGCCACCATCAGTAAATATATATGACAAGAAAATGAAAAAGTCTAGTCGTTGTGAGTACAAGACGGCACAAGCAATCTACATACCATGACCCTCCCTCGTCGTCTTCCAATCCCTCTGAAACCTATCCCATCCTCCAGGCGGCGCATCCCACATGCCCAACTCCCTAACCACAAACTCATACGTACCATCTTTAGGCATAACACCCTGACAAACATTGCCCCCCACAGCCACATTTATCAAGATCCTAAAATCCCTCATCGGTCTCGTTCCAGCCGGTTTACTAGCCTTCATGACAGCTTTGCCATCGATATACCAAATCATTCTCCCAGTACCAGAAGCCTCATCTTCTTCCCAGGTGAAATCGAAGCGAATGCCCTGGGGGGATGTGATGTTGGGAATGGGGGTTTCGACGACGCGATGTTTGTCGTGGTCGGGTCCGTTGAAGTGGCCCCAGTGCATACAGGTGTGGTTTGTGGGGTCGCCGTTCCAGGCTTCGAAGATGTCCATTTCGCCATCTGTGGGCCATACGAATGGGTCTTGGGGTAACAACCAAAAGGCGGGCCAGATACCAGCAGCAAGGGGAGCTGTTATTCTAGCAGACAGATTTCCACGACTACGAGAAAGTGTTTGGTGAGAGGAGAGGCGCGCAGAGGTGAATTTCCTGTCTTCTTGGGGGTGGGAGTGGTTTATGATTGCATGCACCACTAATGCGTTGTAAGGTGTGTGGAAACTGTTTGTGGTGTCGTCGACGTAATTCTGAGCTTCATTGTTGCCCCAGCCCCAGTTTCCTTGTTCGTGTTTGAAGTTTGCGGAGACTGGGGTGTCGGGGGAGCAATTGGGTTGCCAGTAGGGTTGGGCTTGTTGCTGCGGAGGAGGTGCTGGGGAGGAGGAGGAGGAGGAGCCGGGTTTGCTGGCCCAAGGGATTGGAGGAGCGTTGTTGGACATGGCTGCTTGAGCCTTGTTCTGAAGGTCTTTGAACGAATCGCGGAAGCCCATCTTGTCTTGCTCTTGTCTTGACTATCCTTTGCTCTTTCTGTTTGTGTTGCATGTGCTCCTTTGAAGACTCGATTGACGGGCGGCTTCGGTGGACGGATGTAGGGTCGCTTTGATGGTAGGTGCAAGGGCTTGGACTCGAGATGTAGCAAAAAACGTCTAGGTGTGCCAAAAGGCTCTTGGGTATATATACTCTCGCGGTCGAATTGTCTTGTTCCGGTATTGCCTTGGCCTATGATGGAAGTTGGCAGCTATCCATGCTCAGCCCGGCCCTTAGCCCACGGGCCGCGTCATGCCATGCCATGCCATGGTAAAGTGCTTCGACCATTCGGCGGTGAGCTTCTAAGTGTGATGGAAAATGATGTTCTTCAGAGTGCTCCAGTAAACAGTGCAGTCCGAGGAGTACTTCACGTCTCGACCACCCGAAGTCTGATGTCCCGGTGAGACAGTGATCGTGCGTGATTGATATATGTTTAGCATCCATATACGATAGATTTGGACGCTATCTTCATCAATCTCTTCTTAGCTCAGTTGGTTTAGAGCGTCTGACTGTAATTGTTCGATTGTCATCAGAAGGTCCTTTGTTCGACTCAGAGAGAGGAGAGATTTCTTTTTTCCCATCCCATCCGTCACTTTTTGCCACCCCACTCGATATGCGACAAGAATATTCCTGCCAATACGCCTTTTCATGTGATTTCCCTCATTCTCTACACAAAGTCAGAATCAACAGGTCAAATACTATCCTTCACTTTTACCAATTGGTACCGAATCAGTTCGGTGTCCACAAAAACAATGACGTGCCCCAAAAGGTCCAAACTCTGACAAAAAAAGGCCCGAAAGCTTTCATCAAACCACATCCCACCTTCTGCAGCTCAGCTTCAAGTCTACCCCTCCTTCCTCCATACAAAAACACAACAACAACCTCCGACCACAACCTCCAATCCCGACCTTTTTCCAATTCCACAAAAACAAAGCTAAAAAATGGTCTACACACTCGTCGTCCACCTCTACGCAAAAGAGGACCAAACCTCCATCAACAAGCTCATCGCAAAGCTTCAAGAAGCCAGCCAAGTCTACACAAACGACAAGGAGTGTTTGGGATGGTGAGTGGAGAAAACACCTCCTTTTCTATCTTTGTTCCCGATGGAAAAAAAGATAGAGATACAGATTGTGAGAGTGAAAGGCTAATGTTTGATGGGGAAAAAATAGGTTCGTCATGCAGGATACAAAGGATCCTCGCGCTTTCACTATTGTAGAGCGTTATGAGCATGAGAGTGTAAGTGTTTTTCCAATTCATTACTCTTTTATTACTTCTATCCCGTCCTTACTCACTCTTCCGTCTCCCCATCCTTCACCTCCTCCCTCCAAATCATTCCAAACTCTCTTAACCCTTTGCTCTTTGCTCTCTCTTTGCTCTAACTCTTTCTCTCACCAAAAACAGTCCCAAAAGTACCACCTCGAAAACCCTTACTGGCAAACTTTCGACAAGTACGTCATCCCTTTGTTGGCAAAGGACATGGATCTCCGTCGCTTGAACGAGCTTGTCGATGATAAATCAGAGACTGTCCGCGTCGAGGAGGACCCAAAGCTTTGGGAAGAGGTCAAGAAGCATCAGACTTACTAAAATCTTGCCGTTCTTTTTCGCGCGTCAAAAAAAACTGGCAAGATCGAGGATGCTGCATGCCGGAGTCTTGCTTGAGTTTGCTTCTTTGAACAGAGAGAGAGTGTGTATAGCTGAGAAGGGATTGCAGCATCAAGACATTTCTTCACTATCAAGCGCAGAACAGACATGACATTATTCGCGGGATTACAAAGAGTAGTGAATATCAATCTTACTTTCTCAGGAAGAAGAGCCATCACACGTAATGCCTCCTCTCATCACTGGCCAGATTATTCAATTTGCGAATCTCCGTCCACCTGCTGAACGAGCCCATCTCGAGCAAGTTCATCCGCCTCATCTTGCCTGAAGGATTGCCGATGACTACAGGTTTCCAGTCCTTGTCCACAATTTCTCTGTCAATGCTGCCTCCCCCGCGAGAGCCAAAGGCGCCGTTCGGAATCACTTGCACAGATCTGAAACGCCACATGACAAGCGATAGCAACATGGTCAGTCCTAACAGGATGCCAACCGTGACCCCGGTCGCCGCTTGTGCTCCGAGAGCTCGTGTCATGTTACCACTCACAGCAGTTGCGGCGGCTGCGAAAAAGAAGCCTAGTCCTTGTGCGGCAAAGATACCTGCACACACGCGAGGGTATGATGAATAGTTTGTGCGTCTTCTGCGAGTTGCACTGTCCATGCTGGCCAGACGATGTTTGTTGTTGACTCCGGGTTGGAGATCGCTCGTGTCGAAAGCTTCCATTGCGAGTCCAATGCATTCTGCGACGGCGAGACATGCCAGAAAGCCGATGATTGCAGCCAAGACCGTAGGACCGGCGGCTTTTACGCTTGGTCCAGGAGATGCCAGAACGTATGCAAGACCGGCAATGGGTAGAGCGAAAGTAAACAAGCATCGTCTAAGCAGATGCGATGACCAAGTGACACGCGGCTCAAATGTACCGCTGTCGGTACGTAGTGGTTGGACTCTCTCGCGCGAAAAGACATTGGCTTTTGTCAAAGGAACAGCAAGTGCGGCACCAACTGCGACAGCAAAGACAGCGAGGCCAATGTACTGTGGCTGCCATCTGTAGTTACGAGAAAGCAGTGCACCCAGGAGCTATGATATGTTAAAACTTATCAAGCAGTATGGATATCTGAAGACTTACCAGCGTAACGAGTACGACCAAGGCGTAGATCCAGGCCAAGTAGACGGCAAGGACGAAGAAGCCGACTTGACAGAACATGCGGGCCATGAGTCTCATGCCGGCCCAAACTTCTTCCCACCAGTACTTGGGGCCGTCTTGATCAAGGTGCAATTTGATTTCACCACGAGCCACACGTTTCTTGAGCTTCTCTTCTTCATCCAGATATCTGAGAACTGAACGTCGGTAGGGGGCGCGGCGTGTCTCTGGCGCGATGACGTTCAACAGAATGAAAAATGAGAGGATGATGACAACGACGTAGAATCCCCAAGCAGGATCCAGATGCTGAGTGATGGCAGCGCCGATCAGGAAGCCAAGAGACAAGGAGCCGACGAAGCACCAAGCCCAACAACCTAGCCAGATACCCATCCCTCCACCTTGACGTCGGACATCGTCGTAGAAGACAAGTTCTTGATGCGGATTCCGTGATTGAAGGGAGGCACCAAAGAGGTCCAAAAGAGTTGACAAGAAGTTGATGTGTGCGAAGCCGAGAGCGAAGCCAAGGAAGAATCGCGGAACGAGTAGACCAGCAAGTGATTTGGCTAGGTGTGGACCTCTCGGAAAGCCTGTGGCAATTGACTGAGGGAATTGAAGAGGAATGGCAATTGCGAGAGCTGCCAATGTGTATGGCCTTCTGCCGTGAAGGAGAGGAAGAGGCCAGAAGATGAGTGTGGTGATACCCATTCCAACGTAGAGTCTGTGAGCTTTAGTTAGTGATTGAAGCCAGAGGGAGGTGGAATCAGCGCCCACAGAACGTTGCCCAGGATGACATGATGGTGCTCGTCTCCTAGCTTGTACTGGATCTTGGGTACCTCACCAGCCTGCAGACGTCAGCGTGTGTTCAGCACAAGGTAGTAGCGAGATCAAGACTCACATAGATGCCAGCAATCAGACCAACGACCATTGTGTTGAGACAGGCGATGACGGCAGTGATGCGTTTGCGGCCAATCTTCCACTCTCTGGCAATGGGCGAGCGGCGATATCTGTGGAAACGAAAGCCAGGCTCATCCTTCAGACTGACGTGACTCTTTCGTGGATGCTGCAGACTCAGATCTGGCGATGGAACATTGGCTGAAGGGGGTTGTGGAGCTGGACTTGGCTGTATGGATGGACTTGATGCTGGCATGGGCGTAGGGACGTCCCTATGCTCGGGAACGTGGTAGTAGACCGACTCGAAGATGCGACTTGCACCAGCCTTGGGCTTCTAGCGCTTTCCCGGTACAATGGCAGGTGCTGGAAAGCTGACGGCTGGGTAGTCGGGAGCAACGGGTCGCTTGGGATAGTCCGAGGTAACATAGTGCTGTGGATCATAGACGGCAGGAGAACGAGTCGCATCTTGTGAGATGGGCAAAATGACACCAGATGAACGTTGGTCGCTCTCGGTATCGTCGATACGGAGTGGAGGAGATTGCGTCTTGGGAGAGACATCTGGCGACTTGCGAGAGAGAGTGCCATCGAGTAGACTGGATGCTCGGATAGGAATGTCGATAGGCAGCATTGGAAAGGTAGGAGATTTGCCAGAGTGCGAAGAGGAATATGATGAGGGTGTATACATAGTGATGCTGTATGAGGTATGTTGATGTGTTGGTTCAGGGCAGAGTACTGTCAATGATGGAGATGTATACGGCAGAGGGCGGCCAAGGGGGTTGCTTCCTTGCGCATCATCTCCCAGAAAGGGCTGTCAAAAGATGCAGTGTCGCAGTGGCCACCAGACGGTCGCTCTTTCCTGTCTAGGGTGTAATGGACGTCAAAGCCGATTGTGGTTTGTGATCAGGGAGGCACATGATGAGGTCGAGACACTTATTCTGACCGAAGGCTGCTTGGCTGCTGATCACAAGGCAATGTGTTGTAGCCTGCTCTAGTAGTCTATCATTGTCACAGAGACATGTTGCATATCTTGAGCTCGATGGAAGTTGACAGAGAGGGCAAGAGGCACTCCGAGGAGAAGAGTGGGGGTTTCATCGCGGCCTATCGATAAGGAGATGGTGGGGCACGTCATAGCTCATGGCCGAGGCCGGCGACCCTTTGGCCGACACTTGTGCTCCAACAAACACACCGAGTAATCAACCATCTGCTCACTTCCTTCACAATCTCACTCACGGAATCATGGCCAAGTTACTCAAGAAGCCTCTGAAGCTTGCCTGTGTCCAGCTGTCTACCGGTACGTCCGACAACATGACCATGCTCAATCTGCCATGCTCAATCTGCCATGCTCAATCTGCCCAACACTTGACTAACCTCCAAGCACAGGCGCCGACAAAGCAGCCAACCTCGCTCGCGCAAGATCAAAGGTCCTCGAAGCCACCTCGAAAGGCGCCAATGTCGTCGTCCTACCCGAATGCTTCAACTCGCCCTACGGCACAAAATACTTTCCCAAATACGCAGAAACCCTCCAACCCTCTCCACCTACTGAAGCCCAATCGCCAACCTTCCACGCTCTCTCCGCCCTTGCAAAGGAGAGCAAGGCATACTTGATCGGTGGCAGTATCCCGGAATACTTGGCTGACACGGATAAACACTACAACACAAGTCTCATCTTCGGTCCGGATGGTAATCTACTGGCCACGCATAGAAAGGTTCATCTCTTCGACATTGATATTCCTGGCAAGATCAGATTCCAAGAGAGCGAGATTTTGAGTCCCGGAAACAAGGTAACTCTGGTTGACCTGCCAGAGTATGGAAAGATTGCAGTCGCCATCTGCTACGACATCCGCTTCCCTGAACTCGCAATGATCGCAGCCAGACAGGGTGCTTTCTTGCTACTCTATCCCGGTGCTTTTAACCTCACGACTGGTGAGTTGCACTGGAAACTTCAAGCACGTGCCAGAGCCATGGACAATCAGGTCTACGTGGGTCTGTGTTCGCCGGCTAGAGACATGACGGCCGACTACAATGCTTGGGGTCACAGCTTGATCGTCAATCCCAATGCTCAGGTCCTGGGCGAACTGGATGAAAAGGAGGATATTGTTTATGCTGATCTGGATGGAGATACGATCGAGCAGACGAGAAAGGGAATCCCTATCTACACACAGCGGAGATTCGATGTTTACCCTGATGTCAGCCAGGGTGATGTCAAGTTCACAGAGTAAATCACAAAATACATATTACTTGACAGCTGTTTCGTTATTGGTGACATTAGAGACAAACGCGAATTTCGATTGTGAGAGTATCAGAAGATATTCGTCATCATTTTACAACCTGCGTCGCGCTTGCCTGCTGACATGTCTACACACATGGCCTCGGCTCTTTCAGACTTTGCGTGCTAACTTCCTCGAATGACACTGGACTTTTGAAGGACGCTTCGTTCTCGCCTCAACCCAATTCCGCCTTTATCCTTTCAAACTGGATATCCCTTTGGAAGACAGGTGTCGAGTTTCCCAGCCAGAGACATGATGTATCTAGAATCCAGGACCATGAAACATGCTCAAGATATCATGCTCTACCAGATAGCTGATCTACGCACAGATCTCGTGACCAACCAATCTACGCCGAATGAGGTTGTCTTCTCGGTGACGCCCTTCTCCTGTGCAAAGTAAGTACCTAACATCGCTTGATGGTTCTCTCAACTGATCCTGTCTGTTCCTTGTATTCGATTCTCTGCCACCATGCGTACAAGCATCACAGTCGCAGCCCTCCTGGGCTCGACTTTCCTACTCGTGGCTGCCGCACCACTTCCTCAAGCCAAAACCAACGTCGTGACCCTCGCAATCTTCAGTCAGGTATTGACCGACAACCCTGACTTGATGGGCGACTTCTACAACCATCCTCACGTCAAGTTCCTGGCTAGCACGTATCAAGGTGGCAACATGAATGATCATTTTGGCCGCATGATGCTGGATCCCAGCGTCCAGGAGGTGTAAGTGTCATCCACCATTATCTCCTGCATCAAAGTGGTCGGGGGGGAACGGTTGCGGTGATGCACAGCGACCTCCCAGCAAACGAAATTGTCCGTGGAGAGCAGTCAACGACTGCACTCTTCCAGGCGCTATTGCTGTTTGATCACACGGTGGTTCTCTACAGCTCAAATCACTTGCTGATTACAGATGAGCCTTTGCTGACATGATCAGGGTCAAATCCTTGCAAGCCAAAGCTGCTTCCCTTGTCACTATTTCCCCTTCCCTTGGTCTCAACCCTTCTCCTGTACTCCAACGCAGAGGTCTATTTGGAGAGATTTTGGACAACATCGCCGACGGCATTCTCGCCACAAACGGGGGCAAGGTGTACGGAGAACCATGGGTAGATTTCGGCCCTGGTCCATATGATTTGGACAGAGTCATACCAAAAACATGCCCGCATGACAACGTCGGCTTCTCGACATGCTTCGCTAGCTCAATGATGGAGCAGTTGTTTGGTTGTTGCAATGCCCCTCAAATCGACTCTTACGATGACTACATGCCTCCTGGTACCACTACTTGGCTCAGTCGCTTCATCCCACTAGCTGGACCAAGAGCAGACGGATCAAAACAAGAATGGGAACCTAGGTTTGGTCCTAAGCCGATCCTGCCACCAGAACCCGTTCGTGAAACAAAGACGATGTTTGTACCTGGCGGAGAGACTAAAAACTTCTTCGACACACCTCGTCCACCTCACGATGACGAAGACACATTAGCCTCATTCACGCACCACGAGTCCGAGGAAGAAGGAAGATATTCAGTCACGACATATCAACCAGAAGATGGGGAAGCCTATTCAATCACAGCACCAGAGTCGGACTACCAAATCTGGAAGGAGTCTTCTGATCCCGATGTTGAGGGTTGGTCGTCCTACTACTCTGAACCAGACATGCCACCTGACGTGCCACAAACGCCACAAACACCACCCGGAGCACCCGCGGACTTTGGTACAGTGGCAAACATGTTCACAACACAGGTCTCACAAGGAGGTGAAACGTTCTCACTCAGAACATTCACATCAGAGGGAGGAGGCACATATTCAGAACGAGTGGACTGAAAAGGCTTTCTTGTGCAGTCAGAGTACCAGAGTCAAGAGGGCGGATACCTGTACCCAATACGGAGACTAGAGCAAGATTCTTCGAGAGGTTTGACAAAGATGCAACAAGACAGCGGGAAGAAGTGACAGAGAAAAGTGAAGAGCGGTGACAGAGAAGGAGTGAGAACAAGACATGGCGAACAGAATGGAGGACATTCTTTCTACACCTGAGATAGTATAATCAATTACCACTCCCAAGTCCTTACCTCAAACAGATATTCCATCATCATAATATCTCTCCATGTGCGGCAGATCGCCACAATTGCAGACCTATCTCAAAGCAAAAAGAAACATTCGGCCATCATCACGAAGTCATACTTTCCATCTTTTAATAGGACAATCAAAAATTTATCATCATGTATCTCTTCACGTACAATATAACCGCCACAATTCATAGATATATCCCCCCAAAAGAAACAATAATCTCCACACTTCTTTTCCCCCAGGTGAATGCAACAGTATCCATCTATGCTCTCTCTCTCCATCCTTCCCCCTTTCCCTTTCCCAACACCTACAAAAAATTTGTACTAACACGGATCCTCACCATCCCACGCCTTTTCCTTATTACTGTACAACAACAACCCTCATTTTTACCCCGGAGATCGAGTGGAAAAGTGAATGCAGTAATGTCAGCACACAAAAAGGAAAGAAAGAGCCCCATTTCAAAGTGTGTTTTGTGGAAAAGACTAAGGAAAGTTAAGGATGAAAAGGGTTATATTAACAGTAATTGAAAAAATTTAGCAATGTTTGTTCTAGCAATTATAAGCAGTAATTATGTATATAAAAGGGGGTTTTTTACAAAAGAAGTAAAGTCATGTACGAGTGAAAGGTATTTAGTAACAATGGAAGAAGGAGGAAAGGAAAAAAGAACAGAAAAGTGAAAAAGAAAAAAGCCATAACCCATCATAACCCATGTTTCTAAACAGCCAACACACCCAGGAAACTTTCATACCAAGGTGTGCCCATAAAGCACCCATCAACAACACCATCATTATACATCCTTCTTCTTTACCTTCCCCAGTATAAACACCATACCCGACATTCCTCATCTCACGCACCCATACCAACACCACCAGGACCAGCCTGACGGATCCTAGCCCTCGGTCCTGCTCCCGCATTCCCACCACCAGGTACCTCCCTCGAGATACCGAACAGATACGCCAACTCCTGCACACTGAGCCGTCCCAAACTTTGCGACGCCTTTTCATCAAGCGCCTCTGAAATCAACGCTCTCTTCTTCTCCTGCAAGGCAATAATTCTATCCTCTACAGTTTCCTTTACAAGAACTCTATGTACCATGACTGGTCGAGTCTGACCAAGACGATGAGCACGGTCAATGGCTTGTTCCTCGATATAAGGGTTCCAGAAGGGATCGAGCAGGATGACTTGACTTGCACAGTTGAGGTTTAGACCTGCGTTTCCTGCTTTCAGGGAAACGAGCATCATGCGGACGTTGGGCAGGGATTTGAAGTCGTCCACGGCGTCGGAGCGGAGTTTGGCATTCATGCTGCCGTCGTAGCGGCGGTATCCCCATCCCTTTTCATGCACTGGCACCTCCAAGAGGTCGAGAAGGGATGTCCATTGGGAGAAGATGATGATTTTTTCTCCTTCTGGGGCGGTCATGATGGTATTGAGAATCTCCATTGTGCGTTCAATCTTGGATGAAGGCTTGAAGTCCTTCTTCAGCATGCGCAAATAGATCTTACGCCAGGAAGGTTTGCGGATGGCCATTTTCTTGAGCTCGGGAATGGTCATTGTCATGGCTTTCTTCTTCTTGTCTGACGTGCTGGATTCCTTGAGTTTGCCTTGAGCTTTCTTGCTCAGTTTCTTGGATGCTTTCTTCTTGATGGACTTCTTGAGGGCGGCTTTCTGTCGGCGTTCAGCTGCTTCTTCGTCGTTCTCCTCTTCGGCACCGTCTTCGACGATGAAGCCGTCAAGTGAGTCTGTGTCGTCGTCCGAGTCTTCTTCGTCTTCAGTGTCGTCATCGGTGTCGACTGCAGCCATGTCTTCGCCATCAGCGTTGGTCTCTGCATCAGCAGGCTCATCTTGCATTTCCTCAGGCATATGGATGCGCTTGAAGCACTCGTAATCAATGACCTTCTTTGTGTTGATGGGCCCACGACACTCAGGGCACTTCGCTGTGCGTCCTTCATCACCTTCAGCAAGCGCATTAGAAGGGTCGGCAATTCTGGAAAAGCAGTCTGGGCAAGTGTCATGTCCGCAAGGAGTGAAGATGGCAGGGTTCTCGACCGCATCATAACAAACAGGGCACTCGAATGTACCGTTCGCTTCCTTGATGCGAGTAATAACATTCGGATCGAGATTTCTGCAAATGTCGTCCATTGCCTGTTGTGTAATCTCGGCGGTAGCAGCGACAATTCCGAGATCCTTGATAAGATTGGGATGACAACAAGCTTGACGCAGACGAAGAAGCAAGACCAGGATCTGCATGTAGGAATTGCTGACGGTGCCAGCTTTGAGATACTTGTTGAACTTGACCGCGGAGCTGGTCTCGAGTGCGACGTAGATGTTGCGTTCGTCTTCACTGAAATCAGGATTGGTCTCCTCCACTCGTCTCTCTGGCAGATTGAGAATGGGTCGACCGTTGATTTCAGTCTTCTTGTTGCGACGGAGGAGAATTGCCTTGAGCAGTGCTTGTAGCTTCTGCATTGCCAACTCGCGGCCTCGTTCGCTGCTACCCTTCAGAGGCTGGTTGAAGTCCGTCCTGAAATTTTGCCAGTTGTTGTAAGGTCTGATACGCAGGAAGTGAATGAGAGAGTAAAGCTCCTCAACACTGTTCATCATAGGAGTTCCAGTCATGCAGAATCGAGAGCGAGCTTGCAGATTGAAAGCAGCTCTGGCAGTCTTGGTAGTCTTGTTCTTGATGCACTGCGCTTCATCGATGATAATTCGGTACCACCTACAGTCCGGACCAATGAACATGCATTTCTCGTCGTCTCTAGGCTGAGCCATAGGATCAACTTTTTTGCGCAGCTCATACTTCTCCATTTTCTTCAGCTCGGCGGCAATTGTACCGAAAGTTGTTAGAACAACATCAAACTCGCGCAGGTCTCTGTGAGTCTTCTTTTTAGTGCCTGCGTGATGGATGAAGGTATGGAGCCTGTGTCTACCAGGCTTCACCTTTGTCATAATCTCCTGTTCCCACTGACGCAGAAGAGCAACAGGTGCAAGGATGAGAGTCGTCTTGTCAAGAGGATCCTCTGACCGATTCGTGACTATGAGGGAGATTGCTTGTACAGTCTTGCCCAGACCCATGTCATCTGCAAGAATGCCGCCTTTGTTCGAGCCATTCTCCATCTTCTGTAGCCACTCCAGGCCAGCGTATTGGTATGGCTTCAGCTTGATGACGAGGCCCTCAACTGGGACGTCCTCTTCATTGGCAATCTTGGAAGTATCATCTGGTTGAATGTTCTCCATCAGCTTACGGAGTTCCTCCTTGGTGTTAACGCTGTCGACATCGTAATCATCCCAGACCGGTACGTCTCGCCGGGCAATGGGGGTTGAACGTAGGAACTGCAAATCATCTTCTGTCGAGTCGAAGCTCATAGCTCTGCCTCGCCCATTGATAAGGCCACCTAGTTGGGCCATGTCATTTTGAGCAGCACGTGGTACGACCTGAGTATATGGTACATGATTTGGAAGCTGACGAGGATGATGTGGGTTTTGAGCATTGTAAGTTTGTAGAGCGGCGACCTGCTGCTGCCATTGCTGGAGACGCTCTCGTTGCCTTTGTTCATACTGATGGCGATCGAGATTCGTCGAGCTCTGTAGAGCAATCTCAGCCTGACGGGTCGAATCTTGCTGTTGGAGGAGAGCGAGCTGTTGTTGCTGGCGTCTGATGATCTCTGCCCTATGTTGAAGGCTGGTGGCATTGTTCTGTTCCCATAGATGACGACGGCGCAATTCTTCAGCAGGGTTCACTCTCATTCTTTGGATTCGAGCATGTTGGGACTCGGGTTCGTCGTCACCAGTCAAGTCTATCACCATCGGAGTACCGAACCGGCTGGTTGTGGGGGCGGCATGCTGAAATGACTCTGCCTTGACGGGTCGCGACGGGTGGGCTTCGGCCTTGACGTATGGTTGACTTGGGGCGGGGTATGGAGCAGGGGTGTGGGCCTGGGACGGGGTGTTGTTGTTGGATCGGTAAGCGGGAGGTCTGAAGACTGGGGCCATTTTACTGGGCGACATGTCGGGTTGGCCATAGTGGTTGTTGCGAGACGGGCCAGCCATGGGCGAAGAAGCGTGTTGGCTCAACCTCGAGGCAAGTTCGGCGTCTGCTGCGACTGACTCTCTTCTGCGGCGGGCTTGCTCTTCGATCTGACGCTGTCTTTCTAGGTAGGCGGCGCGGCGATCCTGGATGAGCGGCTGCTGACTCGGTGGGCCCATGTGGGTAGACGCCAGTCTCTTGTTGCTGTCAAAGCCGGACAAGGGCGACATCTGGTCACGACTTCTCTTGAGTTGGCTGCCTCTGCTTGGTGTAGGTAGAGCGGCTGAGCTGCCAAAGGCGGGAAACTCTTGGTCGGCGTCCATGTCGCTATCGGATTGAGGGTACGCGCCGGGCGCATTATACGAAGCGGAAGGGTGACTGTCTGCCTGCGACGAGACAGGCGCAGCGGCGGCATCTTCAAAACGAGCCATGCGTCTTTCTAGCTCCAGGATGGCCAGTTCCACCTCTTGTCTACGCTCGCTGCTGTCCGTGGGATCCATCGACTCCAGGATTGTTTGTTGGAAGATCAGCTCGTCCTCCGTCTCCTCGGGACCGGCGTTGGGATTGAGGGTCGACATGGTGCGATGCGAAGGCGATGGCGATGCGATGCACAATCGCTTGTCGGCCGCGACGCTGGATGCGAAAGATACCAAAGTCGCTCTTTCCTACAACTTAATTCTCGTCGAATGATGCAACAAAGCTGGTGCCACACGCTTGTTGGAAACGCCCGTCCTCGGTCGACTTGCACAGACCACCCCCCACGCGTCCACGTGAAGCACTGTCGCCTGATACAGTCTGCTATCCGGGAGATTCACCTTGTCAACATGTACTCTGTTCGAGTGGCCTGGACTTATCATGAGCCTTGTGCACTGCGCTGTTGACTATCACGCCTGTTGGACATGTTGTGCATTGCTCAGTCCGCTGTCTTACTCGCGCGATAAGCCGCAGAGCAGAACAAAGTGCTTTGTACAGCACGCAGCCGATAAGACATGAATCAACAATAACTCACCCCTTCATGTGCTACAAACTACTTGCTTAATACATACAGTCGGCCACCTCGTTAGTTCTATTTAGCAGCTAGCATGCTTTCTTTAAGACATAACCATAAGCAAGAAAGAGGTCATATATTCTTCACAACTTACTAAGGTGATTTTCGGCGCCAATGCGAGCGAAACGGTCCGACCTCATTGTCCGAATCAGGTAATCCGAAGCACTTGCAGACATGTTTCCCCGCAGCTCTCCTCCGCGCTGATCCCCACACACTTCCGCAACGGCTGGGTCAAGCACTTCCAAAAGTCAAAGTGTCGATCTGTTTGCGATCTTGAGCAGGTAGACTGCAGAGGCTGCACATGGATGGTGTTGGTCAAGATACACGCACTCATGGAATGTGGAGGTGTTTTAAATCTTCTGTCTGTTGCAGTAGAGCTTCGTAATGGACAATTGCACATTGCTGCTGGTGCGTGGCTAATGTCTCCATAGCTGCAAGTCCCGGAACGATGACCAGCGTCTCGGACGACCAAGAAGGGAAGGCCAAGCATAGTAATGGCCGACCGAGGGCTAGGTTAAAAAGAGCAGCGGGGTCCTTAGTCGCTGCATGTACTCTCCTGCATCATTTTCCTCTCCCTTTCAATCGTCTCCTCCTCTCAAAGCACTCCTGCGTTCCCTCAAGTTTTCCCAAAAGATGGCTTCCCTCAGAGTTTCCTCGCGCTTTGCTCGTACAGCTTTCAATGCAGCAAGGTCAAATTTTGTTCGCACTTTCTCAATTTCTGCACGCCAGCAGAATGCCTCAAAGTCGGATCTTGACCAATTAAAGCACCCTCCTCAGGGTAACCCCATTGTCTCTGGTCGTGGTGCCCCAGAACCTCCTTCGGACGAGGCTGCCAGGTTGAAGGACAACTCCAAGCCCGCCACATACCTCGGTACGACCAAGCGTCTGCCAGAGTTCGCGCTCAACGACAAGGTAGTGCTGGTCACTGGCGCCGCACGTGGTCTGGGTTTGGTCCAGGCTGAGGCGTTGCTTGAGGCCGGCGCAACTGGTACGTTCTAATTTGGTGATTCGAGCCCGGTTCAGGACTAGAAAGCTAACGACAAGACAGTATATGCTTTGGACCGTCTACCCGAGCCCAGCGAAGACTTCTACCGCATCCAGAGACGTGCAGCTGAGGAGCTGGGTACCACTTTCCACTACCGCCAGATTGACGTCCGCGACGTACCACAATTGAATGAGATCATCGAAGAGATTTCCAACAAGGAAGGTCGTATGGACGGGTTGATCGCCGCGGCAGGTATTCAACAAGAGACGAAAGCGCTCGAGTACTCGGCCGAGGATTCAAACAGAATGTTCGAGGTGAATGTGACTGGTGTCTTCATGACAGCACAGGCAGTGGCCAAGCAGATGATCAAGCATGGAAACGGAGGTTCCATGGCCTTCATTGCATCCATGAGCGGCACAGTTGCCAACAGAGTATGTGACCTGTTACTTCTGGTGCAGACAACGGCTAATAGTTCTTCCAGGGATTGATCTGTGCGGCATACAACTCGAGCAAGGCAGCCGTCATGCAGCTGTCAAGAAACCTGGCCAGCGAGTGGGGCGAGCACGGCATTCGTGTAAACACCATCTCGCCCGGCTACATCGTGACAGCCATGGTGGAGGACCTTTTCATCAAGTACCCAGAAAGACGCCGCGAGTGGCCAACACAGAACATGCTAGGCAAGCTGAGCAAGCCTGAGGAATACCGTGGAGCAGCCGTGTTCCTGATCAGCGACGCCAGCTCTTTCATGACGGGTAGCGACATGCGCATTGATGGTGGACATTGTGCTTGGTGATCGAATCTAGTCGAGGTCTTCATCGTCGTCATCATCTACAAGTCTCTTTCTATTTTCACCTTTGATCACTGCACAGTAACATTAGCGCTTGTATCCACTACAGTTGAAGCAGAATCTAAACGTACCTCTCCGAAACAAGTATGGAGTGATGACAAGAATAATGGGAGTGCCGCAAATAATGATTGTCCAGCTCCACAGTTTTGAACTGTATCGCTTCTTGTAGTCTCTGTTGTGGTCCTCCTTGATAGCATCCATGATGGCTCTGCGAGCTTGCTGTGTCTCTTTCTGACTCTCCGGTGCAGCCGTCTCGCCCGGTCCTGGTGGTGGTGGAGCTGGCTTGGGGATGCGGCCAGTATATTTGAGTGCCGGCTTACTGCTCGTCGATGCCAATCGCCTGGCTAATCGAGGCATGGGTACTCTCATGGCGGCGTTCGGATGACTTGGAAGAGTTGCAACTTGCGAATGTCCAATAATGGCAGAAGGAAGAAATGAGCCAACTTTGTGTTGAAGCCCGCAAGACGACCGCACTCGTGGCTTGGCAATTATACCTTGCCAGCAATGAATGTCAATGCAATTCAAACTTCGTCATCATTTGATCGCGAGCACAATTGTTTTTTTATTGCAGTGAGTTTCTGTTGAAGAAACAGAGCAAATCAATCATAAGTCGCTATATTGTCTGTCTCTTGAATTCAAGTAATCAATTCCAATGACCTCACGGTATGGGAGCTGCAGCGGATTTTCGGAAGATGGCTCTGAACATCATTATCCAGCGAACTGATGTCGCGTAGATTCCAAAACAAGTAGAGATAGTCACTAAGTATACTACTACATAAGAAAGAAGTCAGAGAGGTGCACCTAGGAAGACGCCGTTGCGAAAGGTCGCTGTCGCTGGGAGCAGGGTTGTAGGGCTAGCAACAAAATGGTATGACGTCACCAGACGCGTGTTGCTCCTTCCTTTTCTACGCTGGACATCTCACGCGTCTTTATCAACATGTCACCACTGGAAAGGATGATGTCAAACCTGCTGACAAGACCAGCCAAGAAAGCGGCGGTCAATTCTTGTCCCCATTCGCCCTCGATGAATATGTCCGAACACTGAATGAACGACTGCTTCCTGGCTGAAGGGCGAGCAAGTCGACCAAATTCCCACAGTTGGTACAGGTGGAAAGCGTGTGATCCACCAAACTCCCTCTTACAGTCTAGTAAATCAGCTGCTGATACTTTACGGAGTCCACGACCGCGAGGATGGCGAGTATACTAAAGAGCAAGGAATGTCTGATTTTGCGTTTTATGCCCCCTTCCAGCTATCTCTGAAACCTGGTTTTGCTTGTTCAGACTCCCCCCATCCATATGTATATGCCTGAGACCCGGTTTCGAGCCATGATGATGATACATGGAAGGAATTGGAGACACCATGCGTCTAGGTAGACAGGTAAGCATGCAGTGCGGCTGCCACACCAAGTGTCCAAGTCCAAGTCTCCTACCACGATGGTCCACTGATGCTCTTTTCGCCCAACTTGAGCAACAATCTGGTAGAGCACTGAACATCCAAAAACATGCCATTCTTAATCAGCATTTTGGGAGACTGGAGTTGCATGCAAGTGTAGAAGGTATCAGCCAACCAATCCACAAACACATGTCTCAACTCTAGATCAGCCATCAGGTCAAAAAACTTGACCTCTTGCCAGGCAAGTTCGTTTCCAGATACCATCCTGTGTAGCCTTGAGCGCGTGAGGCTGCAGATGGAGTTGCGTAGGGATGGGCAGTCGTATTTGTCTGCGACGTGATAGGTGCGGATGTAGCCTTTCAGTGCTTCGACGGCGTTAGGGAAGATACTTCTGTTTTGAGGATGTTGGTTGTATCTCATGCCGTACATGTGTCTGAGCATGGCGAGAACATCTTCGGGGTCGTCATCGCCATCAAGAGGGTAGACATCGGCCTTTGCAATCTAGAGCATATATCAGCAAACCGCAATACTCATGCTAAATGGCCGATACATCTACCGAGAAGAGCGAGCTCAGCGTGCGTTTGAAGTATGGTGACGAAATTCTAAGAATGATTCTGTGTGCAAAGACTCGGTGATCGCCAAATTTGATGATGATGTCGCTATCTTCAGAATTGTCGAAAGCGGAGACGTCGCTATAGTTGTGTCAGCCGATGATCGAATTCGGACATGGAAAAAGATAACTGACACCAAATCGCCACGAGGAAAGCTTTGATGGCCAGCCATCTGCGTCACGGGTAAGTGGCTGTCGAGCGGATCACAGAGAGGAGCATCGAGACCTACTTAAGGTATCTTCACGGCGTCATACAGACTTCCAGGAAGAGTCTGTTTGTCCATGTTAGAAGATTTGCTCTTGCGGTCGAACAAAGGATCACCCTCTAAAGTTTGGTTCAATGACAAGGGATTCGTGTGGTCAAGTAGAGTAGGTGTTGGTTTGCTTTTCACAAACCGACGTTTCTTTGAGATAGCCAAGCCGAGCTATTTGCTCGATATCATGATGCAAGAGTGGTTTGACCGAGCGAGAAGATGCGAGCCAACTATCATCCATTATATGTCACTTGCCAGCTAGTACCAGCCCAATACGCATTAGCAGCAACCACGTCTCATCGCATACTCGTTCAAAGCCCATCAAAACTAGTCACCTCAGTGCTTGGTGCTGTTGTTGACCTGTGATACCTCCACATGTTGTGTCTTTTCACCCTCGAAGTCTTTGGCAGGTGTGATGTCATGGCCACCTTCATCATCATCCATCTTCTTGGCCAATTCGGTAACGCCAAAGAGGTCATCCATCTTCTCAAGTGAAAGGCCCTTAGTCTCGGGGATACTACAAAGGGTGTCAGTATACTGCTCATGACAATGATCAAGGTCATGACTTACAAGAACCAGGCGAAGATGAAGGAAAGGAAGCAAGCGGCGGAAAAGAAGAGGAATGTCCCGTAGCCTGCTTTACCCATTGTAGCAAGCATGTTTGGCACTGCACGAGCGACGACAAGATTGAAGAGCTGGTGCGATAAATTAGCTTCAAATTCAACAGACAGTCAAGATGTCCCTCACCCATTGAGTTGCAGCACCAAGAGCCACATTGACACCACGCAGTCTGGCGGTCGGAATCTCAGAGATGTAAATCCATGGAACAGGACCCCATCCCCATTGAAAGAAGCCGGCAAAAAGATAGATGCAGACGAGTGCCATATAACCAGCTCCAGGAATGTCGGCGCCTTTAACTGGGGGCTTGATACGAACATAGAGGCCGACGTAAAGCATGGCGCAGCCCATAGCAATTGAGGTCCACAACAGAGATCTGCGACGACCAAGAGAGTCGGCGGCGAAGAGCAGGAAACAGGCGCACATGGTCATTTTGACCTGTATAGAATGTTAGCCGAGATAGAATTGAAGTTTGAGCCAATCTTCACTCACGACACCATAGATACCAGTAGCAAACAAACCAGCATCTGTAGAACTTAAACCGAGATTGCGGAATATCTGCGGAGAACTGTGTACGAGAGTATAGATTAGTCGAATGTAAGAGAGAGGTGATGTTGACAAGCCGTGGAACAGATCACAGCACTTTGTAGTCCAAAGATCGGACCGAGACGATTCTCTTCAAGCATCAAGCCCTAGGGTGTACTTACTAGTAATTGATGGCGTTGGTGCCGGTCATCTGTTGAGTGATCATAAGACAGATAGTGATGATGGCTCTCTTTCGGTTTCCAGGAATTGTCCACATCTCTTTCATCAGGTCCTTGAATGAAGCACCACCGATCAAGGCTCTCTCGTGATCAAGCTGCTCTTGCATCTCACGAAGTTCCATCTGGACGTATGGATGAGAAGAAGGTAATGCTCTGACATCGGACAGAACAGCGGAGGCTTCGTCCCAGCGATCTTTGCGTGCAAGCCATCTTGGTGATTCCTTGCAGTAGAACATTGAGCCAAAAAGCAAGAGAGCAGGCAGGGCTTGCATAGTCAAGGGCACGATGTAGGTGGTGTGACCGGAAAGGTGACGGTTCGCTCCATAGTTGATCTATGCAACACTATCAGTCTATTGTGATCGAACATGATTCAGTCAGAGCCTTACCCAGAATGCAAGCATAGTTCCGGTCGCGATGAAGAGCTGGTAGATACCAGTTAAGCCACCACGAATGGCTCGTGGCGCATTCTCGGAGATGTATAGAGGTGTGACCATAGACGCTTTTCCCACACCGAACCCGGCGATTAGACGGCCGACGTACATCACAGCAATGTGGCCGTCAGCAGCAGCTTGGAAGATACAACCGATGGTGACAATGACAGCAGCGATGAGAAGAGCTACGCGTCTGCCCAATCGATCGGCGACGTACGAAGCAACAAGCGCACCAGCAAAGCAACCACACTGTAGTGTAGAGACAATGTTGGCTGATAGGTTGGCGCGTTCAATATCGGTTGCGGTATCCAGACCATATTTGCTGGGAGGATAATGAGATGATGCCTGGAGTCGACTGCATATCATAAACTTACACCATGAATTCAGGAAGGGTAAGGACACCGCCAATGATACCAGAGTCGACGCCGAACAACATGCCGCCAAAGCATGCCTAGCAATGTTAGCTCTAGCTCAACAAGTGTCGAAGAAGTCTCTCGTACCGAAAAAGCCAAGAAGTAGACTTTCCAACCATAAATCTCTGGAGGGTCCTCTTTCATCGCGTCATTTTTGACGATTTTCTGGAGAAAACCCATCTTGTCGCAGGATTGTTTGATGGTATAGATCCAAGACCAAGTCACACACTAATGAGCTGGAGGAGAAGCCAGATATCAGAAGATTGGGCATGGTCTAATATATCATCCCCGGATGGGTGTACAGTGCTGCATTCCATTCATTCGTGGACATTGTCGTCCATACTTGGCCCGTCTGGGCGACTCTGGGCAGTCACGACTCCAAGCAAAGAGACGTGAACTTTCGCATACAAGAAACAGCAGACGCAGTGTCCTGAACGGCGGAGAGTCGAGGCGTGATAGGACCAGTAGTCCGGGGTGCATTAGCGCGGCCATGGGAATCTCGTGGGGGCGGCTGTGGAGGAGTGGGGTGGTGGAGGAACCCCGACCCGGATGAAGCCTTGAACAACGGCCACGACGTTCAGGCTAAACTTGCATCACAAGGAGTGCAATAACAGATCGCCATCTACTACTTCCCGATCAGTCGTGAGTATGGCCCAGTCTTCAGGCAAAGAGTAAGCGGGGCGGAGAAACTCCCAACTTGAGAATAAGAACAACACACTCCCAAGATCTTCCTTCACAAACCAAGTATTCCTATCGCCATGATGTCTACAGCTCAAGCCGCAAGCCATAATCGACCTTTCCCGCTTCATCCGCTGTCGCAGAACCCTTTAGTTACACGCGATGACTTCGCCGCAGCATGCGCTTCGCTATTAGATCCGTTGGAGGCGGGATTCAGTCCAGAGAAGGCATTGGTCAGAGTCGGAGGTTCTGGAACAAGATGTAAGTGTCAAGTAATTTTTCCGTCCCTCAGTTCGAGCAGCAAGACAATCTTGCCAAGGTGTGAGAATGGTACAAAGCCAAGCCGATAAGAAGAGCTCAGCATACATCACCATGTTAATGTGGCAGCACATTTGTTCCAAGACTGCTGAATGATTCTCCGTCTATTACGTGCGGAATGACTTTCACCGTGTTGGTTCGCTGACTTTGTGACGCAGTCGATGAGACAGCTGCTCAGATCGAAGGATTTGCCCGCCCGCTATGGGGTCTTGCACCGCTCATAGCAGGAGGATCTTACAGCAAATCGGAGCTTTGGGTGAAAGGTATGATCGCTGGAACGGATCCGGAGAGTTCAGAGTTCTGGGGCAACATGGAAGATCTAGACCAGCGCATGGTTGAAGCATGCCCAATTGGATACACTCTGGCCATTGCCAACAGGGAGTTTTGGGATCCTCTGACCGACAAGCAGAAGGATAATCTTGCGAAGTGGCTAGGCAGTATGAACGACAAAGAGATGCCAAACACGAATTGGTAAGCAATGTTCATGCCAGACGTGATTGTGAGGCTAATATCAGCAGGCTATGGTTCAGAGTGTTTGCCAACCTTGGCCTAAAAGCTAATGGAGCACCTCATTCGCAATCCCGTTTGGAAGCCGACATGGATCATCTAGACACTTTCCATCGAGGTGATGGATGGTCTAATGACGGTCCAGCAGGCTATACTCAGATGGACTATTACTCCGGATCTTTTGCGATCCAATATCTTCAACTGCTTTATGCCAAGCTTGCAGGTGACTCTGATCCAATGAGGGCGGAGGAGTATCGCGAACGAGCACGAAAGTATGCTCTTGACTTTGTGCATTACATGGACCCAGAAGGCCATGCTATTCCTTTTGGTAGAAGTTTGACATATCGTTTCGCAACTGTGGGCTTCTGGTCTGCCCTAGCTTTCGCTGACGTTGAGCTACCTGACCCATTGTCGTGGGGCGCGGTGAAGGGAATGCTTCTGCGTAATCTGCGTTGGTGGTCCAAACATCCGGACATTTTCCAGCCCAACGGCATGTTGAACATTGGATACACGTATCCGAATTATTATCTGGCTGAGAACTACAACTCTCCAGGTTCGCCATACTGGTGCATGCTAGCGTTCGCGCCTCTGGCACTACCCAAGGAGCATCCATTCTGGACATCAAAAGAAGAGCCGCATCCATTCAAATCGTCATCGTCCGCACTTCCAGAGATCAAGGCTCTCAAATACCCTCTGCACATCATGGTTCATAAGGCCGGCCACACATTCCTACTCTCATCTGGACAGAAGTGCCATTACCCGTTGAAGTCCACCCAAGCCAAGTATGGACACTTCGCCTACAGTGCATCTTTTGGCTACAGTGTACCAACAGGCGGCTATACGATTGAGCAATATGTCCCCGAATCTGCTCTTGCGCTCAGCGACGACGAAGGCGAGATGTGGAAAATGCGCCGTGATGTCGAAAAGGCCGAGCTGAATACCAGAGACGGCTTGCCGTACTTGTACTCCGAGATGAGACCCTGGTCAGATGTGAAGGTCCGCACTTGGCTGCTTCCGCCTACTGAAGAGACGCCTTCTTGGCACCTTCGCGTGCATCATGTTCAGTCAGGCAGACGCCTACAAAGCTATGAGGGCGCGTTTGCCATCAAGGGAACGGCCAAAGCTACCGGACGCGCACTAGGCGCTCTATCATCGTCCTCTTCGAATGAAGGCACTGAATCAAGTCAAGCCTCCGCCTTGACGGTATCGGAGGCTGGAGCTGTTGGTATCGTTGACTTGAAGGCATCGAGGACTGGCAAAGTGCTGGAGGTTGACGCTAACTCAAATCTGATCGAGGCCCGCACCGTACTGCCGGCTCTGGGCATGGATATTGAACCTGGGAAGGATGTGTTCTTTGTGACAGCTGTCTTTGCTATGCCAGCTTCCGAAGGCTGGACAGAGAAGTGGCGTCAGGCTTGGGAGAAAAGGCCAGTCATTCCTGACTGGATAGCCGCTGTGATACAATAGGAGAGGACATAGACTATATTAGAAGAATTGAATCGCCTTGTTCAGATGTGGCGATGTGAATAAAATCAAGGTATCGATGACGAAAGAAATTCAAGGTGGTTGGGAGACGTGAGTGAAGGCGGTGAAATTCTGCCGCATCGCGTTGTCGAACTCTCTTGTCAAGGCAGTTGCTTCCATCCTTCCTGCAGATCCTGTCGACAAAAATGGAATCTCAAGCCATGCTAAATGAGCAGCCTACATTCGAGTGCATCTTGAGTGGTAGTCTCCACGCTAGAGATGCACTTGCCGCGTCTACAGTCGACTCGTAGTTTCTCTATCTATCACCTGTAGGCTCCCGTAAGCATAACTACATGTCTCTTTAACTTTTGATTGAAATGTCCATCTCGACGAGAACATGACCCGTTACCACTTCGTTTGTCGCGGTCACCTGCATTGCACAATCCTTCCTCGGAATATTCGCTGCCCATAATGCTCGCGCTCAAGCCATGCTCGTCTACCCTAGCGAATGCTTTCTGTTGCTCATCTGCAACCGCAGGAACCAGATACATCCTGAGTCTGGATATTGAACCACCAGCTGATCATATCAGTCCGACAAGCGCGATCTAATCGCGATAAGCTATCAACAACAAACGCGTGTTGACTTGCGCGCCAGACCGCAGCGGGCTCTTTCGGCACTTTGCTTCGAACATTGATCAAACTAACATAGTCACCCTGCAAGACAAGGCTTGTGGTGAGTTGTTTCATGCATATCATCTGCGGCCCCTGCTTACATGGTAGCTTCGAGAAACAGTAACAATGTCTCTCCTCGAGAATGACTCTGGAGATGATGGAGAATTCCGTCACAGACGCTTCGACTACCCAGCACCCTCTCTGGCTGGCATCATCGATTTCTTCGTGACTGAGAAGGGTATCACTGATGTCCAGGTCGGCATTCTGCTCAACCAAACACCCCAAGAAGTCCAACAACTCAAGAAACAGATTCGTTTCTGCTTGCGCGCCCCCTGCCCCTGGTCTACTTCGCAGGATCTCGTCGACAGTGATGGGACAACTCTAAGCCCCAAGGAAAAGCAACCTCCTGGCTGGATTACGCCTGCTGGTAGACAAGGAGAGCTCTTCAGGCACTTGGTCATGTCGTCAATCGCCGAACAATATGCCGGCTTGTTCGTGGAGCCTGATATCACGACTCAGATCAAAGAAGTACAGCTGAACGTTTACGGTCGATTCACTCACACGCCTTTTGTGATTCGCAGGGAGGTGTTGACGAGACTGATCGAAAGCTGTGCTCAAGCTATGAGAACTCATCCATCGCAAGTCGAAAGCATGATTTCTGTCTATCAGTAGTCAAAGCTGATGAGATACCCTCTGTAGCCTTAGACATGCCGAGACAGAGTCACAGCACATCTCGACACCTCCCAAACTCAAGCGCTGCCGCTTAGAAGGGGTTGAACTCGGAGAAGCTAGTGAGATGCCTGATCCTAAAAGACCGATGATCCAGCCGTTTGGCTTTGCTGCCGTTCAGACCATCGCAACACTGCTTCCCTCGATCTCAACTGTGACAAAGTCAGAGTCTGTTGCCACGCCTACCAAGAAGTCAGTGGTGGACCCCATCAAAGTCTTCAATCCGTCCAGGGACAGTCATAGATGTCTATCGAGTGCGTCGGAACTCATCGAACAGGAAAGAGCAGTTTTCACCAGATATCAGATGGATCAGCCGGCGTCCTCACCCGCTAGTACTGGAATGACCCCGCGCCGAAACACCGACGACTCGAGCAACAGCTCCACATCTTCAACCGCTTGTGACGATCGCTCAGCAGCCAATGCGATGTATCATAGAAGATCACTGACAGCGCGTAACACCGCCGAGAGTCAAGCTTCTCCAAGAAGAGGCAGAAGCAGAGACCATGATCGTGTATCGTACAATGACAAGAGCGATACGGTTGCCGTTATTGAAGGTAGAAGGCTGCGCATCAGCAGTGTACCAAGAAGGGTGATGCGGTGCAATTTTTCGCTGGCTTCCAGGTCGGTGACATATCCACGGCAACGAGTTCCAGTGGTGTTTACTATACGTATGCCGATTTCCCCGATCGGTTCCAAGCAAAGCGCGCGTTGAATGCCCTGGACGGCAAACTCTTGCGCGGGACTGTGGTGGCCATCGATATCGTGCTCCCTCACAAGCATACGGAAGAGAAACCCAAGTCCGAGAATTCTCCTCCAACTGGTGCACCAACTGGTCCATCTTCTTTCTCGCGAGGCTCGCGTAGATTCGGAGTGGATCCCAATCTTGCCTAGGACGATCCTCGACTCAGTCGAAAGGTCTTTGGAAGATCAAGGTCAAGTCAGCGATGCAGGACACGAACAGAGCTTTTTGAACGGCAAGTTGTTGTTGTATTGCGACTGAGACTACAGGGGCTCCGCTCCAAAACGGACATGAGAGATTAGTAATCTGTCAAGTTAGTCTCAGCATGAATCACTGTCGTAGAAGATGGAACCACTAAGAAGGAATGACTGTTATTGAACCATCAGGACTTGAGAACGAGCAACTACAGCTACCTACTCGAAGGGATCCGACATCAGAAACATGCATGACGGATGGTACTGTGTATGGAGCAAAGAGCAGTCAAACAAGATCAAGGAAGAATGTTACAACAGAAGCACAAGGCGCAAGGTCAGTCTAATGGTGGACAGCATACAAGCCGCAATGAGCGAATAATGACGATGAAATGGCAGCGAGACGCCACATGGACAGGAAATGGAACAGATGTTAACAAGGCAAGGCAGGTTCGACGGCCAAGTCCGACAGCGAGCAAATTGATGTTCATCAAAGAGATCTTTGATGTTCTTATAGATGCCTAGCCTCCATAATGCAGTAAACGCCCAATCATATCCATGACCCCTACTCAATCGCGTTGCCTTGTACCCAATCTTCTAAGCAAGAACTCAACCATAACCACCCATGATGGCCTAAACGCCTACCGAGAGAAACAAAGGAGATCGAGAAAAACCAAAGACACCGGAACAATACCATCCTAACCGTGAACAAAGGGAAGAGAAAGGAAAAGAGTCACAAGGAGAGAAACTACCTCTCCGGCGGCCACAACCCCCTAAACCCCGTCGTCAAACTCCTCTTCCTCCTGACCATCCCCCTAGTCCCACTAACATCCTCCCCCTCCTCAACACAAGGTCTCGCATTCTGAAAAACACTCTTATACCCTTGCCCACCTTGCCCTTGCCCCCCCGCCTCTTCACCATCACCCTCTTTATCCATCCTCCTCGTAAGCACCAAAGCCGAAGAACTAGACATGTAAAGTTTGGCGTGGACGTTTGGCGTAACAGGCTGCGATCTCGATACGAAAATCGGAGGCCACAGTTTCGGTGTCGGGCGGGGGGATGCTTCGAGGGAGGAGTCTGACCAATCTGCGTCTTCTGAATCCACGGCGGTTTCTTGACCAGAGGTGAAATCGTCATGGTGAACTTGTTGCGAAGAAAAGTGTGCTGCTATGCTCGGTTTACGGAGAGAGTAAGGTGAGGGCACGGTGAGGAGATGGGGACGCTCGCTTTCTGGTGGGCTGCCGTGGGAGGCTCGTCTTCCGTGGCGGATTTGGAATTCGTTTGCTGTGGCTGTGGAGGCGAAGGCGTTTAGACGGAGGTCGATTTGACTAGGTGAGAATACGAGACCGTAGCGGACTTTTTGGACGGCGACGTCGAGGGCTAGTTCGATGGCGCAGTGGTTCCTAACTTGTGACAATTTGGGCCATGTGGCTTTCTCGCCGCTGAGCATGGCTCGAGCCATAAAGTCTGTAGTCGGATTCATCAGGACGCGAGGAAATTGTGTGTACGAGACCTCGGGGAGGATTGTAATGTCGCCTGAGTATCGTTGGGATAGCACTGAGCGGACTTTTGACATTGTGGTTGGTAGTACTCCGAGTTCGGCAAGAACATGCATTCGGTGGAGAGCCTCTCCTTTGGCGAGGTTAGCGACGGTGCGGAGCCAGCCTGGTCCAGCAGACAAGGCAAATTTGGAGGACTGAGACTCGGAAGCGGAAATTTGCTCTTCGCGCTCCAAGAAAGGGACAACGTGCGGATTGACTTGTGAGACGATGAAGTGGTTGACATTGAACATTTCTGCCAGTCGACTCATGGGCAAGTCATTGTCAACAGAGCCATCAATCCAGCGTTGCGGCGACTGATCCCATGGCACCTCCAGTCCAGTCCGAGGATCTTTAGCTAGGAGCTGTGCGGGTGAGAAGATGAACGGGACTGAGCAACTCGTAGCTACTGCGGACCAGATCATTACATTCGGGGCGGTGATGTAATTGAGAAGCCTAGGCAGCTCATACAAACTGGCAGTCGACACACCGATATTGAGAATGCGTCTGGTCCTGTTGTAGGCTTCCTGAAAGGTCATGTCTCCTAGCAGATCCTTCATAACGCGTACGAGGTTGGAGATGTCGAAAAGAGCACCCTTTGTGCAGAAGCGAAAGACCTTTTTCAAGACGTTTTCGGGCTCTCCTTCTTTTTCAAACACATCCAGATCGCCATAGCAGAAGTCGCGGAGTACTTGAGGTATCTCGTCGTCGGTCTTTGTGCAAAGTACCGCTGCGACGATGGAGCCAGCCGATGCGCCCGAGATGATGCGTGGCAGTAGATGGGCTTCAAAGAGAGTCTTGAGCACTCCTATGTGATTCATGCCAAGTGTACCGCCGCCTGAGAGAAGCAATGCACTTCTTCCAAAGGCTTGTCTAGCGCTCAGCAGTTGCTCGTACACTTCCCTGACATCGACGTCCGTGTCTCTCTTGTTCGCGGGCGAGCACATGTCGACGATCGTCTCGAGCATCTCCAGTGCGGCCGAGATATAGCGTTCGATGAGGGCTTTGGTGCCAACTCTGCAGTGTTTGTACAAGTGCAAGTCGCCCATGCTTCCAAGGTCTCTTGTCAAGGATGTCCGGGCCAGAAACAGCATACGCTTGGTGTCGCAGCTGATGCGTGCATCTTCCAGCTCTTGCAGTCGTGCCTTGAGCAAGGCAGTGTCATACTCGTCGCACTCCTCTTGCTCTTTCCAGCCATCTCTGCCTTCGAGTGTGTCGAGTTCCGAAGCTGCCGAAAGCCAGTCTGTGTAGCATTTTGCCTAGAAGTGGTCCGTCAGTCGTGCTTCCCATACTACAACCATAGTGCAGTCACATACCTGCGAGATCTTCAGATTCAACACCTGCCTCCGCCACTCGCTGTCTCCCAGTTGGGGTCCTTCGGCTCTTTGTCTCTGACTGCCGGAGTCGACCGCTTTCGTCCCGATCAAGTTGTAAGGATCCCGAAGTGCCTTGATGAGCGACGGTGACAGACGCGTACTTGCGCCATTGGATCTCGTCGACCTCGAAGCCGCCTTCTTCGCCGATGCATTCGAAGCAAGTCCCGCCGACGAGCCAGGTAAACTTAGTGAGTCATGGAAAAAGTCCATGTGAATGTGGTCGCCATGGATATTCTGTTCCGACTAAGAGATTAAATCAAGACAGCCCCATGTAGGTGGAGGGTACATAGGACGTTTAGGCAAAGCAGGTGACCAGGCAGGAAGGAATCAACGTGACGAAGAAATGAGGAAAGTGGTGATATAAGCTTTGTTATGGGAATGACGACAACAACATGGCTAATAGGCCTACCCGCTTCTTTTATTGTCTCTTTCTCCACGTTTTGGAGGAAATTCCGCTGCGCGCGCTACGGCATGTGACGGCCTTGGAGGGGTTTATTTAGCGTCTTCACCGGCGTCACACTCTAAAGGGCCAAAATGAATAAAGATCGTGTCCAGTTGTCACAAGGTGCACCTCCTGTTCACATGAGAAAGAAGCCTGCTATGCCCCTTGCCGATATCTGGATAAGAAGTGTTCAGGAGCAAATTACAGTACTCCCTGCTTGCCTTGACTCATGAAGCCTGTGTGACAACAAACACATGGCGTCCAAGAGAACATTCTTCCGACGAACAGCGCAGCATCCGATATATTGTTTGTGCTTAAACTTCTACAGGCACCGGATGCGTGTGGAAAGCATAAAAAACCAACATCATTACAACAGGCAAAGTTTGCGAGACATTCAGAAAGAGAGAGCGACATGCATGCATGCATGCAACATGGCATCCCGCCTTGCTCTTTCTCTGCAGCCTCACAGTCGATCAATCTGACCATGTCTCAGGGCCCTCTTTTGCCCTTTTTGCTAGCCTGACTTGCTCCTTTCCACCATTTTACAGGTGGCAGATGATTAGGCCTCACCGTCTCATTCGCTCTGATATCCGGAATAGGTAAAAGAGGGAGCAAGGCGGTGTATCGGCTCGCCATCATCTTGCAGATGACTTCTGCCGGGTTTCAAGTCAGCAGGGACTGAAAAACGACCTCCTAGCCTGTATTTGTACATTCGAGAAGTATCTTTTCTCCAGCACTTTCCTTGATTCGCTTGTTCCGGAGCTATATTTTAGTGTGTAGACTTTGAGTGACACGTTTGAAACAGAACAATCCATCAAAAATCCATTGATTTTCTTGCCATGTAAACATGATATGCGAATAGAAAGGAGGAATATAGCCAAAAAGACGTCGAGTCAAGCTGAGATGATAAAACCGTCCAATAAACGCCCCTTCTAGACCAGATTCAGCCTGCCGTATGTTCATAAAAATTCATGCCATGATGTTTGAGGGTGCAAAACATGCCCCTCTTCCGCACCTGTGCTCCCGTGGTGAGCACACCTTTCGAAATGCACAAACTCCGAGTACGTGCGTACGGCGTCCAGTAATCATCAATAATCTCGTGCTCTCCCTCCAAAGGTGGAGAGACACTTTTGCTGTCTCAATCACAGCATTTCTGAAGATGTGTAGGATGGTCGAGCTTGTATGACCAGAATGCTTGCTCTGAGACCACTGTCGACGAATCGCTGCGCAACTAGGCCCAAACACGCTCTGCCCGACTCGCTGGACAAGTCTCTTCGGCCGACAACAATTAAGTCGCCTGCGTTTTTCGGGTTTTGCGCGACTTCGATTTGCGCCCTCGAGATTGCTTCTTCTAAGGGCGAGTGTGACGAGACAGATTCCATGACCACTCTTGAAGATAACTCGACGGGCAGGGATCTCTGGATCATGGCGAAGAAAGTCTCATCGCTATCCTCGATCTGTGCAACAGCACTAGGCTTGCCTTCTTTGGAGCTCGATAACCCTGCACTTGTAATCTCCACAGGCGAACCATGGGATTCTGTCTCCTTGATCTCGGTCGAGCCGCTTCCATCCAGTTTGTCGAAATACACCACTGTGGCGGTGACATCAGGGTTTTCTGCCAACTGCAGTACAAGACGCAACGCCACGCGGCCATCGGCTCCGCCAAAGTAGGGCATGTAAATGTGGTGCGACTTGTCCATGATGGGCGAAGATGCAGGTCCCCGATCGTTCGACAAACTCATCTTGCTCGCTTGACGAGACAGTGTTGGACGACGTGCCACTGCGCTACCACCAAAGCCGCGGTTGACAAAGACTGCCGTGTTGCAAGTTGAGGCCTTGAGCGCGTCTGCCACGAAGCTGACGTAGCTTGTGTCTTCGAGGCGTCTGGGTGTTACAGGGTTGCCATTGTAGGACTGTTGCTCGTTCATGCTTCCACTCTCACTCCAAGGAAGAACAAGGAGATCTGAATTCTCACGCGCTGCCTTGGAGGTGATGATATCGGCGAACGACGATTCGAGAGCAATAGCTACTTCTCCCGAAACTGCCAAGTTGTACAGCCTGCCAAAGTTGCGGAAAGTGTTGATAATAGGGTCCTTCCAGTGAAATTCTTCGACGTCTGCGACACTCATGACTGACGAATCTCTGTCTGTGAGTTCTATCATTCTCACACCATGAACTTCTAGAGGACGATTAGGTGTCTTTGCAGACTCATCTACGCTGGCACTCTTGCCAACCAAAGTCGGGTGCTGTCTTGCAGCAGCATCGCCAGACTTGGTAGGAGAAGCCAAGAGCGAGACGAAGGTCATCAGTGTGGGCATGTTGTCCAAGCGCAGGTGAACAAGAAGTGTCCTAATCTTGCTAGTCTCGAGCTTTGCTACAACGATCGAAGAGGCATCGTCTCCAGGACTGATCGGGTTGCCGGTGTCCCAGTCAATGAGACCCTTCTTCCAAGCTTCCAGCTTCTTCTGATACCAGGGTGGGTAAAGTGCCATGGTCAAAGGTGTGGTGATGAAAGTGGTGATTAGGGCCATGACCACAAAGATGGTGAACGTCCTTTGCGATAGGATTTTGGCTTGTAGACCGATATTGAGAACGATGAGCTCGACGAGGCCTTTGCAACTCATCAAAGCGCCGATAGTGAAACTCTCTCTCCAGACAACGCCATTAGCACGGGCAGCCACTGAAGCTCCTACAAACTTGCCGACGAAGGCAACTGCTAGGACACCGACAACATAGCCCCACGTGATGGCAGTATCTAGCAGACCGAGATTGGTAGACAGACCAGAGAGGGCGAAGTAAAGTGGTAAGAACAAAGCACTGATCAAGTCTTCAATCTTCTCTGTGACCTTGATTGCAAAACCACCTTCGTGAGGGCAGATCAACCCAGCCATGAAAGCACCAAAGATAGGATGGATACCAATCACTCCGGTAAAGAAGGAAGATGCAAGCGCGATCAACAGTGTCAAGACGATGATTCCTTGAGAGGGTCCATTCTCAAAAGTGCGTGTACGTCTGAGTACCCAGGTGAAAGCCGGCTTGACGGCAAAGAAGAGGAAAAGAGTGTACGCGAGTGCTGTGAGCAGAACATACAGAGCACTTATACCGCTTCCCGAGTTGACCAAGGCCACACAAAGAGCGAGAAGAACCCATCCAGTGACATCGTTACCAGCTCCAGCCGAGAGAACGATCACACCAACAGATGTCGACAGGAGCTTCAGTTCGGTAAGAATACGACACAGGACTGGGAAAGCAGTGATGGCCATAGCGACACCGACAAAGAGCATGAATGTGCCAAATGCAACCGGCACAGTGCCATCCTCGTCCGAGAATTCGTGATACAGTCCGTAAGCGATACCGCAGCCTAGACCGAACGGAAGGGCCATACCAGCTAATCCGACACTCAATGCGATCTTCCAGTTACTGGCGAGATAGCGTAGATCGACTTCGAGCCCGACGATAAACAGAAAAAGGACCAGGCCGAGATTGGCCACGAGAGCAAGATTAGGCTGTGCGGCTGCTGGGAAAATCGTAGCTGTGAAGCCAGGAATCCTACCCATGACCGAAGGCCCGAGCAGGACACCACCAATGACCTCTGCGATGACACGAGGCTGTCGAATCTTGGACAGCGGCCAATGTAGTAAGCGACAAAATAAGATGATCACGCCGGCCTAGGTTCAACCGAAGATTAGTAAAACTCCTAGATTTTTCTCGAGCATACATCAGATTCTACATACCTGGATGATGAATATGATGATGGGATCTTTAGGGTTGTAGTGAGTCGGATTTTCGCCTTCCAAAATTCCGCCCTGAGCTTTGGCTCTTGCTGTGGACGAAGCGGTAGCAGACATCGCAACTGTCTTTGTGACAGTATCCGTCACGAAAGCCGTGATCGTCGAAGCCATTGTGGATAGATTGTGCTGTGCGACGAGAAAAAGATAGAAAGAGATGCGATTCGATATCTTTAAATGTGCTTGACAGAAGGCTGCACAGAGACGCTTAGCTGGGCATAGTCGTCGTTTTAACGCGCTCAGAAAGGGCCTGAAGACAGTTGGACGTCGAATAACCGATATCAATGGGCTGACGGGGTGTTTTAAGATCGAGGAATGATGCCACTGACTCGCTGGGACGACGATAGCGTGGGGTGCGTCAAGATCTTAAGTAGAAATGGCGCCTTTAGACCCTGAATCTTGGCAAACCTTCGGGCCTAGACTTACTCCTCCATCGCCTGACATTTCTATCTGGTATACTTGTTTGAACAGTTCAAAAATTGAGGTTTCTACTCTGACAACGGCGCGAGTATCGCGACCCTCTTGGAGGGTACACTAGAAAGCTGGAACACACCTTGCAACAACCTCAAAGTATACCTTGTGATCGTCTCATCGGTTTTCACCCTTGGCTGACGAGGGCTAAATATCCCGCACCCACGAAACACCTCCTGGCCAAGCATCAGGATGGCGGTGTACACAAATTGCGTACCCCATACAATTTCTTGCTCGTATCTGGGGATGACCGTTTTCGATGCAGGGGGCTCAAGATTAGGGTCACACGCAGCACATAACGCGACTTGCGTCGACCATGGCACGTGGAGTGTTGTGAAACGTGATGCTGAAGATAACGTGGCTGCGGGTGTCTGAAGATGTGTACATGATCACGGTTCTAGACCACGAGCATATAGGTCTCGGAAACATCTTAGGTCAGAAGAGAAAAAATTAACGAGATGAATACGTGGAGGGAAAGGGATGAAACTCCATACGCTATGAGACCACCAAAGACCCTGTACAAAAGCCAGATATATGGGAAGAGATAAAATGATGCTTTTCCTAGAGTTGTTGGTGGCTTTATTTGCCCAGCTCTTGGAGTTGTGGCAGATCCCATAGCGGGCGCTCCACTAAGACGGCTTCGGGCTGTTCATCATCCGTCTCTGTGGTCTTTTCGCCCATGGCTACCATACCCAATATAGGTCTGTATCTGTATGTGCACCACCATTTCCTTCGGCCTGCTGAGGTGACGGTCAGGGCACCATCTGCACCTCCGTTTGTATCCGCTTCTGCGTCATCGTTGCCGCGACGCAGAGGACCCAGTGCATCTTCTAGTGCGTCCTCGTCGTCTAGATCTTGCTCGTGAGAGGTGCCGTTTGTGAGCTCAAGGAGTTTACCGTCTTCAACGCGGCGAATCTCATCGACGACACCCTTTGTCTCTCCGCTGGCGGCCTTGTCACCAGCACCACTCATACCCTTGGCCTTCTTGCGTTGCTCGGCAAGTTTGCCCCATTTGTTGCTTTCGCGACGCTTGCGCTTCTTGCTAGGTGTGTTTTGGGCGGAGATGTCGTCTTCGCCGTCCTCCAAAGCTTCGTCTAGCACACTGGAGGGTTCGTAATCTTGCGACAGATCCAGCATACCGACCCAGTTGGCACCATACAACCAAGCACGAGCGCGAGCATCGTTGACATCCCAGACAACGCCCATGGCGCGATCCTTGATGGTCTGGAATTCGCCGGGCAGAACGCTCGTAGGGTTTCTGCGCGACCATTCGGTCAGGCGTCCGGTCAGGACATCGAATGCGTAGACCTGGTGGTGCGATGTTACGATGAAGAGGGGAGATTTGGTGGAAGGGAGGGCGTGAGAGTGAGGATGAGGATTATTACGGGTAGGATGAAGTCCAGGATTGCCGTTTACGGTAGGCTCGTCTTGTTGTGCTGGTGTGAGTGGTTGGAAAGAGAGAACAAGAGGTGCAGAGTCGAGCTTGGGCAACAGATTGCCTGATGGGTTGTCTGTCCAGTGTTGACCGTAGAAGATGATAGTCTCGTCCTCGTCATCACTGTCACTATCGCTGTCCGAGCCAGCACCATTGTCCGAGCCTGAGGAAGACTTTGTAGCAGTGTCCATAGCAGGGGCAGTGGAGTCGTAGTGTCCCTCTAGCACCCAGCTGTCAAGATAACCAGAGAGGTCACTTGCAACCAAGACAGCGCTGTCAGGAGAGAAAGCGAGCCTGTTGATTGTGCGCTCGTACTTCTTGAGACCCGTTTGGATGGTGACCTTACGAGTCTGGCGCTCCAACTCAATGTTCGCGTCCAGGAAAGTGGGCATGTCCGAATCATCCTCTACTCTTGCTACGCAGACTTCGCTTTGCGGCGTTACTGCTGCCAGCCATCTTCCATCAGGAGAAAAGGTGATCAGACGTGCGCCATTTGCAGCGATAGCTTCGGGTGCGGCGATTTTGCGTACGCGCAGGCGATCTCCTCGGTCATCTTCTGTACGGGCGAGATGGAATAGCTTAATGGAAGCAATCGTAGACACAGCGAGCAGGGAGGCGTCGGGGGAGATTGCAACGGATGTGATGGCGTCGGTCGAGTCGATTTGGATGCGAGTGAGGAGTGTTCTGGTGTCTTCGGGTACGGGGATGCTCTCGGGGCTCTGCTTGTACATGCGCCAGATGCTAATCTCGCTCTCAGCCCAGCTGACGAGCATACGCTCTTGCGGGCAAGAAGCGACTACGGGGTTCTGAGGAAGACCGGGAAGTCTGCGGTGGTTCTCCTTGTTGAAGTTGCGCAGTGGAATGACGAAGGGGGTGGTATCGAGACCTGGCGAGGGTTAGCATTGTGTAAAGGAACAGTCTCTTAGATCGACGCACCTCCCGAGAGAACGACGCTCATTTGCTTGGAGTCGTAAACAGCCATGGCCTTGATGTCACCCTCGTGCATGCGGCGGTGACTGGTCTTTGCCCATCTTCTCTTGTCGCCTTCTTTGCCGCCCAGCTTGAACACAGCGATGCGACCGTCCATACCACCTGAAAAGACCGTGGTGCCATCGGTACTGCTGACAAGGTCGAGGCAGTCCGAGTCGTGACCGTGGACAGTCTGCGACAAGGTGTATGTTCTTCCATCCCAGAATTTGAGCTGGCCGTTCGAGTCGCCTGACACGATGTCGCCGTTGGGCAAGCATCGGACCTTCCACACCAGCGTGTCGCGAGGAGCTCCTGGGATGCCTGCTCCCAAGCTGAGGTTGCGCAACAAAGTGCCATTGCGGCCGTCGTAGATGCGAATCGTGCTGTCGGTGAAACCGGCAACGACCGTGTCTCTATCCTTCCATGTCACGCTCATGCATCGTGTCTTGCGGTTTCCGCCACGGGCCAAGAATCGCTTGAAAACAAGGTCGTTGTCCTCGGTTGACAGAATGGCCAGGGTGCCGTCTCCGGTTCCAGCAACCAAGTTTTGACCACGGAATTCGTCCTCGCGCGACGCTTTGGTAGCTCGCCAGCGCGGTTGGGCGGCAAAACACCACACCTCGCTGAAGTTTCCCGTTGACGAGCGCAGCTCTTTTCCTGTTGTCAAGTCCCATTCTGTCACAGCTGGTGTTGAGCCAATGCTGAAGAGGCGCAGTTGACCGAGAATCGTGTGTCCCTCATAATCTGTGTCGTCCGGCTCTTGAATCCATGCCAAAGCGTCAACGCTTCTCTTTGATCCTCCTGGAAAGACAGACTCCTGTACCCAATCTCCCTTGTCGGCGCTCCAGATTTCTATGTCTCCATTTGCGCGACCGAGTGCGAGCTTCAGTGCTGGCCTAGGATCCGTGAGGTTCTTGTCGCTTGATCTCGAAAATGAAAGCGCGTTGATGGCCGATGACGGGTAGGCCACAAATCGAGAGCGGTGAATATCCATAGTGTATCCGGAAGAGAGTCAAAGCAAGTCTCTTCTTTTAAATCGACATAACTTTTGGCGAACAGAAATTGGTTGCAAAAAAAAAACAGAAATAATCTTTAGAACGCATCCAAGAATTTGCTTCTCGCTCGGACTTTGCTGCAGAAAAGCCGATCCTCGACAGCCTTGGCATTCTTTTCTTGTCTTGCGACTCTCCAAATTATCCATTCGCTTCGTATTGTTCTGCACTGCAGTCGGTCTGCTTATCTTAACTTCTCGACCGTCCGATACTGTGCCTCTTTGCAGATGATCAAAGTAGGTTCGTCCGAAGCCCAAATCGGACTATCAGGTAGTGACTTTTGTAGCATGAATTGCATCAGGTCCCGGTGACGGCACTGGCCTTAAGTAAGGATTACTTGTTTGCAGGAGAAGGTCCAGTCCTGAGAATCCACAGGCGTCACGACAATCAGCTTCTCCAATCCATCAAAGTCTTCTCTTCACAAGCCGTACATGGCATAGCCATATATTCTGAAGGCATCATCGCCTGGGGTGGTCGTTTGGTCACATTATATGCTTTGACTACAAACGAGTCTTCACCTCTAAGCTTCATCTCTTCCTTTGAAGCGGCTGATTGGATTCTCGATATATCAATTTCACCTAAGATATCTGGTGAGAAGCAACAGGCAGCTTTAATCACTGCTCACAATGCTCTTCTTCTACTGGATCTGGACTTGAAGGCGGGACTAGATGAGTTGACATCGAATTCAAAGTGTATCCTCTACTCAGCCCACATCCATTGGATCGGCAACGACAATATCCTTATAGCATCGGGTACGGTCTTTGGGGATATCATTGTGTGGTCATGTCTCTTGCGAGAGAATGCCGCGCCCTCTTCGACTCTCCACCATGTGCTGATAGGCCACGAAGGCTCCATCTTCGGTGTTCAGATATTCGAAGCGCCAGCACGTAAAGGTCACGCAGGTCCCTCTCGACTGCTTGCTAGCTGTAGCGACGACCGTACCATCCGCATATGGGACATCACATCTCTTCCCGAGGCTGCCACCAACCCACAGGCAGCCGCTGACTTGACTTCCGCCCGTGAAACTGGGTTCGGTGCCAACGTAGCAGATCTTCTTCCGGATAATATCTCGGGTGGGAGATGTATCGCCAAAGGCTGGGGTCATGCCTCTAGGATATGGGGTGTGAAGTTCATTTCATCTCCAGATCCTAAAATCCTCTCTTACGTTGTATCTTTTGGTGAGGACGCTACTCATCAATTCTGGAGTCTTGGTGAGGCAAATACCGATGAGTATGAATTGTCTCACCTCGGCGGTTCTAGCTTGCATTCTGGCAAGAACATCTGGTCGTGGGCTGTGCATCAAGATACCTTAGGAGATGTTACCATCGCTAGTGGTGGCGCAGATGGCAGTATTGCCATTGAGCCGAAGTCGATCCCATTCACCAGCGAATCGGACCACACTCAGACTTGGTCCATACAAGTACTCAGTCTATCGTGTCCTGGCCAAGCGCAATCCGGACGTCATGACAAACTGCGGAGTTATGCTTTCATCGGAAAAACTGACCTGCTGGTTACCACTGATACTGGAAACATACTGTTGTTGACACAAGACAAACAAGGCCAAGCTCAGACAAACTGGATCTGCAAAGAAGAGAAGCTCCGCGGTTATTCGGTCGTCACCAGTATATCTAGCTTGTCCGTCGCCTTTTTGGCTGGAAGTGACGGCTCTGTCATGCTTTTTGATGGCAGAGATGTCAGCGAGCTAGTAGTATCTACCAGGAAAACAGCAGCTCTGTTTTCCCAGTGTCTACATACCCAATCGACTACTGACCATCAGATCGGTCTTTTGGTGGCTAATGTGGAAGCTAAGACAGCTCTCTTCTCATTATTCAACTTGAGCGATGTCGAGGATAGTGCTCGGACGGTTGGGCATGTGACGCAGTGCCGACTTACGTTGCCTAAGGGCTTCGTCACCACAAGCTTTTATGCCGTCAGTCTTGATCAGAAAGAAGAATTGTTGCTCATTCTGGGCTCCCGTAACGGTTCGGTGGCCATCTTTCACACAAACACTGCGATAGAGCGCAACGATAATTGGGAACATGAACATCTCATCGCTCGAGCCCATGGCTTTGAGTCTGTGACAGACCTTGCTTGGCTTGCCGGGCCAGGCTCGGCCGACAGTAGCGGTCACTTCTTTTCGGTCGGTAAAGATGGTACCTATGCTATACATCACCTGTCGAAGTCAGACTCAGGTGTGAGAACTCGACTTGTCAATCAGACAACCCTTCCTCTAGGCACAAATATTGAAGGTCTTCACATTGACGAAGATACTCAACATCTTCTGGTCTGGGGATTTCACAGTCGTCAGTTCATTGTATATGATGCGACTAGTGAATCTGAGACCATGAACGTTGACTGCGGCGGTGCAAATAGGATCTGGAAATTTGAGCCTGGAAGCAAATTGCAAGGCGGTCATTTTGTCTGGACGCAAGCTTCTCATCTATGCCTTTACTCACAGACTCAACTACATACAAAGATGCTGAACAGGGGCAATCATGGCCGTGAGATCAAATCTCTGGCTGTCGCACCCAGAAATCCGACGAATGCCGGTGTGCTGTTTGCAACGGGTTCAGAAGACACGGATATCAAGCTTTTCCAATACCGGAACGAGGGCGAGTCGCCCTACTTCCGTTGTTTGAAGACTTTGAGAAAGCACAATACTGGTATTCGGCAGCTGGAGTGGTCATCTGATGGACACTACCTCTTCAGTAGCGCTGGCTTTGAGGAGTTCTTTGTCTGGAGAGTTGAGACTGCTCCTCTGGTCGAGCTAGGAGTGGTCTGCGAATCCACGTGTCCTGCCGAAAGTGAATTGCCTGATTTGAGAATCATGAGCTTCTCGGTTAGGGAAGAATCTGGCAGTTTTGTCATTACCATGGTCCGATCAGACTCCACTCTGCGGGTAAGAATATCTTATGTCGACCTTTGGCGAAGTTGTGACTGACAATACTCAGATGTACCGATACTGCCCAGGCCAAATAAACACCTGGAGCATTCTAATGGTCGGAAACTATCTGACATCGTGCCTCACTCAATGCCTTCATATCAAGAACAGTGATAAGGTACAGTCGCTCATCACCGCGGGTACGGATGGCTACATCGCTTTCTATCCCCTCGAGAACGATTTTTCGACAAAAGCGACCGGAGTAAGCGCTTTAAGTTGGACTTCTCGCGCTAACGTCCATCAAAATACGATACACTCCATGAAGTTGCATTGGTTCAACGAAAAGACATGTTTACTCTTGACTGGAGGTGATGACAATGCCATCGCTTTCTCCATCTGCGTATGGAACGCGGCAGAGAAGACGCCACAGGTCAGCACATTGATTGTCCCGCATGCGCATACCGCTGCTGTTACAGGTGTCGAGATTCTAGCCTCGTCTACACAAGATCTACTTACCATCGCAACAACCAGTATCGACCAACGAGTCAAGATTTGGGAAGTGCGCTATGATTCTTCCCGAAGGGGTGTCGATGGCCTAACGGTGAAGAAAAAGGGCAACTACTTCACGGCTGTTGCAGATGTTTCAAGTCTTGCTGCTCTGGATGCCACTTCCCTCATTGTCTGCGGAGTTGGCTTGGACGTTTGGAGCCACAAAGGTTGAGAAACGCTTGCATATTTCATCTATCAGTGATCGGCAGTTGAGAATGCAGATTCTACCGCTTTGCGTGTCAGGGATCCAAGACCAATTCACTTACGGACGACACACGACGATCAGAGCAATGACAAGTAAGGCGGCTTGCATGCACGAAGGTGGGTGGTTGGCTGAGGATGTGGGGTCCCCGGTTTTTGGCCCCACTTGAAAGGCCATCATCCTGCATCACCTCCGCATCTTCATACCTTAGCGATACCGGGAATCCTGGGAGGAGCAAACTTTAGTGCGAGATGGGTGGCGGTGGATATATATGTGGAGTGTTGCTTGGACTTTCTCTCTCTGGTTTCGACGATTTGCATAGTATTTCCTAGACTTTTGGTCACAATGGCAGAACCTTCACATCAAGCTCGCGAGCGACATCTCGTACACAGGTACGCATCATTGCAACAATCACGATCATTGTACTTATATCTGTTCAGTCATGCTCACGAAGAAGAACTGCCTGGCACTGTCAATCTGCAAGCTCTCGAGGGCGACGACACGGCATATGGACAGGCTCTTTACCCAGTGCCTAGCGAAGACCCCAATGATCCGCTACAATGGTCGAAATTCAAGAAGACCATGATTCTAATCATTGTCTCCCTCTACTCTTTCCTCGGCAACAGCGCTCTGGTGGGGCCTTCTGTTTATTTAGAGATTTACAGTGAAGAGTTTGGTATCTCTATTACCGAGGCTTCGGGTCTTGTCTCTTATCCCAATCTCGTGTTTGGATTCGGTAGGATCTCTCAACGATGGAGCTGTTCGTCGGTAATTCTGACGTTACACTAGGATCTCTGTTGCTCGTTCCTGCTTATCTCAAGTTTGGCCGTCGACCTGTGATGTTATTCTCGCTGCTCATGGTATGTGCCCACTCAGCTCCAGTGCGCCAATGATATATTGACCTTCGCCAGTTCGTATTGGGCCTTCTCGGAGCGTCGCAAGCTACTTCGTATGGAGGTCTCATGGCTGCTCGAATTATCCACGCTTTTGGCTCTGGCGTTTGCGAAGCCCTGCCTGTGCAACTCGTCAATGATATTTTCTTCCTTCATGAACGAGGCAAGAGATTGGGATACTATACTGTATGTCTGTGCTGGGGCTCGACTGGTCCTTTATATGCAGGTTACATGCTTGCAGCGGGATACTCCTGGAGGTAGGCATCCTCTTCTTCTGGCTCTTCAATGATCCTTGCTGACCACTGTCACAGACTCTACTTCTACGTTGAATTTGCCTTCGCATGCGCATTGCTCATTATGGCATTCATCTTTGTCGAGGAAACAGCCTACAAACGCGTCATTGTAGCTACACCAACACCAGACTCGGATAATGAAAAAGGACACAGCCAACATGTCGAAGTCATCACAATGGTGCCACTAAGAAGATCTTTCCTACAAACATTGAAGCCGTGGAGCGGTATAGACCACGAAGCCGAATTCTTCATGACTATGCTCCGCAGCTTTAGCTACTTCCTCGTCCCCAGTGTCTTATGGGTCGTGACGAGTTTCGGTACGCACCTTCCCCATCTCCTACAAGCACTTTGAAACAACAGCTGACACAAACACAACAGGTATTTACATCGGCCTAGGCGCGCTAGCCTTCAACTACACCTTCCCCATCAAAATCGTCGCACCACCCTACAACTGGAACCCCAACAACAGCGGCTTAATCGCTCTAGCCAATATAATAGGCTACGCCCTCGCCGTCCCCTTCGCCTCCTCCTCGGACCGCATAGCAGCCTACCTAACCCGTCGCAACTCCTCGATCCGAGAAGCAGAAATGCGCCTCTGGGTTCTCCTCCCCGTCTGTCTTATCGCCCCAGCCGGTCTAATCCTCTACGGCTTCACGGCAGAAAAAAACCTCCACTGGATAGGTTATTTTGCAGGTGTAGCCATGACGGATTTTGTATCGTATTTTTACTTCTCATTTGTGCTTGCTTATGCGGTGGATAGTATGACGGCTAACACAGCGGAAATGCTGATTGCGATGAATTTGGGTAAACAGGCAATCAGTTTTGGGATGGGGATTTATCTGTTAGATTGGATTTTGGAACATGGGTATGCGAAGATTATAGGGGGTGCTTTTTGCGCGGTTTTGGCGGTCAACAATCTGGCTGTGTTGGTCTTTTTGCCGTGGGGTAAGAATATCAGGAGAGGATTGTATAACAGCTGGTTAGGGAGATTGCATAAGAAGACGAGTAAGGCGATTGAGGTTGCTTGAGGTGATCGGTGGGTGGAAGAGTATCAACTACTCAGTGTATGACTCATGAACTTGTCTTTGTCCACTGTTTCGAGTCCGCTTTTGTGATGAGCTACGGTCTAACGCCGCTCGTATCGTGGTAATGTTCTTTATTGATTCCGACCTTTGTTGGATGGGATGAGATTAACAGAGTTCCTCCTGATATTGCCAGGGTCATTCCTCTCGCATAACTCTCCCTGGGTCAAAATGTTTACCATTTCACTGCGTAAATCTTTTGTGCCCCGCTCATGACTGTTAACTGATCGACTGTGGATAACTTCACTGTGCGTGGTCGTTTTGCCCAAGACCATATCATTTGCGGCACATGTGGCCGGTTTGATCAGACGTGGAGGGAAGCCAACCTTGACACCCAAGCCAATCCTCCTGTGTAGAGTCCGCACTGTGAAACAACCACATGAACGAGGGAAAATTTATTACATTACAGCAAATTCCAGGATCCCCTCTATCCAAAAAAGTTCTCAAAACAAGACGTCTATTTGACAAAGTCTCCCAACTCAATGTTAGGAATGATGTAAGGCTGTACATCATCTCTATGCATAGTCCTCTGCTCATAAGCATAAGCCAATCCAACCAGTGTAGCTTCATCAAACTTCCTGCCCATAAATGACAATCCAAAAGGGACCTTTGGCCCAGTCTCCACCAACGTCTTGCGAGCATTGTATGTCACGTTCCAATCTGCTGGGTAGAAGCCCATGGGGACAGTGATGACGGGACTACCGACCAAAGCAGGAATACCAGGAGAGAGTTGAGTGGGCAGAAGGACAGCAGAGACATTGTTGCGCTCCAAGGCACCGAGGATACCGCCTTCACCTCCATAGTACAGGTTTGCTTGGTAAGCGGCCCAGAAGCGAGGGTCGCTGTTGTTCCAGCCCTGGTTGTCCAGTGCATCGTCCCAAACAGCTGTATCGCGATCAGGCCAGTCTTCCTGAGTGAAGTTGTGAGTGAAGTTACGGACATCCTGAAGGTCCTTGACGTCGTTGGGGTTGTAGCTGAGTTCTGAGAGGTAGGTCGCGAGGTTTGTCAAGAAGTCGGCGTTCAGGACTAGAGTCTCGTTGTTGTCTGTGACGTATTCCGAAAATGCAGTGAAGTTTGCATCAACAATAGTCGCGCCAGCACGCTCGATCAGAGCGACGGACTCTTGGAAGGCGGTCATGACAGGTTCGTCGATGGGACCATAAATGTCGATGACATTCCAGGCTACACCGATACGCTTACCAGCGAGAGCAGAGTAATCGCAGGCGGCAACGTAGTCAGGAATGGTGCCATTATTCGGGATAGCCGAAGTGTAGTTGTCGTTGGAGTCGACACCAGCGATTGCTTGCAACAGATACGCAGCATCCTTGACAGTCCTTGCCATAGGACCAACAGTATCCTGATGCTCTGAAATTGGGATGACCAGATATCTGCTGGTGAGTCCAACAGTAGGCTTGATACCAACAAGGTTGTTGACGTCTGACGGAGAAAGAATGGACCCGGAAGTCTAGTGCGAGTCAGATTGTCGTGTCATTGAATCAGTGTAGATAAACCATACCTCGGATCCAAGAGCAGAGAGAGCTAGGCCGATCGAAGAAGAGACACCCGAACCACTTGAAGAACCGCTAGGGTCCTGGTGAGGGTAGTAAGCAGCTTCAGTCTGCCCACCGTATGCGGACCATCCGTTTGTGCTGTTGTTTGAGCGATAATTTGCCCATTGAGAAAGGTTTGTTTTGCCGAGGATAATGGCACCAGCCTTTCTCAGCTTGGCAGCCAGAGTAGAGTCATGAGGAACCCTTGCACCAAGAAGGGCGAACGATCCAGCTACGTTGGGTCAGCACTTGGATTCTCATGGACTGATTATGTTACTCACCGGTATTGTTCATCTGATCAGCAGTAGCAATGTTGTTCTTGATGAGGATAGGCAGTCCATGCAGGGGTCCAAGAATGGTACCATTTGCTCGCATAGCATCCAACTCTGCAGCAATGGCCAGAGCATCAGGGTTGATCTCGGTGACCATGCGGAGAGTGCTGTTGACCTCCATGATTCTGGCAGAGTATGCCTTGACCAGGTCAACACTGGTAAAGCGACCAGCTTCCAGGCCAGTGGCCAGATCCTCAGTGGTGACATTGATGAGAGAAGGGAAGTCTCCTAGGCCAATAGAGGTCGTGTTGTACGGTGTTACTAGGCCAGCGGCAGCACCAACAAGGGCAATGCCCACAGACAAAGAGCTGAAGAAACGCATGGTCTTGGATATACGCAAGTCAATGATATAGGTCAAGGACAGACAGACACCAAGAGATAGTAGCAGGAACGAAAGGAGGTATACCACGAACCCACGAGCAAAGTCGTGATAGCACAATGTCCCAAAACTCAGCAGCAGTCTCTCATATTTGTAGACAGCCAAGTCAGGTATGCTCAACACTGCCCACTTAGATAATGTCGATAACGTAAACCTCGATGCTTCTGCCGTGCCGCTGCAAGATTGCAAGGTCCCGATATCATGCATGAATATCTCCCCACAATGTCACTCGCCTCTGCTGGGCAGTGTCGATGTGAAGAGCAGGGCTTGCGTCCTTGATCTCATGGCGACAGAAGTATGATAAAAACGGAGAAGTAGAAAGATTCTGGTCCAACCACTAGGGTATATTTTGCGACCTTCCTGAAGAGTACAGATATTTGCCGATCGCGGGTGCTGATCGATTTTGGGGTAGTGACATTCCATCTGCCGCGTGAAAGAATCTGGAGATTCAGAGCCCCGCCACTCCGTTCTAGGAAGGCACGATGATGATGCGACAAACTGACCCCAACGCCGAGGTCGGAAGCTGCTATACAGAATCTCAAATCCTCACACATCGGGTGCTTCGATTGCCGTACTTGCTGACATAGTGAAGTGAACTGTATATAGTTGTACGCGAACCGCCTCATAAGACCAAAGTGACGGTTCTTCCAATCAATTAAATATGCTTCTCTGAGTACAAGATGCTCAATGCTCGCCGTATCAATGCTTCTTGAGAATATCATCCGTCCGCGGTGACTCTTGTCTGCTGAATGAACGCCACGCTAACGCAAAAGAAAGGCCCATAAAATCAGTGTGCAATATAGAGATTAGATCTGAATTGGCGCAAGAGCTGCTGCAGCGCAATCGTTTATTGTCCAGGTCGAGGAAAGACGGGAACTGTCTCGAGCTGCTCCCAACCACCCATGCTGGCTTGAGGAGTGTTCTGCCAACCCTGTCCAGTTTGTTGATTTACAAACATTGACTGTCTAAATGGGTTGGTGCTGCCTGTGGCTGCGGGCGTAAGGAAGGATGCTGCTTGTCCAGTCGCTTGAGGTATTTGAGGAGATTGCTTCGCGAAGGGGTTCGTTCCTGTAGGTTGTGCTTGTAACGGCTGTTGCTGCTGGAAGCCAGTTTGCATAGGGTCTTGTTGGGGAGAGAGTCTTGCGAAGGGGTTACTGGTCTGACGCTGCTGGGGTTGAGCTGTCTGCTGAGGTTGCATGAATCCATTCATCTGACCAGTGGGCATCATAGATTGGCGGAAAGGATTGGTTGCCTGTGGCTGGATTTGTTGCGGTGGTGGCTGCATATGTGTGGGTTGTTGTGGTTGTTGTTGTTGTTGTTGTTGTTGTTGTTGTTGCTGCATGCCGAAAGGATCTTGCTGCTGCTGCTGTTGCTGCACAGAAAAAGGGTCCTGCTGCGGGAATGTAGATTGTTGCAGAGGTGGCGGGCTCTGGAAGGGTTGCTGGATAGCCGGTTGGAATGGATTAGATGAAAAGCCAGTCTGTTGAGGCTGCACTTGCTGCTGAGGCTGGGGACCGTATCCACCAAAGCCGGCACCAGTGAATTGTGGCTGGATCTGAGCAGTAGGTGCAGCCATCAACTGCGGATTCTGTGGAGCACCAAAAGGATTCGTCGACTGAGCTGCCTGGAATGCTGGGTCTACCATTGGTTGACCGTAGCCTTGAACGAAGGGCTGACCAGTAGGCTGGCCATATTGTTGGGCAGGGTTCTGAGCCACGGGCTGTTGCTGGTCTTCGATGGACCCAAAGAAGTCGATAAGATCGGGAGCAGGGCGTTTGGCGGGTGGTTGAGAAGCAGCAGATGGGGCAGACGGTGCAGATGAAGCAGCTGTGGCATTTTCTCTTGTTGATTCATTGAAGCTGACAGACTTGGAAGGCTTGATCGGCTTGCCAGACTTGACCTGCTGTTCTGCCAGATATTGGCGTCTGTTGGTCTCAAAGTCGTGGTCGTCAATGTATTCTTGCAGGGAGTTGGCCAGACTGGTAGGGGCGTGCTTGATCTTGGGAATCTCGAGCTTGGTGATGTGTTCGTACTGTCTCGCGATGCTGAGGTATTGGACGACTTGATCTGTTTGCTTTGCGAAGGCTTTGTAGATGCCAATGGCGTGTTCGGCGTCCGGCTTGGACAGTTCGAAGTAATGGCCTGTGCAATTGCGTGTCAGAGTCGTGAAGCGGTAGTCAAACAAGGCAAAACTGACTCAGTATGTTCATGACAGCCTCGTTCATGGCGGTGAATAGGTCGAGCAAATCTTTGGTGAGCAGTCGGAATGCCATTAAAGAGATGTCATTCTCGGGCTCGTTCTCCAGAGGCTGCACTGTGTTAGATGCGACTATGTAGGACGGGAAGACTGAGCAGGCTACGCACATCGCATTTAATCAGAACCCTGATCTGGTCCTGGATGGCTTCTGTCTCCCTGAGCAGACCCTTTGCAATCGAGATGGTCTTCATGCGTCCAGGATTGCGGATATGGTCGACATGGGTGTCTGCAAATGACTCTGCGCGCTGGATGAGGTAGTTGGAGTATCGTCGAATGTTCTGACCCTGTGTCTGGACTGCATGGCCGTGTCAGAGCTCACGTATGAGATGGCTTGGGAAAAGGAGGCCTACCATCGGTATAGCTGTTGATGGCCAGACGGTTCTTAGGAGCATCGGCCAGGTACTTGAGTGTCACGTCTCGTTCTCCTTCCTTGATCATCAGGTGCACAATGATCAGGGCCTTGAAGCAGATTGTCCAGGTCGTGTCGCGTAGGCGTTCCTTCAGTGTACGGAAGATCTCGGCCACTCCGGCCTCACCCCCAGACGTGGCCAGGAGAATGTGTTCGACATATTTGGACTTGGGCGGTGCAAGCTAACAGACAACGCGATTAGCAAACACTCGCGCGCATGAACGGTGGGTAGATGCATCCTCGTACCTTGACCTTGGTACCGCCTTTGACTGACTTCTCGACCGAGCTCGACATTAGGCGCGCGTAGATGCTCGTGCTGTGTCTACTGATACGTGACGGACGCGCTGTCTAGTTCATACTGTTTCCAAATGGCAGGCGCGCTTCGATAAGAATGGACGGGAATTGTGCAACAAGGACAGCTCTTGCAATGGCCAACTCTGGGCGCGACCGACTCGGCCATCTCGGAATGCCAAACGCGCTAACGCCGGCAGATGACGACGTTGCGAAGTGTGCTTCTGCCACCTCAATCTCGTTTCCTCCTGAACTTGACATCGATATCAAGATTGTTCATATCAAATGCTGTGAGAGCGTCAAAGGCCAGATCTAATCTTGACCCCCGTGTGCCACGGCATAGCCTCTCGGACTCGCAGAAGATGTAACAAACGTGTTACAGTCACAGTTCCATTGATTTGGACGAGCAACTTGTTGACGCTGTCTGCTTGTTCTTCGCTTGGTCGCTGGAGGCAGAGGAATAGAAATATAGTTCCCGCAACTCCATGAGGTTTGACACTAGCGTGACATATCACTGTGCATAGAGGAATGAAATGAAGAACTTGCTGAGGAAAGGATGGTATAATGCTAGCTATGTTGTTCTGCGCCAGCCAATCTGGCGGCCTGCTGAGACGTGAGAAACCTTTCCAAGAATTTGAATCAGAGATGCCATCTTCGCGTCCGTTGGTTAACAAGGGGGTGTGCCGAACGCAGATCTCATGCCGCCGCAACCATGCCTAGAACCACTGCCTCCGAAGAGAAGAGCGCTATAGCAAGAGGTTGCGGACGACTCGAATGTTACACACTAGGCTTTCATCATATGTTTTTAAACTTGGAAGGTCATAAATTTTTCGGAGAGGGATCGGGTCGCGAGAAGAAAATATACTCGCCAGACAAGTCCGGCATGTTCCGATGGCTTGGCGCTACACCTCGTTGTGAGCCATCTTGATCGATCTAATCCGATGTTTATTTGCATATTCAATCTTGTTCTCTGTGACAGGTTCGAGTTCTGAATCAGACCTTGATGCTATACTGTAGGCTTCCGCTTGCCGTGTCATGCGGTCGCATCATACGACATGCAGCCTCTAGGATTGACCGGCAACCACTGGCAATTCGACCTTTAGTGTCAACATATAAAGCAAAAACTTTCTCAAGCTATCGCATACTACGGACAGAAGAAACCGAGAGACTATTGTCCGAGTTCAAAGAGAATTGTGAGGAAAATTGGTTGAGTTTTCGACCATGATCTAACATTCATATCCAGTCCACTTTCCTTCGGCGACTTGCAAACTCGAAGATATAGCCACTCGGGGATCCGGAGAAGATGTCGTAATTCATGGCTATCTGGGCACGCAGAGACAAGCTGGCAAGAACCTGCTCTTCGCTGAACTTCGGAGCACAACTCTATCACATTCAATCCAACTAGTTGCCTCGAACAAAACCAGCGCTGAGGGGGCTAGTGTCTTTGACAAACTTAGTGGATTGAATGTTGAAACACCAGTAGCCGTCGAAGGAAAGCTCAAGGGCCGCAAAGCCAAGCAAACTCCATCCAAACTAGAAGCAGGAGCCGTGCAGCAAATAACGGAAGTCGAGATTGAGTTGACCAATATATCGCCGCTCAACCACTTCCCCAAGGACATCATGGTGACCCAGGATTCAGTATTCACAGCAGAACAGAGACATCTTCAGTTGAGAATGGAGAAGCCTCTTCGGGATGCACTGGCTTTCAGGAGTAAAGCAGCCAGCATCTTACGAACAGAACTCTGCGAGGGCAAAGATTTCGTCGAGATTGAGACACCTCTGCTGTTCAAGTCGACTCCAGAGGGCGCGCGCGAGTTCCTGGTCCCCACTCGCACACCCGGTCTTGCCTATGCTCTACCTCAGAGTCCTCAGCAGTACAAGCAGATTCTCATGGCAAGTGGCATTCCGCGCTATGTGCAGTTTGCGAAGTGCTTCCGCGATGAAGACCTTCGCGCTGACAGACAACCAGAATTCACGCAGGTGGATCTGGAAATGTCTTTTGCAACTGGGGAGGATGTGATGAGCACTGTTGAAGATGTTGTCAAAACGCTTTGGCAGAAGTTGCTTGGTATCTCCCATGAAGGCCAGTTTCCTCGACTATCTTATGAGGATGCAATGTCTAATTATGGCTCTGACAAGCCCGATGTTCGCCTCGGGTCAAAGATCTCACGAGCCGAGTACATGTTACCTGTGGATCTCATCCGCAAGATCGGCCCTCTGCATGATCCAATCGTCGAGGTGCTGAAAATGCCCATCTCTGAAGACGTCAAGGAAACTCGCGAGTTCGTAACCAAATTCATGGACTCGTCAGATTCTAAGCCTTTCAACGATAACCCAGAAGGTCAACCAGGCATCTTTATCTTCGATCCTCGTAAGCCACTTTCTGGTCTCTCTGTCTTTGGTTTCGAGGCTGCGGAAACGATAGAGGAGATGCTCGATTTGGAAGAAGGAGACTTGGTCGTGCTCCAGGCTCGCAAGAACGCACCGCATGCAGGTGGCTCCACACCACTTGGAAATCTACGCCTGGCTCTTCACAAGTTTGCTGTGCGGCACAATTACATACCCGCACCTCAAGGTTTCGAGTTCCTCTGGATCACAGACTTCCCGTTGTTCTCGCCTTCTGTGGCAAATGAGCCTGGCCAAGGTGGTGCAGCGGGCTTCAGCTCTACACATCATCCTTTCACGGCGCCAAAGACGGCCGAAGATGTGGACTTACTTCTTACTGATCCAGCCGCTGTCAAGGCTGAGCACTATGACTTGGTGGTGAATGGTGTTGAGCTTGGAGGTGGCAGTCGCCGGATTCACTCAGCAGCCATGCAGCAATTTGTCCTACGTGAGGTCTTGAAGATGAGTGAGGAAAGATTGAAGGACTTTGATCATCTGATTGAGGTGCTAAGAGCCGGATGTCCGCCACATGCGGGTATGGCACTGGGCTTCGACAGACTCATCGCAGTCATGCTTGGAAAGGAAAGCGTCAGAGATGTAATTGCTTTCCCGAAAAGTGGCAGAGGCGAAGACCTGTTGGTGAGAAGTCCGACACTTATGACAGAGGACCAACTCAAGACCTATCACCTGAAGCTGAGAGAGTAAGCGGACACACATACCAAATACTTTAACAATTCTGTACAAACAACAAGACATGATCTCTCGAACCTTTAACTCTTTCCCCAACCCTCCAAATTCACAACCTCGGGCTCTCCTCCACTCCTTACAATAACCCACTCAACCTCCTCATCCCCATCGTTAACCTCCTGATGTTCCTGGTACGCAGGAATCAACGCGAAATCTCCTTGCTTTAGCTCCTGTCGCTTCTTTCCACCTTCACTGACAACAGCACCTTGACCCCGTACGGCATACACGATGGTGTCTTGAGCGCCGTGGTGATGCACCGCGGAGGCTGAGTGGGGAGAGGCAAGCATGATGGAGCTGCAGATTGAGGCGAGGTTGGTTATCGCTGGCATTCGCGTCATGCCATCCGTTTGGCCTGAAGAGGAGGCTTGGATGGAGGTGGATTTCACAACGTGAACTTGTTTTGAAGACATGATTGTGAGACGTGTTGTTTGCGGAAATGGGAATTTGATATGATTGACTGGAAGAGACAGACGTTGAAGTCGTGATTTAGGTTTAGTTCCCCCTTGACGTAATCACTTGCGTTTCCTCCGCAGCACTCTCCTTCGTCGTGATGTACAGCAGTGACAAGCTGTCAAAATGCATTATAATTCTCGAGACTGGAGAAGGCTAAGCGGGAGATCCGCGAGGTGTCTGTAGTCATCGTTCACTTGTAAAATCTGGTGTCTTGATTCAACCACAATGATGCACGATCGAGCTCGCGGAGTTTCCACGGAGGGCCCATCTGGATCTCAGATATGCTCTGAGTGATGCTGAAGTAATTCTTTCGCATCAGCATTGATTTATTTCTAGTGTGATCGAGTGCAGCATACTGTCATGACTTCAATATCAAGTCACTTCGACAGGGTCTGTGATTTCACATGCCATGTGGAGTGAACGAAAGGAGTTCACGCGCCTCGTGACATTTTGCGGACTCCGGAACGCGGAGGTGGAAAAGCTGGGGAAACGTCTGCCGAGGTACCGAGGCACATGTCAAAATAATCATAGCCCTTTGATTCGCTCTCGTGTTCGTTTCCTGACCTTTCGCCGAGAAAGTGATCTCTCCTCGTGACTTGCGGTATGTTGTTAGCGGGTAGCCGGAGGTTTTGAGTGAAAGTCGAGGGCTGACACGTGAAGAACAGGGATTCGGCCAATATTACCTTTCACTTTCCTCCACCCCTTGCTTTGTGTTTGACCTCTCCCTAACGCTGCACTTGCACGGGTACATACATACATAACACATCATGTCAGGCACATATTCGCAAGAAGACGTCAAGTCGCACAACAAGCCCGACAACCTCTGGATCATTGTCGACGAGGATGTCTACGACTTGACCAATTTCCAGGTGAGCGGCGAGACTCGACGGGGAAAGTCAAGCACCTGCTGATGCAGCCAATTAGGAAGAGCACCCTGGTGGTAAGAAGATCCTCCAAAGAGTGGCTGGAAAGGACGCCAGCAAGCAGTTCTGGAAGTACCACAATGAGGGCATCTTGAAGAAGTACCAGAAGCAACTCCAGGTCGGCTCTCTGGACTCGAAGGCCAAGGCCGCTCCTCCCACACCCCCAGCCACTCCTCCTCCGGCAGCGAAGCAGGAGAAGGAGCTTGTCAAGCCCGAGCCAGTGCCTGGTACCGTGGCTCCCCAGCCTGGTGCCGACGCAAAGGAAATGGCCGAGGCTCTTGATCAGTTCGGCGACATGGTCCCCGGTGGTGACCCCAACTGGTACCAATCCGTAGGTGCTTCTCTGCGGTGACCCTTGAACGTCTACTGATCTCACTTCCAGTACCACTCGCCCTATTTCAACCAGTCACACGCCGACCTCCGCGCCGAAGTCCGAGAATGGGTAGAAAACGAGATCATGCCCAACATCACCGAATGGGACGAGGCTAGAAAAGTACCAGATGAGATATACAAGGCTATGGGCGAACGCGGATACCTCGCAGGTCTCATGGGTGTTCACTACCCCAAGGATCTCACCGACAAGCGTGTCAAGTCCGTTGCACCCGAAAAGTGGGACTTGTTCCATGAGATGCTTCTCACTGACGAGATCTCGAGATCTGGCAGTGGTGGCTTCGTGTGGAACTTGATCGGTGGTTTCGGTATCGGTGCCCCTCCTGTCCTCAAGTACGGAAAGAAGGAGCTCGTCCAGAGAATCATGCCCGAGATCCTGAGCGGTGACAAGAGAATCTGTTTGGCCATCACTGAGCCTGATGCTGGTTCTGACGTTGCCAACTTGACTTGCGAGGCTAAGCTGAGCGAGGACGGAAAGCACTACATTGTTAACGGTGAGAAGAAGTGGATCACCAACGGTATCTGGTCCGACTACTTCACTACTGCTGTTCGCACTGGTGGCGAAGGCATGAACGGTGTCAGTGTTCTTCTCATTGAGCGTAGCTTCGGTGGCGTCTCGACCAGAAAGATGGACTGCCAGGGTGTCTGGTCGAGTGGCACAACATATGTCACCTTCGAAGACGTCAAGGTGCCAGTAGAGAACCTGGTTGGCAAGGAGAACCAAGGTTTCAAGGTTCTCATGACCAACTTCAAGTGAGTTTCATGATATGCCGAGACACAAAACATGAATACTGACAACAGACACAGTCACGAACGTATTGGCATCATCATCCAGTGTCTGCGCTTCTCGCGCGTTTGCTACGAGGAGTCGATGAAGTACGCACACAAGCGAAGAACCTTCGGCAAGAAGCTCATCGAGCATCCCGTCATCCGTCTCAAGCTAGCCCACATGTTCCGCCAGATCGAAGCATCGTACTCGTGGATGGAAAACCTTATCTACCAATGCCAGACGATGAGCGAAGTAGAGGCCATGCTGAAACTCGGAGGTGCCATTGCCGGTCTCAAGGCCCAAGCGACCACGACTTTCGAGTTCTGTGCTCGCGAGGCCAGTCAGATATTCGGCGGTCTCAGTTACAGCCGCGGTGGTCAGGGCGCCAAGGTCGAGAGACTCTACAGAGATGTCAGAGCTTACGCTATCCCCGGTGGCAGTGAGGAGATCATGTTGGACTTGAGCATTCGCCAGTCCCTGAGGGTACATCAGGCTTTGGGCATGAAGCTGTAAACCAGTGCTACACTTCGAGTGCGAGTCGGTCCACATCTCGACTCCTTGCCAGCCTGAAGTTACGTGCGTTGAGGTAGCTCAAAGTAGACAGCGACCTTGTACGAATTGAACGAAAGCATCATCATTCATTCAAGCAGTAGCCCGCTCATTCCGAATCGTTGGGTCCTGTGTTCACTGTGCTTTTCTGTCTAGGCGAAACAAGCGACATCTTTCGAGGACCGCTGCATGATTCAGCTTCGCGCCAAAAACTGTTCGACATGTCGATTTTGTTGGGACCTGTTTGATAGTTTGTTATGCAAGGTTCCCTGTGCTCTTGATCTTGCGCCTTCGAGCTCAGATAACGTGGAGTAGACAAAGAAGCGGCAGATCGAAATTTAATGCAATGCGGAGTCTTGGATCAACATTTGGAATTTTTGTGCGTAAAGACCAAGTACACAGCCCTTGCTCCTGCAGAGCTTCGTCACTATTTCTTCCCTTTCGAGGAAGGGCCTGAGCTACTTGCTTCTCTCCAGCTTCCTTTTTGTGGGACTTTTAGATGACATGCATGAATTTTGTTTGTCTGGCGCGGCGGGAGATTTGCTTGCTGGCCTGCTTTTGCAATTTATCGTCGGCTCTCTCACCCTTTCGAGTGCGTGCAAGTTGCACAAGTAGTTGGGCTCTCTGATCGCGCCATGCATGCTCGTTTTTGGATTGACTCTCTTGTCGTCTGTCATAAACGGACGCGTGAGTGTTGGCAGGATCAAATCAACAGTTGCTGCTGTTTTCGTGGGGAAGATCTGGATGTTGATCCGTCAAAACGCGGGAAGGCGCGGTCCGTTGCCTTCTCTTTTCCCACCACATCATTTGCCAAACTCTCTCCGCGACGTGAACCCATCCAGCGACACAAACAAGGCGTGCGACCAAACATGCAATGATCCTTCTCAGGGGGTCATATGCACCGAGACCCAAGTCGCCGGACTGTGTGACGGAGGGGCGACCGAGGGTACAGCTGCATGACTGTGCAACACCAACCTTACCAAACAAGGCAAAGGCTGGAAGCAGCCATCTCCACATCGTGTGCTTTTCACCCTTCTAGCTGAAAATCATACGCTGCACTTCCAGCAAGGTCCTGTTTCGAAGTAGAGACGCCATATCTCAATCCTTCATCATGACAGGGCTGTCAAAGACACGGGAGATCCACCTTACGATCGGGGATCTCCAGGTAGCAGGTAACGCAATATCCGGTAGGTTTCCTGACTTTTGGTCATTTGGATAGGGAGCATGACATGCATTGCCTGGACCATCTTTACCTCTCTCTGCAAGCTCATCGTCCACTTTTCCAGGACGTTGGATTTAGGATGCAGCGGTTCCGGAGGCTAGAGTATGCAGATGCAGCAACCCAGGCACAAGGTACAGCATCAGACCTCCTTGTTGACGATCGTCTTGTTCTGCTTAGACTCCTTCATGCAACGCGTTTGGCCGCTTCGTTTCGTTCGTTCGCTTTTGTCGCCGTCGCTTGTACCGAGCGTTCGTCCTCGCTTTTGCCTATCTGTATTCCTCTTGTCCCTCGTGGCAACCGTTCAATCCTTCGTCCTTCCTTAACTATCCAACCATCGCACCCGTTACGCGTTTCTTGTCAACTCACCGTCTTTCGTATCTCAAACTCACGAGTAATAATCAAGCAATCTTGCTTGATACGTACATCTTGGCTTCCTTTTTCGCGAATCATGGCATCAACAGAGGTGAGTGCATGCATGACATGATCTTTTCTCCGTGTCGCTCTGCTCCATGATCTGGATCTTTGTCCGTTTCTTGCAACAGATGCACATGTCAAAATATCAATTGTTCATGTCACACAATGCTGACCTTCCAGAAGCTACATCAACATCGCTTCTCGCACCAACAACCACAACTTCACGAACCTCAAAGACTTTCTGGTATCTATCAGTATCACAATGCACCTGAGGTATTACCCGAGCACGGACTGGAATACGACGACAATACATACCCCGTCTCGGATAAGTATCCGGTGACGAGTATGGACGACTATCCTGCAAGCTTCCACGCACAGCAATACCGCGATGTGAACAAGCCACCGCGGATCATCTTTGGAATGAAAGTGCGATCATTCTTGCTCGTGGCATTAGTGTTTGTCTTGATAGTTGTCGGAGCAGTGGTGGGAGGCACAGTAGGGCGTAATGCATCTCATGCAGCGAACGCGCAAGCTATAGCCACAAACTCAAGCTTGTATGTATACTTCGCAGTGTCATTGAGCTTTGATGCTAACAAACTCACTGCAGACCATCTGCGACAGCGATAACACCGCAAGCATCGGGTGAAGTACGCACGATCGCCGCCTCATCGCCGACGACAACTTCGACAACTACTGCTACATCAACAGTCGCGTCGACGTCGGTACTATCAACACCCACCTTCGTGCCTCTCTCGGCGTGTCCATCGGCGAACAACACACTGTTCATCTCGACCATCTCAAACTCATCTTCCCTCATCTCACCAGCAGACAACACCACAACAACTGTCGACTTGACATATACACGCTACTGCGATGCAAAAACACCTGCAGCGTTCAAGCCCTTAACGTCTGGCTTCGTATACACCTTTGACGACTGCATCGAAATGTGTGCTGCTTACAACGTATATGCCGAGGGGTCAGTGGCCTGTGACGTGGCCATCTACGACGTCAAAGAAACACGACCCGTGAACTGCGTAGTAGGAACCGCGCACACCACTGGTGCTGAGAGCTTAGGCATTGAAGGAGGTCTCGCTATTGCTGTACTGAAACCCTCTACATGAGTCCTTCCCGCTCATTTTCTTTTGTTCTGCATCTTGGCTCATTTGCGATCGGATCATGGGTGGTTGTTCATTTTGTTGGGCTCGAATTTTACGAGCGAAAGAGGCATGAATTATACGATTATGTATCGAGGAGGGAAGGGAAACTATTACATTGAACATATACTGGCAATCTTAATACCATATTTGTAAACATCAGCGACGGCGCATCGCACTTTCCGTGTTTGTTCTTGCTCTGGAGTGAGTCTTTGCCCAACTTGCCCTTCCCCGGAGTACTTCGTCGAGCCATTTCCAGCTCTGCGGTCGAAAGGTTGACCTTCCAAGAGACACTGACTTCAGTGGTTGCTCCGTTCCAGAGACAAGTCACACCGTGAAAAAGCACAATGTTTTCGAAAATCCAAAAGGCAGAACAGGAAGATCACGGTCCTCAAACCTCGGGTAAAGGTCAGAAACGGATGGTATAATGTCTTACAGTTTCACAGCCATACTTCTATGGACGATTGTACATTACGCGAACTCCATGTTTCAGGATAATCGTCGCTATGGCCTAGCATACGTCCAACACCACTCTCAAAGACAGGCCACGGACTTCTGCGAACGTCTGTCGTACACTTTCATCTCGTCCCGGAGAGAACACAGCCAGTACACATTCTCATGCATTTATCATATCCTCCCAGGTTGATCTCTTATCGTGGTTACCAGATCTCAAGCAGTTGAATATAGTCATGAAGAAGTCTTTTCGACACGTCCTGCCCCTGAAAACATCCCCTCACAATACTCGCAAAGGATCTGATGCTAAGACTCGTCTCTCGACTCTCGACATCTCTCAAGGCCGCGATGTCGTTCTCGAACTTCGGTGTCACAAGTTCTTTGCTCACAGAGCCGTGTTAAGCGAGAACTCGCCATTCTTTAAAAGAGCATTCAACTCAAAGTTCTCTGTAGGCACACTCATTTTCCACTACCTTCAAGGTACTGGCTTTCTGCAAGGTTGCCACCAGCTTGATGTTTTCTCTTGACGACATAGACGATGACCCTGAGATTGTCGCTACGATCCTGAACCATGTGTATCACGTTCACAATGAGGACATCCCTACTCTAAGTGCTGGACATTTCACTTTAGACAAGAAGACAGAGTTTTGCTACTCTGTGTACATGACTGCAGACAAGTACGATTGCCCTCTTGTTCGTCAGGAAGTATGCAGACGCTTCTTCAACGCTACTGGAGCACTGGTTAAGCAAAGCGGTAGTACCTCCACTTTGACACCAATCGTCGCCACGATCTGCGGCCCTAAAGCTCTGCAGCTCACGGATTTGTCACTGGAGCAATGTATGTTGAAGATCTGTGCAGTTTATATCGATGCATTTGTCCTCGATAGAGGCTTCATCAGAGAGCTCGGGCAGGGTAATGTTCTCAGTATCGGCAACCATGAGAAGCTAGATGCTCTGCTGAGTCATCGTCATGGCACAGATGTCTCTGTTCTGCCTGATATTCAGGCCCATTTGGAGAGATATGGCCATTTGAGAAGATTGTCATCGATGTGGAGCCAAGGGTAAGGCAGTTGAAATTATGTGCTCGATAGATCGTGCAGATCTCTCTATACAAAACTTTGTCAGCAAGGTAGCATTGCATTCACTGTTCACTCGCTTCTTTCTTCTTCTTCTTCTTCTTCTTCTTCTTCTTCTTCTTCTTCTTCTTCTTCTTCTTCTTCTTCTTCTTCTTCTTCTTCTTCTTCTTCTTCTTCTT